GCCGCGACAGATACCCCTTCTTCAGTTGCCAATCACTTGCCGGTGCCAATGCTATTGAGTACATCACAATTAGACAGCTTTTGGAATAGGTATGGTTTGTAGAAGCTTACTTCTCGCTCTACTGTTCGCTGTTGCACTTGTTGGTGAAATAGCGGACCTTGTGGGCGGCGCACACCCCAAAGATATGGAAAAAAGAACGCAGATATAAAGAAAAGTATACAAAGTTTGATCTGGATCTGGGTTACGGTGACCGAATCAGGAATTATTCCAGTAGAAAATGAAGAGCAAAAATATTGAAGCGAATATCGAAGATTAAAAGCTTGACAAACCTTTCCTCGAAATCAGAGCCATAAATCGAGTTAGCTGTCATTTCGATGAAAAGTTGTTTGAATGGGGGATGTAAAGAGAGATTATTGGGGGGAACGGAAGAAATGAAATCCCCTTGAATGACTTGAATGACTTTAGTGATTAATTATCTCAAACATCCACACCCAATTGAGTCTTTTTTTCTCTCTTTTTCCCTTTCAAAAACTCGTGGGATTGATGATTTCTCTTTTAAGGGCAAAGAGAAAAGGAAAGAAAAAGAAAGAAAAAGAAAGAAAAAGGAAAGAAATGAAATCGTTTAGTAAAAGAGAAAGTGTGAAAATTATAATGGATGATGATTGGATAGGGGAAAAAAGGACAGTTTATATAACATTTCAAGGACAAATTTGGGCGAAATTTTGTAGGAAAACTTTGACTTTGATATATAGATCATGTGATTTCTTTGAGAGTAAAGGGGAATTCTTCGAGGAAAGAAGAGAAAGAGTTGCACTCAGAGCTTACTGTAATTCAAAAAGTTACTGTAGCTATAGTACTCTAGTACTCTGGTACTATAGCATAGTACCCTGGTTACAGTATACCGGGCTACAGTAGCCAATATCCTACAGTATACCTACGATAAAGCTACGACAAAGCTACGACAGTACCCAAGTACTTTACCTTATCTCTTCCCCTTTGTATCCCCTCTTTCTTCTCCCGAAAATAGGCACCGGATAGCTCAGTGGTTAGAGCGTCTGCCTGGAAAATGACCGGTTCAGTCGAGGCGAAGAGTTCAATCCCTTCTCCCAAAATCTCTTTTTAAAATTTCTTACTTTAGACAGACCAACGAAAACGACTGTCTAACGACCTAAATTTCTGAATTTCTGAATTTCTGAATAATCTCCGAAAAGTCACCAACCGCTTTACAATTATCGGGTTGCTGTGAAAGAGTGACTATTGTGTTTGACGGAGAATTTTGCCCCTCAAAGCAATGCCCATCTCGAAGTAGAATCTTCTCAAGCACTCTCACCCTCAACTCATTCACGCAAATGTCGGCACTTTGTCCAGAGAGAACATGCTAAAGCAAAGCCAGCAAAGCCAGCAAAGCCAACGAATTATACTGGATCTGTATCCAAGTCTATTCTATCGCATTTTAAAATTGAAATTGACCCAATTTAAGCTGTGAATATCACATCGTATTTAGCAGACTTGAACACACTGTATTTCTCATTTCTCATTTCTCATCACTCTCTAAAGTCAAATCGCATTATTCTCTGTTTAACTGTTGTTCAAGTGACACAATTATCCTTTCAAAGTATCGCCCTTTGCCCAGCTGGAATATCTTCTAGTGTCGTGGAGAATTTAAAACAAAGGGGGCAGCTACGAAGAGTCTAAGAAGAGTTTGTAGCTTTCAGCTGAAAGCTATGCAGCTCTCATAGCCACAGCATTGGTTAAATTTGCTCATAAAATTAAAAGATATTCAACTAAAGCTTGGAAACACTTTGATATGTTTTAACAGAATCCAGAGTTTATAGCAAAAATAGAGCAAATAGAGCCAAATTTAAGGCGAAAATTGAGCAGCCACGTTCCTTCCTTCTACGGGGAAGAGAAGCGCCTTATTCCGGACGGGTATGCCAGATGAAGAGCGCTTGTGTGCACGCACAAAGAACACCTCGTCAGTCATTGGGATTTCTCGGCATTTGATCCCAAAGGATTTGAGCATAATGACGCTGAAAACGAGACGAAAAGGCCGACCAACATTACGGAAAGGAAAACACCTTATGTCAAACGAGTATGCCAGATGAGGAGCGAACATGAGGATATGTTCAGAAAGTACATAATATACAGAAAGTACATAATCTTTGTGCGCGTGCACAAAGAACTATTGCCAAACATTTGCATTGGGATTTCTCTGCAGTTGTAGATGGCCTTAAAAGAAGAATTTGAGCCGGAAATTTGCCGGTTTTGCGGTTTGCCGGTTTTGCGAAGTCGCGGAATCGATTTCGAGCCACCATTTTATTGATTTTACCAATTCGAATTCGGATTTAATTGGTCTAAACATTTGAGTGAAATGGGAAACTTCTCAGCAGTTATTTCTTATAAGATTTCATTTTTATTTAAAACAATGGTTCCAATACGGTTCCGGTTCCAATACGGTTCCAATACGGTTCCTATTATGAAACAAATAAGGTTCCAATACGGTTCCAATGGGGTTCCAATCCGGCTCCAATACGGTTCTAGTTTCTATTTCTTTTATCTAATAATCAACTATCGTTCTCTTTCAATTTTCAAAAAAAAAAAATTTGAAAAATCATAAACGATTATCTTTTAGTAGAAAGATGACAAGTTGATTTGAAAAGAAAAAAAAGAAAAAAAGAGAATTTTGCCGCCGGAAAGTTCTCTTATCTCCGATGCGCATCGCTCTGGAACGGGGGATTTTATCGGAAAAGTTTTATTTGCAGAAATTAATAATTGAGAACTGGTTGGGTGAAGGATTTTGATATTTGAAGAAATCAAAGAGAGAAATGCACTCGTTTTTTGGGCAAAAGCAGAGGTGTGTCCCTTCACGGCAAAAGCAGAGATGTGTCCCTATCATTTCTCACACCTTTCTTCGCAAAATTGAAAGACAAATCACAGAGATTTGACATCTTTATTATAAATTTAAAAGCTAAATCTTTTTCTAGAGCTTTTTGAAAGCTCTCATTCAATCCGGATTTTAAAAATCAAAAAACAAACAAAGAGACTAGGGGAAGATTCTAGACATCTTGTAAATGATGAGATATCGGTCGAAATGGATAGTACGGTATCGCCTTTGATACTTCTTGTCCCTAACAAGTCGCCCCTTATTTTCCAAGCTATCTGTTGCCAAAATTTCAGCCTGATCGGTCCACTGGGGGACCGAGCTCTGGATATCGACTAGGCGACACTTCGTTCGCCCATACACAGCCGTACATCGACCTTTTCTTTTTTCTGACTTTAGATTCGGCATTAGGAGGATCGACTACCTACTGGGGCACATTTTCAGGCTTCTAGCATTCCCCGAATTTATGTTGAAGGACGGGCAGACGGACATTCGTAATTACCGTATTTTCTCTAATAGTAGTGCACCCGAGCCGAGTTGGTGACTATTTTACGGTTGTCGAAGCTTTTGCAGAAGCTCAACACTCAAATCCCCCACAAGATCTCATCGTCAGCTATATTTCGATCCCACATTTCGATAGGTTCTGATAAGCGGTTCTCGAGATTTCGAGTAATTCAGGCGACGCTCAGGGCGCACTACTATTAGAGAAAATACTGTATATCGGAGGACTGCATTTTAAGCTTAATTTAGATTTCCTGAGCTCATTAGAGTTTTCAACTACTAGATCTTTTGAGAGTTCTGCTGCCTTTCCAAAGTTAACAGAGAATGTTTCTGTTAGATGCGGGAAATTGATTGGGCTAACGAAGTAAAGAAAATAAGTTAAATTTGGTTCTATTTTGACCAAATATTAGTCTTAGTTCTCTGGGAAAAGCGAGATACAGTAGCCTTACACCGCTTTCTTAGCCAACCAACGACCAATCTAGAATCAAGCCAATCACTCGAAATCTAAGTCTGGATCAAATGTCTGATTTAGAGTGATCGGCTTGATTATAGATCGGACGTTTGACCTTACTTCACTCTAAATCGGACGTCCAATCCAGAATCAGATCGGACGGATTTCTAGATTGGACGTAACATATATAAAGCAGAGAGACGTCCGTCTGTCCGTCTGTCCGTCTGTCCGTCTGTCTGTGCGCAAACGCGACGCTCCGTAATTACGTTTGCTTTATTGGTTAAAAGGCAAAGTATTCAGCTATTCAGCACGCAGATATTTTCCACCCAAGGGTTTTCAGTTATGGGGAATCTAATTTTTAGGTCCATTTTTAGGTCCATTTTTAGGTCCATTTTTAGGTCCATTTGTAGGTCCACTTTAAAAAAGGAGTGTAGCTTTACATGGGTTACGATAGTTTTAGATTAAATTGATCAATTCATAGATTTTCTGGACCTAAATTGATCAATTCACGCGAAAAAGAGATTGGAAAAGTCGATTTTTCAAAGAGGTGCTCTTTATTTGAATAAAAAGGTATATTCTTTTCAATCTTTTCAATTAACAATTGATTTTAGATAAACAAGATAACAAGAGGAAAAGAAAGGAAAGAAAAGTTGGCTTAAGGGCTTAAGGGCTTGAGCGCTAAGAGTTCGAATCAGCGGACACGAAGGCTGTCATTAAAAGATGATCATTAAAAGAAATGGTAAATCGATTGAAAATCAAGTTCAAATCAAATCAAATAAACTTTAAAATAAAGAAATTCACTTAAAGAATTGTCAAAAATAGATTTAATAAGTTAAAATGGTTTTCTGGAAAAAAAAAATGGCTCCCAATGAATTCCCACGATGACTTTCGGGGGGAAAATGGCTGAAATCGGATCCAAATTGAGCCGATTTGTGCTTTTCCAAATATTTTAATAAAAGGAAATTGAGAAATTCAAACGTTCTTTTCAATAAAAAATTTGAAATTTTGATTTTTTGATAAATTTGAAAGTTAAGTTTAGTGTTTTAGACAGTTTTTTTTGGAGTGCTTTGAAATCTTTATTTAAATCAGAAAGAGATCACAATTCATAAGGCTATTTACAGCATTAACTATTGAAAATCAAAATTTGAAAGGTTTTTTTTTGATTTAATGGAGGCAATCACGCGTTTCCCCGTGGAAATGTCCGGCCAATTCGAGGGTGCCAGCATCGAAAACCTGGAAATTTCTTCATGATTCCCGCTTTTTAAGTTATTCGATTGGAATTCTGCTTTGATTGAAGTGAAAGCTTTATTTATGCGCAGGGTTTCAGAGTGTCAGTAAACATTCTGGTCAGTAAACATCTCTGACCTTGTTGTCTTATGTGTCTTCGCCTTGTCTGTCTGTCTTCCACAGACAGTCTGTCTTCCAAAAGTCCTTAATTCTAGGACAATGAATCCAGCCAGGCTCAGAACCAGCTAGCTAGCTGAGTCTGACTTTCTTTAACTTATAAATCTTTCTAGAAATTCTCAAAAGCTCTCTTGTTTTACCTTTTCAGGTGTCTTTCCACTGCTGATATAATCCTTGGGGATCTTGATGTGGAATTTTCGTTGACAAGGCTGAAAATAGATGTTTATAAAAATAGAAGGCTGTGCTGAGAAGCTCTAAATTGTGTTTTTCTAAAAGAAACCTTTGTTCCATCATTGCAATCATGGTAGATGTTGATTTTTGGGTCAATCGAGAGGATCTAAAAGGGGCAAAGTTTGAATGAATGACTTTCTAGGAATAGTTGTTCTTTCTTTCTAGGAATAGTTCATCAAATTGCTCAGATTTTTAGCTGTATATCTTTATCGATCAACTTTTTAGCTTATAATATTTAAAGTTTTGATTAAGCTTGATTAAAAGCCCCACTTCACGAGCATGTCCCGAAGCAGCATAGGATCCATCAGCGTCACTCTTTGAGCTTCCCAAAAGATCGTCTTTTCCGACTGAAAAATTGCATTTACATTTAGAAATTGATAAATAAGGTTTTCTATTTATTGAATTGAATAAGTTTTTCTTAGATTTAAACCCACGTTTATCTTTATCATAAAGCTTGATCAATGCGCCGCTATATGGCTTTCCATTGCACTTCAGAAGGCCTAAAAATGAAAGAAATGGAGATGAATAAGAGATTTTTGAATTTAATTCATTTAGATGTATTGCTAAATACCTGTTACAGACGCAGATTGTTGTTCACCGATTCCCAGCAAGCAAAATCCGACTCCAAGCAAAGCGACGAAAACGAGTCCACGGAGAAACATCTGTAAATGAAAGAAATTTGTAACGATTGTTCAAAAAAGGTCTAAAATAACTTTGAAAATCTAAAAAATCTAAAACTAAAGCATTTCTTAAAAGAATTGAAAGATTTAAAAGCTTTGGAAGCTTTGAAGCTTTGAAAGCTTTGAAAGCTTTGAAAGCTTTGAAAGCATTGGAAGCCTTGAAAGCTTTGGAAGCTTTGGAAGCTTTGAAAGAATTGAAATCTCTAAAATCCCAGTAATTTTGGCCACCTTTTATCCTCGATCGACTCGAATAAATTGACCTTAACATTCACCAAAAAATTTATCGCTGTGTACTTGAGATAAAAGAAGGAAAAGAATTCTCCCAGTTGCTTGATCTGCTCAAGCAGAAAAACAACTTGATCAGATCAACTATAAACATAAACATAAAGTCTGATCATTGAAAAATCGAGGAATAATGAGCTTTTTTCCAACTTGGAGAACAGTTGGCTAAAAAAGCGGTGTAAACTCTACCGTATCTCGCTTTTCCCAGAAAACTAAGAGATTTGCTCAAAAATAGAACCAAATTTACCCTATTTTGTTTACTTCGTTCGCTGTTTACTTTCCCTTCTTCGTTTTTTCCATTTTTAAACAAAAATGCCAAAATTTCTTCCCATGCCGGGAATCGAACCCGGGCCGCGTGGGTGAAAACCACGAATCCTAACCACTAGACCACATGGGAGGGTGGGGGAAGGCCAAAAAAAGAGACTTATAAGTGACAGGTGCTTAAAAAAGCCATTAAAAACTCATATAATCTCTGAATTTACTGATATTTTTTTGATTTGAAAATTTTGATTTTTTGATTAGTTCAAAAGTAGTCTTACTTGAGGTTTTCATTACTTGAACAACATTTGAACATTTTCTTTAACAACATTTCACCTCAACACCTCAACAACTTCAACATTTCACCTCAACACCTCAACAACCTCAACATTTCACCTCAACAACTTGTTAGAAAGTTTTCTCTTGCAACATTTGTGACAAAATTGCTGTGACTTGTCGAAACATTCGATTGCTCAAGCTTTTCAGCTTTTCTGCTGTCTTTTGAGCTATCTTTTGAGCTGTCTTTTTTTCTCAGCTTTTCAGTTATTGTTTTGCACGATTTTCCGCAAAAAAGTAAATATTTGAAGTCTTTTAGGACAATTGTCCTTTACGCGGTAAACAACTGCTGTTTTTTTGATCTTTTCAGAAAAGACGTAAGAAAGAAAAGAAGAAGGGAGTAAGAAAAGAGGGGAATTACGGTTGTTATTGAAAAAAGGCATTTTTTAAAACCGTTGATCCTATTTGATAACCTACCAATGATAGAATCCCTACTGTAAAAGCTTTTTTGTTAGTTTAAACCTTATCAGTTTTCAATTTTGCTCGTTTCCCGCCAAGTATAGCTTTAGTTTTCATTGAAAATCAAGCTCAAGCATTGAAAATCAAGATATACTTGGCGGGAAACGAGCAAAATAGCTTGGTTTTCAATGAAAACTAAAGCTCAAGTCAAAAAATGAGAGTTTTAACACATTTGAAACTTTAAAACACATGTACACATTACAGGGTGACCCAAAATTCAGCACTAAGTCAGCAATTTTTGTTCCATTTCGGAGTTTCTAAGTGTAATATGTTCTTAAAAATTCTTATTGGGCATTCTAAAATAAATAAAAAGTGTTTTTAAAGGTTTAAGTAAAAGAAAGCAAAAAAAAATTCGCAACCAGAGTCAAAAAAGCACTTGCGACCGAGCAAAACCTGGGTTGGCGCTTTAAAGCGTGGTAAAACTACCGTACCCCTCCAAATTGCGCAAAATTTCTTTTTTCATTTTTCTTCAATTCATTTTATTCTTTTTGCTTTTTTCTGGGGAGTGGGACAAATGCGACCTTTTTTTGCGCACCCGGACATTTGCGCACCTTTTTTCCGCACTTAGCCCATTAGCGCACCATTAGCGCATTTTTCGGGTTTTAATAAAGCTCTAAAAGCTAATATTAACCAATTCCTATTCCAAATGTTGTTTTTCTAGGTAATTTGAGGGTGCCGAATTCAAATTTTGACATAACAGAGCGTGTGGAACCAATTTGAAAGACAAAACGGTTAGATCAAATTACAGAAAATTGTTGATTTTTCTCTTTGTATAACTCCGTCCGTTCGCTTCCACAAGCTCTGATACGCCAAAATTTCGATTCTACGCCCTAAAATTACCTAGAAAAACAACTTTTGGAATAGAAATTGGTTAATATTAGCTTTTAGAGCTTTTTTAAAACGCGAAAAAAGGTGCGCTAATGGGCTAAGTGCGGAAAAAAAGGTGCGCAAATGTCCGGGTGCGCAAAAAAAAGGTAGCATTTGTCCCACTCCCTTTTTCTGATGTCATCGCATTTGTTTTTGCAGGAAACAAAGATGATAAAGCTAAGTTACGTTTTAACATCATTTTCTGTGGCGGAAGCTTTATTTGTAGTTTTTTTAGACCGACTTGCTTCCCGAGGATTTGCTCTACGAACTTGATGCCAACTAATGTTAACTTAAGTGCTTTTTATCATTTTCTATGACGGAAGCTTTGTTTTTGTGATTTTTTAGTTGAAAAAGCGTTGAAACGTTAAAAAAAACGCAAAAAGAATGAAATGAAATGAACAAGAATGAACAAGAATGAAATTTGGGACAAAATGGAGGGGTATGGTGGTTTTACCACGCTTTAAAGCGCCAGCCCAGGATTTTCTCGGAAAAAGGTCGCAAGTAAAAAAGCAAAAGTGAGATTAAGAGCATGTACAGTTACTCCCACACCACCCGGTCATGCTTGAAGGGAAGAGAAAGAGCCCATCTATCCCCGAAGTGCGGTTTCCCGAGTAGGCGCCTAAACTTTACAAGTGTTTTTCTTGTGAACCATTGAGAATGGGCAAAAAATAAATTGAGTATCGCACATCGGCGCGAAATAAAGCAAAAATGCGTTTTCTATCGGATTTTTCCGGGAGTACCTTTTTTAGATGCGGAAAATTGTGCTGATTCCGAATCTGAACGATGCATCGTATTCCCCGTGTTCGATAGGCGTTTGCATCTCAGCGGCGTAGAGAAATGGCCCGACCAGTTCGGAACATTCCCTTTTCAATGTTTCGTATCCGTTTGAGCTGTCCTGTGGTTATAAATTTACTGGAAATCATTTTTTTAATAAGAAATATATGAATTGATTAAAGAAAAACATTTTCTAGAAATTTTTCGTCAAAAAAACAGCCACAGCGTCCCGGGGATCAGTCGAATTGGGCTCATTTAAGGATTTGTAAAATGGACTGCGAAACTTTAATCGCACACTTTTTTGTACAGAAATGTCGGCAAGAATTTCAGGCTTCAATTCTCTATAGAACGCTTAGGGTTTTTGAATTTGATTGCGGCGTTTGGGATGTAATTTTGCGCCATCCTGTATTGACGCTCCAGTTTTCAGAACGTAAATCGAATCAAAAAAAGGCCTCAAATTCTCCATAGTGCCGTTTTTTTCCTCGTAAACAAGTCTAAAAACAGAATTTCAGAAAATCACAATAATTCACAGACAGTTATTCACTCTGAATTCAAAAATTTACTATAGTTACGTGTCAAAAACAACAATGATAAGTCATTGACCCGAAAGTGTCCTTTTCGATAAACAAAAGTATTGAGAGGATTTCAAAATATTCTTTCGATCTTTGAGATATTTTCTTTTCCGAATTGTTGTGTATTTTCTAGTGCAAGTGAACTTTATGGGGTAATGGACAAGAATGAGAAAAGGCTTGCACTTTTGGTCTCTCCTTTTCCTCTCCCTCTTTTCCCTTTTCCCTCCACTTCTATAAAAGACTTCGACAACAAGCCCTAGAGAAGTAAATCCTGATGAAATTTTGCCTTTTTTTTCAGAATATGATACTTTTATAAGTCTTTTATCTAGTATTTTACTTATCTATGTACTGTATTCAGTGCTTTACATTGAGTTTCAATGTTTTAAACTTTATCAGACATTTTTATCTAGCAAAAAAGCCAAATTTAGCCAAATCTAAGCCATGGCTAAACCAAAGCCTAACCAGGGAACCTTCCCAAGTTACCCGCGAGTTACAATATGAGGTAGGTGCAAAAAGAAAGGCCTGGAAATGTAGGTTTGGAAACTGTTTTCAAAAACCGCTAATCGGCAAAACGCACAAAGTTACATCCATTTGAATTTCGAAAAAATGAAGGCTTTTCTCGAATTTCTGGCACACTGATTTTTGCCGGCGGAAAGGCTTTCCTTTCGCCATCCCAAAACAGTTTCCGAACGTACATTTCCAGGCCTTTCTTTTTACACCTACCTCATATTGTAACTCGCGGGTAACTTGGAAAGGTTCCCTGGTAAGGTTTAAGCTAAATTCAACGATAAAGTCAACTCCAAAGCCATTGCAAGCCATTAGACTTTGGCTTGGCTTGGCCTTTTTTTTTGCTCAAAATAACTAGCATTCTATGCTCTATGATTATCAAATTCTGTAATCTGAACTTTTAGGGATTATTTTGAAATTTGTTTACGAGTTGATGACCTTTAAACCCTTCCTTTGACCCTTTAGCCATAAAATTTGAATTTTATATTTGAAAGCTGTTATTTCTGGGTTTACGGGATAGAACTGATAAGTACAAAAACTTAAAAACATACAAATTCGAAAAGTGTTTGATTGGGGAATCTTTTGAATTCAGGGTTTCTACATATTTAGTTACCTATGTTGAAATTTGTTTACGCTCTTGCCCTTGCTCTTGCCCTTGCTCTTGCCCGCTCACTCTATAAAAGGCCATTGAATCTAAACAAAGCCTTGAAAAAGAATCCTTTTCATTTAGAATATAAAGATTTAGCGATTTTGAAATAATTCTTGATGAAATTAAAGTCAACTTCCCTGTTCTAACTATTCTTTATCTTAAATAAACAATACTTTTTCTCATTCATATTCTCCAATGCTTAAATATTTCCTATTCTTGGGGGTGGGACAAATGCGACCTTTTTTTGCGCACCTGGACATTTGCGCACCTTGCGCACCGCACATTTGCCGCTCTACGGCCTTAGGAAAGGTCGTAGAGCTTCAAAAATGTTTCATAGAAGGGAATCGTATGCGTAGATTCCGAATTTCGACAAATCAGACCTCGCTGACACGTCAAATTTGGGCTAAAAGGCAAAAACTGCGGAAAAGCGTTAAGTTGCGTAAGTTGTTTTGTCGAGTTTTAAATACGAATTTAAAAGCAGAGCCTCGGCAGGATGCCAAGCCACGCCCCCTCATGTCAAGCTCTATATAATGAAATTTAATTTTCTTTCTTTATGTCGGAATGTGGGGGAATATTACGTAAATTAACGCTTTGCCGCAGTTTTTGCCTTTTAGCCCAAATTTGACGTGTCAGCGAGGTCAGATTTGTCAAAATTCTGAATCTACGCATATGATTCCCTTCTATGAAAACTTTTTTAAAGCTCTACGACCTTTCCTAAGGCCTTTTTTCCAGCAAAAAAAAGGTAGCATTTGTCCCACCCCCTATTCTTATTTCTTTCATCTAATGAATAATCTATTTAAAGATACTCAGCTAATCAACTCAATTCTCTCAAAATGACGACCACTACTGTCACTCTGCACGGTGTTACCGATACCCTTAAACCCGAGCAATCGAAGGTAAACTTTGCATAGATCCTTCAGCTATATTTGAACCTAAAAACTCTAAATCAAAATTCTAAAGGCAAATCTCTTATTCTAAAGCTTAAACTCTTATTCTTATTCATATTTCTAACCGAATTTCAGTACCGCCCGGCTTTCGAGGCAGCCGTTCTTGCATTCCGCGACGCCGAGTCGATTTTCGGAGATCCAAAATTCGAGGTAAAAATTGATTTCTTTTGGGGTTTTTGATTTTAGTGTTGAAGTTTTAGGAACCTATTGATGTGGGTCGGAAAGTGTAGCTAACGATGAGATCTTGTAGCTGATATTGTTCTCGTGCTCGTTTCACCGCTCTAAATCGAGTACATCGTATCATCCATGTTATATCATGAATTTGTATCTAAAAGAAGCTACCGTATTCTCCCTAATAGTAGTGCACCCTGAGCGTCGCCTAAATTCTTCGAAATCTCGAGAACCGCTTATGAGAACCTATCGATGTGGGGTCGGAAAGTGTAGCTAACGATGAGATCTTGTAGCTGATTAGAGGGTTGAGCTTCTGTGAAAGCTTTGAAACTTTAAAATAGTCACCAACTCAATATTCAGCTATGTATTTATTAATATATATAATTTATATTATATGAGTTCTTTCAGCTTCGTGAAGGCTGGGCAAAGGATGAAACGAGCGACTCGGGCGAAGTGGCCTATGCAAAGAAAATGCCCGATGGACCGCATATGTTTACTGTTCAGGTATGGAAAATGGATTAGATGTTAGGAATTGTGCTAGAGATTTACTTTATAAAGGCAGCGTAACTAGAAGAAATTAGAAAGAAACTAGAAATGAAGTTGAGAAATCACTTTGAGAAATCATTTCTGAGAACAAACTCATCTAAAGCTTTTAGCAGGGCAACTTACAGTTGTTCCAGGGCCAATTGTGCGTTGTTTCAAGGCCAGAAGACAGACTAGCCTCTTTCAGCTATAAAAAAACATTATTAACTTGAAAAACTCTAGAGCTTCTTGAATGGTCAAGTGGACGATATCATGAAAGATATTTGGACTCAACCCGAGCGCCTACCCAATTGGAATGCGAACATTGATTTCTCGCACATTGTCGCTACACTCACTGATCAGATTGATATCCTTAATGTGGGTGATTCTAAAAGTTAGGACAACTTTTAACTTCTTAAAAGTAATGTAATCGAATATCGAGTTCGAATCATATCGAGTTCTAGCTTTTCTAAAGAGTAACGAGTAACATAACGAGTAACTAACGAGTAACGAGTTCTAGCTGTTCTAACGAGTAGCGAGTAACGTAACGAGTAACTAACGAGTAGCGAGTTCTAGCTGTTCTAACGAGTAACGAGTAACTTAACTAGTAACTAACGAGTAACGAGCTCTAGATGTTCTTTGATCTGAAGCTTGAAGCTAAATTTCTCTAATTCCAGTACAGCAACGGAGACATTCTTTTGGTGACTGGCCGTGAATTTGTCGTCTCTCGTATTTACCGTAAAATCGGTGATGGATACATTGTAGCCGCTAGAAGCGTTGATCTCAATGAGGTGCCAGAGCATAAAGGAAAAGTGAGGTCAGGGATTTCATTATTGCAAAAGAATTCGTTCTCTGAAAAGAAAACTCTTGAGTTTTAAATCCAAGCACAAACCATTTCTCCATATCTTTCAGAGGCCATGTCTTCTTATGCGCGGCTCGTCTTCGTCCACATCCAAGCGATTCGAGCAAGACGATTTGTGATTGTGTGAGCCATGTCGATTTAAAGGGAAATATTCCGGATATGGTCGTGAATCAAGTAAGGGAAAAAGATGATTTAAATGATGGTTTACCTATTGTAACATCAAATACTTAGAATAGATCTATAAAGGTTTATAGAGATCAAGTTCTGATAGCTGAAACAAGGGTTAAAGCAAGTGTTAAACCTGATTAGTGTTCGGAAAAAGTGCACAAGTAAAACTAAAGACTAAAATCAAATCAAATCAAACTATATATGGGTCTTTTATAGAAAATGAGTCAGTTTTAGCAAACAGCTCTTCTTTTCTGATAGTATTATATCCAGAAAAGGAGGCTTAGGCTTAGGCTTAAGCTTAGGCTTAAGCTTAGGCTTAGGCTTAGGCTTAAGCTTAGGCTTAGGCTTGGACTTAGTGCGAAGGCTAGCGGCTAGCGCCTCGCACTAAGTCTATTTGGGTTTGGGCTGAACCCCCATTTTCTGGATCTAAGCTTAGGCACAGGCTTAGGCTCAGGCTTAGGCTTAGGCTTAGGCTTAGGAAAGGAACTGATTCGAAAAAAAGCCCATATCCAGAAAAGGAAACAAGAGCTGCTAAAATGTGGAACTGATTCGTTTTCTACAATTTCTACAACGCCTAAATCAAACACTCAATTCGATTTTCAGTTTGCTGGAAAATTCGCGCTAATGGAGGCAAATGAGAACAAGAAACACTTCGAGTGTCTGAAGAGACAGGCATGCTGTGGAACGACCTCTCCCCCACAAAATTGCCCCACTCACAAGCTCCGTCCCGATCAATGCATTTACTAAATGATTCAAGCAAAATAAATGGAAATCTTTGGTTAAACCTAGTCCTTCAAAAGCTTCAAAAGTTCATTTCCAAACTTCCCGCTTTCCCCTATTTTTTCTTTAAGCTTTGTTTTGCTTTGCTTTAAGATCTCCCTTTTTTTGGGTTTTTGATTTTTCCCTGTCTTTTTTGGTTCACCTTTTCTCCCAGAATTGATCGTGTTGTGATTTCCGGTTCAATTTTGCAAATTCTTTTGAATTCTTGAGCTTCTCTTTTGTTTCCTTTGTGCTGAGCCTTCATAAGATGTTTTTTCGTTGCTGTGAATATGCACAAAAATCGGGGGAAACAAATTTTTCTCAATTTTTGATATTCACAGCTTGGAAAGCTGTTTTTTTGAGAGGTTTTATTGTGCATAGAATAAACTCTTTAGCAGAAATCGTGCAAGAACATAGAGTAAATGGAAATATAACAGAAAAAACTCTAAGTACAGATAAAAGAGTTTAAAAGGACTACTATTAATGGATGAAAATAGGCTTTAGGGTCATGTTGTTAACAGCCTTTTTAACAGCCGTTTTAACAGCCTTTTTCGAGCCGTTTACTGTTGTCAATCTATGAATTTTGCTCGTACTTTGATTGGGTTTCTTTGAAAAACGTTTAATTTGCTTTCATTCAATAGAAAATTTCATTTGAAGTCGAATGAAAGAAAATTCAACGCTTTTCAAACAAACTCAACTAAGAAACGAGCAAAATACGTAGATTGTCCATACAGATTGTCCATACAAATGGTCCGTACAGATTGCCCATACAAATGGTCCGTACAGATTGCCCATACAAATGGTCCATACAGATTATCCAACAGATTGTCCATACAAATGGTCCGTACAGAGTGCCCATACAAATGGTCCATACAGATTATCCATACAGATTGTCCATACAAATGGTCCGTACAGATTGCCCATACAAATGGTCCATACAGATTATCCATACGGATTGTCCATACAGATTGTCCATACAGTTGTCCATACAGATTGTCCATACAGATTGTCCATACAGATTGTCCATACAGATTGCCCATAAGTACATCGTTGTTAGTATTGGGATGTACAGTCGGTGCTCACACTTTACCACCATTTTTCTTGTACTCGACAACAGTTTTTCGAAAAGTTTTTTCTACCATCGTGTAGTCCAATTGAAGGGCTACATTTTGCTGCTAGACTCGCACAAAGTGAAGGTGAAACACACCTGGCTCTAGACTTGACTATCATACCCCGGTAAATGGCAATTCCATTCGGCGCAATCTTCATGATCCCGTTAACATGCCTGGCGTAGGTGTAGGCGTAGGCGTTTGACTCTCTCTCTAACTGGCTCTAGACTTGACTATCATACCTTCAAATGGCTTCAAATCGAGTCACAGAGATCGCTTAAAAGCTTTATACAGGTTTATGAAGCCTAATAAAATCCAAATCTTACTTTTATCCAAAACTTTTAATATATCCTTACCAAAATCTAGTCATTATTTTTTGCAGCCTAATTAGACTAGCTAAAAGACTAGCCTAATTAGACTAGCTGAAACTCTAGGCATTCGGCGAGCCACGATCGACGCTTTTCTACGACGTTTGAACGCCTGTGTAAAAGCTATTGGAGATCTGTTATTATTGGATATTGGAGCTAAAGGAATAGTTTTTATGAATTGCTATCAGACAATAAAAGTTATTTTTTAAGAAAAATCTTTGACCTTTTGAGTTACTTTTTATACAGAGCAGCTTTATACAGAGCAGCTTTATACAGAGCAGCTTTATACAGAGCAGCTTTATACAGAGCAGCTTTATACAGAGCAGCTTTATACAGAGCAGCTTTATACAGAGCAGCTTATACAGAGCAGCTTTATACAGAGCAGCTTTATACAGAGCAGCTTTATACAGAGCAGCTTTATACAGAGCAGCTTTATACAGAGCAGCTTTATACAGAGCAGCTTTATACAGAGCAGCTTTATACAGAGCGGCTTTATACAGGCAGCTTTATACAGGCAGCTTTATACAGAGCCTTTATACAGAGCAGCTTTATACAGAGCAGCTTTATACAGAGCAGCTTTATACAGAGCAGCTTTATACAGAGCAGCTTATACAGCTTTTTTTATATGTAACGGTAATTTTGGCCCACCCTGTACTTGCAACAAGACTTTGCCACTAGAGAAATCGAATTGTTAGCTTAGCGAGACTTAGTCTGACTTCTGATCTAGCTAACCAGGAAACCTCTTGAAGTGTCTCAACTTTCAAGTTGCCAATCGAATATTGTATTACTCCTGTATTACTCCTGTATTACAATACCTCCAAAATTGTCTGCATTATTAAATTGTCCAAAATTGTCTATAAAATTCAAACGCAAATCCAAACTTTTGTCTTTAGACTTTTCCTTTACAAACTTTTGCTAGTAAAGTCTCAAAAATCGAAGCCCTTTATAAAGTGCACGTTGAAAAGGGGAATATTTGTGTGTTGTTTTGTCCTTTTCCCTCTCTTTTCCCAGCAAAAATTGCCCTTTTGCGAAACACGGCTGGTCGGCTGGTCAACAGAAAAACACGTAGGGAACGACAGAAACAAAAAATGGGGAGGGATTTAAGAATGCTCTTAAAGTACTGTAGAATACACGTATAAATAAACAGACTGTGAGCCAGAAAAAAACCCTCAAATCAATTTCACAATTCCAAAATGGCTAGCATTGCTCCGAGATGTCGCTTGTCGATCAATTTGGCGAAGAAAGCTGTGCTGAGCACGAGAGCGTTGTCGAGAAAAGCGATTTCGGTCGAGAATCGTAAGCTCGGATGTGTGATTGCACAGAGAGTGGCCTTCAACAATCCACAGATACGGCTACAATCGACCACTGGACAAGCAAACGGTGAATTTTTGTGTTTTTCGGAGTTAGATCCTAGTTGCCTAGTATTCTAAAGCCTCATTATTTCTACGAACTTTTAGAATAATTTATTCGCAAGAATAATGTGGTATTTGCGGTTATTTGGGTCTTAACGGCCTCCTCACATGCCCGATCGTATACTGCCGTGGCGCAGTGCTAGAGCGCTCGTTTCCAGAGCGAGACCTCACAAGTTCGACCCCCCCCTTGGACTTTGCTTTTGCTTTGTTTCAAGATATATGCGAGAAAGAACACTTCTTGAAAAAAGCTGAAAAAAGCCAATATCCATAGCCGGGATCGAACTTGTGAGGTTGTGAGGTCTCGCGCTGGAAACGAACGCTGTGCCACTCGGCCACGGCTGCAATACACCGGGTCTGCAAGGAGGTCGCTAAGACCCGCTAGGACCCAAATGACCATATTTTCAGTCCTAACAAAAGTTGAAACCCTTATAACTCCCGACAGATTGTCATTTAGCAAAAACGGAATATATATTCGGATATAAAAAACTCTGCGAATGGTCGAAAAATCCATGGCGGTCATAAATAGATAAGCCGTTCCAGTTAAACTGAAGCCTAAATGTCTTCAGTTTAACTGTATCTTTAAATCTTTACAATGATGAGCTTTAAGGCTTTAAGATCTCGAAATATTTGTGTTTTTTGTTCGTTGCCTTAGTTTTGTGCATTGTAGACCGTGCTCAGCTGATCGTTACTTTCAATAAAGGAGAACTTTCAGCTGAGAAGATGACTCTATCGCTTCTCGGCATCACCGACACTTTACCGCATGATAAGGAAAAGGTATGGAAAGCTTAAGAAAAGAATTTTACGCATATAATGACTACAATCAGTAAAGTAAAGTACTAAGTACTTACCGTAATACTGTCATAGTACCCCACCCCCATAATGACGGTGCGGCGTTTTGTGTAGTCTAGCTTTGAACGCGTTTTTCTCGACACTGGTTTATGCTACAATGCTCGCTTAGGTATCAAAAAATAGCTGAAATTCACGGCTATTTTTTGATACCAAAGACGCATTTTTTGAAAGTACGGGTGCTTTGAAAAAAATGAAAGACTAAAAAAATCTTGCGACTACGCGACTGTAAAATGAAATACTAAAAAACGCGACTACGCGACTGTACGAGGGGGTGGTGGGGTACTATTACAGTATTTACGGTGTACAAAACAACCAAATAAACAAATCCCAGTACTCTGATGCTCTCACAACTGCAGCCGGTGCCTTTCAAGATGCCGAGAAAATCTTCAACGATCCAAATTTTTCGGTAAGTTGTAAAAAATTGATTTTTTAAAGGTTAGAATCATTTTATACTCTAAAGTTATACCCATTTTATACCCTAAATCATTTTATACCCGAGTATAAGTTCTGTTTGGTTTTCGCATGCAAATTGACGGCTGTCTCCGGTGCGGTGTGTCGAGGGTTCGAACCCCGCTGCAGCATAACTTTTTTGCTTTTTAAGAATAATAATAGAAGTAAATTTATTGAGGGTTATAGCAATTTTATGCTGTTATTTGTTGCTCCGGGCGTGGCTCGGCGCGTCCGCCCTGCTCCGCTCCGGTGCTCAGTCTTATGGATCCCTCCCTGGCCTCTTCATCCGGCCAAAGTCCACGTCGACGGTCGAAAGAGATGCTTTCCAGCGTCTTCTTCAACACTATCGTCTGGATGTATCCATGCACATAACAAATAGCAATGGCTGTCACCCTGTAGTATCCCGCGCTCCAAGAACAATAATAAAAGTTTATATAACAATAAAAATGTATAAAAAAGAAATTCAAAGCAATTAAAGCGAATGTAAATTGAGGCAGAACTTATACTCGAGACTTTAGGGTAACTTGATTTGCTCAATTTTTGTAAACAGTTTTTGTATGGTAAACAATCTATTTTAGTCGAAAAAGGACTGGGTTCGAGATGAGCCAGTTGGTGAAGGAAAAGAGGGACAAGATTTGAAAGTTTTCTCGAAAACGACAAAAGAGGGAATAAATCTGGTTGCGATTGAGGTGAGGAGAGGGGAAATATTTACTGAAACGATTAAGAAAGTTTATTTCAATTGTATGACATCAAAAATTGAAGTTGAAAGCAAATATTTCGTCTAATTCTTGATTGATGTTTAAAACAAATTGAATAACAAGTTTTGAAATGAATTCTGATTAAGATACGATTGCAATAACATAGAAGAAAAAGCTCTGTACTTTGTGCTCTTACAAATGCACACTTTCTAGTACACTAGTTTCATCGTTTAGATACTCCAGGGAATTCTACAGAGATTTACCGACAGTTTTTCTATTCCAATTAAAATTTAGCATTTAACTTTGACGGGAAGAGCTTAGAATTGCTTGCTTGAGAGCTTGAAAGCTTTGGAATCATCTAAATCATATAAATCAATCAGTAAATCAATCAGTCAATTCAAAATGGCAAAGATTGGCAAAGAGAAACGAATGGCAATGATTTCTAACTCGAGGAGGGGGAATTGAACCTTCACCCTCTCTTTACCGGGCAGATGCTCTACCACTGACCTATTAGACCTATCAGAGCCTAAGAAAAACGCCTTTACAGTCAGTCAATCCCTTTCAATCAATCCCTTTCAGTCAATCCTCCTGGGAAACGTGGATTGTGTCTTATTGGATACATGGACACAAACCGATGACATGAAACAGTGGAATTCCTCCATCGAACACTCTTGTTTTGTCGCCCAACTCACCGATCATGTTGATATTATTCATGTAAGTGCAAAAAAAGTTTCCTATTTTTATGTACTTATCTTTAATTGAGTTTTCCAGTCTGGGAAAAGAGCTCATCGATTTCTGACCTTTGTATAGACTTTATATAGAATTTATATAGACTTTTGTAGACTTTGTACAGTTTGTATAGACTTTTGTAGACTTGTAGACTTTTATAAACTGTATAGACTAAATACTAAATTCTTTTATATTTTCAAAATCTTTATCTTATTTGTTACTTGAATACTAATAAGAAAGTTGGGTTCTTCTCGGGAATACGGGTTTTTTTTCACATCTATAGCAGTGAAAAATGAATTGGGGAGTCTCCTTTACATACTCGTTTTGTTGGCGCGACGGCGGAGTACGGGCGTAATAAGGGGCGCGCTATTAAGTAGCCTATTAAGTAGCCACGGGTCTCTGAAAAAGAGCAAAATTTCTACAAACCAGAATACTTTAGACGTGCAACAACGATATCCTTATCGCGAACGGACGAGATTATGTGAATGTGAGGTGAGAAAGTTTGATAAATACAACTCTGAAACCAACAAGACATGGCTAATTTTTCGAAGTCTAAACCAAAAAACTATAAAAATCTAAATCTCAAACTGTTTAGAATCTATCGAAAGATCGGTGACGGTTACATTATCGCGGCGAGGAGTGTCGACTTGCCTGAAGAGAAGCCGTACAAGGGAAAAGTTCGGTAAGTGATTTGAAATCAAATACGGTAATGAAATTAAAGTTAAAGTCAGCCTTAAAAATCTCAATATTATTTCAGACTGTTGCGTCTAGTTAAGTTTTATCATTTCCAGAGCATGGGTCCACTTGGCGGCGGCTCGTCTCCGCCCTCATCCGCAGGACAAAAATAAAACGATCTCCGAAGTGCTCACACATGTTGATCTCAAGGGAAATATCCCAAAAATGATCGTCAATCAGGTAAAAATTACTCAAAAACTCAGATACCAAGCTAATTTTCAGGCGATCAGTCGTTTCGCAGTCTATCAAGCTCAACAAAACAAGAAACATTTCGAAATGTTGAAGCAACAAGGAAAACTCGACAAGAAAGCTCAATAAATAATGATCATCATTTCCAAAAATAAAGATTGAAAAGAAATCCGTGAGTTATGCAATTCCAATTTCTGCCCGCCTTACCAAACATTCCCGCTACAATAACTTTCTGAAAAACCTTTCAGAAAAGCTTCCTACCACAATTCGCGTTTTTAAACGAACCTTCAAAACGAAATTCATTTCAACAAAAGCCTTTAAAGGCAAAACAAATGTAGACCAAACAAACGTAAAAGGTCAACGACTGAAAAAGATCTAGACCAAAACAAATATAAACGGATGAAGAGAAAAAAGTTTGCAATAACAATACAGAAAATATGTACAGTTCAAAAATAACACTTGGAAACATTGAATCATTTTAGAATTGTGAGAAGTAATGTTTTTGATAATGATAATCTTGATAATCTTGATAATATGAGTGGCCGACATTTCTTTCAACGAATGAATGGTAAGATGGTGCTTAAATGAATAGTTTTTATAGAAAAAAAAATGTGTTTTATAAACTCATCATTTAAACGCTCACCTCGTGATGAATTGTTGGGGTAACGCGATAGATCAAAACGAGACAAAGTAGAAGGAGTTGGACGAGAATTTGGCTGTGACATCAACTTTCCGGAGTGACAATTCTAAAAGCACTATTTTTATCTCTTTGAAGAGTAAACCTGCAAATACTGTTGTTGTTTGCACGCACATTCCGAGTGAAAACGAGCAGTTGAAGGATTCGGCTTTTGTCCTTCAGTGAATCGCATCCTCATTTTGAGAGAATTCTAAAAAATTCAGATAAGATAACGATTGCGTACAAAATTTTATTTCAATCAATTCGATCCAAAACTGACCCTTTGAATGATCGAGGCAAATTTATTTTTAAAAGCTAAAACATCTACCTCCCACTGCACGATTTGCCTCATTTGTGATTCTGTCGTACTTGAAAAACGTTGAGTCAAATTGAAACGTAAAGATTTTGTCTTTCGTTCAGGCGAGTATCTTTTAACAGTCGTCTTTTTGCTTTTCAACTTGTCGGTTTTTGTTCTAAAACGACCGTTTAGAGTAGGTATATCAATGCAAAATACTTATTTGCTTTTGTTTGAAGAGCGTCCAAACTCTTGCACTTGCGGTTCAAATAGTTGGGTTCTAAACAGGCTTTAATTACACAGGAAAGAAAAAAACCTGTCTGTTGCCAGTGTGGTGTAGCCTCGGATTCTTCTTTACGTGCTTGGTCCTTGCGCGTTCTTGTAGGAGAAATGGAATGGGAGCGAGTCAAAGACTTTGTTGCTTCAGCAAGAGCTTTGGCTGAACGAAAACCAGTATGGCCAAACGATTTCACTAAACGAAACATTTGTGGTAAAGAATAAATATTTATCATCTCACCAAAATTTTGAACAATGAGCCGAGGATTCTTCCGATATGAAGGCTTTGGAGATATAATTTCTTGTGTTTGCGCTGGTGGATCAAAGGATTTCCTCGACTAAACCACATACCTAGGTATTTGAAGTTTCATTTTAAAACATACCCTTCTTACATCAGAATTCCTCTCAAATGGGTTAGGGCCATCCTCGACAGACACGTCGGCCTCCTTTGCTTCAGCATCCTAAAGAAACCGACTTTTCAAATTTTTAACAACCGTTCTACCTCTGATTCCTCGACATGTGTAATGTGTGTGGTTGAATTATTTAAAGTAGCGTTAACCTTAACAGCCTAAAACAAACCAATAAAGGTAAAAAGATAAAATTACCGGAATAATGCCCAAGGTTACAATCGACCCAACTTTTATGCGTTTCAATTGATCAGTAACATCTTCGTGTTTCATGTCAATAACCGGAGCATGGTTGACCTAAAAAGCTAACAAATTATGAATTTTCTTTGCTAGAGTTCCCTAAAACATGTTAAGACACATGCTACATCCCCTTTCAGATAAAGTGCGCTATAAAGTTTCACCTTAACTATATTTTGCTGATGTCTGAGGTGGTATATGAATAAACTGGTTTGTATTTACATTCCTCATAAAAACCAACAGGGTGTCAGTCGAGGCAAAGTGCTTCTAGCCTTACCTCGGTGATTTGATCACCAGCTTTCAAAATTCCAAACGTTTGCCCATCGGGATGCACCCATCCGACACATAGAATCAGCTTGCCTCTGGTGGTGGTTCGTCCAACTATCGTAAAACCAAACCCCTTTGTGCCTAAAGCCTCAATATTAAAGATTTATGATACAACCAAACCTTTTTTTAATTGAACAGTGAGGCATGAGCCGCTTCCGCTCATTTCAAATGGTTCCAAATCTTGTGCAATTTGCCGCTCACGTTCAGCTCTAAAACAATATTTTGCTATTAGTCGAAAGCTTATCCTTACCTTGGTTTTATCGACTTGTAAGAACAAGAGCTCGACACAGATTTCGAAGAAACACAATCATCTAAATTATCAACGTATGAGAGATATTCAAATTCCCAACCTAAATCCTTTGCAGTCGAAGCAGCGTTCTCTATTTTGATAATCTTCCCACTTTCCTAAACTTATGATTTGTGCAAAATACCCAACAGGAGCATACAGGAGAACAGGAGTTAGATTCCAGTTTTTCATTGCAAACACGTCCAGCTTTCGTCCCACCACTTTGCGAAGCTAAACAAGAAATTTAATGAAACGATCAACAAGTTTCCTCAAGCGTTTTATTGCTTTAAGTCCAAATTAATCAAGAATCAACAAATTCAAAACAAAACCTTGATCAAATGAGCGTTGATTGCTGATTCGTAAGCAAACGACACCATTTTTGTCGAAATTTTGCACTGTCTGCTCGGTCTAAAATGATATACTCAAGTAAGCTGAGAGAAACAAAAAAACCAACCGCCGAGTTTTTGTTAGAAGTCATGAGTGAGAAAAACAAATGAATTTTTGTCAGTGCTAATTTGTAAGTACCAAGAGAGCCAAGGTAAAGATATTCAGTTAAAGGCCTCAATCGCTATTTTGTAAATTACTTTGTGGAAAATCCACGAAATCTAATTTTCATTTCTCGAAATGTTGAGGCGATCGCTTGCTTTATCGGTAATCGTTTTAATTTTTAGTTTAGTTACTCTTATCGTTTAGTTTCTGGTGCTTGTTGCGCATGATATTGTGGATGTGGATCTCACGAATCTCTCCAGCCTTGCGTCTTTACCGTAAAATTTTCGATAAAGTACGACAAATGGTGTATCTTTTAGAAGAACTGGCTTCTTCTGTCTATAAGGCAGTCAATTGATGCCGGTGTAGCATATGAAGCATAAAAATAATACTCGTATCTCTTCAATTCAACTTATACCCACCAAAGTATATTGACGAATGGCGCAAAGCGAAATGGCGTCAAAATTGGGCAGAGGTTGGAAAAAAGACTAGAGGTGCGTTATCATTTTGTTTTTTTGTCTTTTTAAAGCGCTTCTAAAATTTTTTTTATTATTTTATTAGATTATTTTTCTCAAAAATTTGGTAGTTTAGGTGGAGAAGACAAAGGAATCCATGCAGTGCTAACAAGGACAACAACTGTGCCTATTCCAGGTCCCATTGTTTAGCCATGCTTGATGATTTACATTACTTTTTTGATCTTTGAGACCATCTAGTTTGTGATTTGTTGGTCATAGAAATAAATACGCTGATAGTTACAAAGCTTTCTTTTGGTCGAAGCATTTACTGCATTAATGAGATAGGGCTTCGTGAAAATCTTATCGTTAGGATGCATTAAACGTACATCCAAATAATCGTATCAAAGTCTTATTTCGTTGAGAAGTGCAATGAAACTTATTTTTTGTTGTGGTGCCTTTGGCAGAGCCTTTATTTTTAATATCAATCAAATAACCACGGAAATCTTAACAATACTAATGCATTTATAATCTATATCTGGGTACAAAAGCCATCAAACCTTAATTTATAAGACATCAATACTGAGACTAGAAATCAAAAATCTTAACAATAGCAAAGAAACCACAAATTAAGTAAATCACAAAGAAAATTTAAAAAGGATCATCGAAAAGTTTCTTTTGACGAGCTCGCTTTGGAGTCGGCGAATCGCTAGGATCATCGTTCGTGATTGGCCCCAGGATGCTGCTGAAAGAATATTCATAAATGCCATTTGTTTCTTTATTTTTATGAAGCCATTTGATTCTGTATAATTTAAAGGGAAAAAAAACTTACACATCCACATGCAAGAACTCTTTCGAATAAACGCTTGGCGTGGCTATGCTTGTCATTGGGTTTAATATCTCTTCCCATTCTTTCTAAAAGTAGCAGTTCAGTTGAAAGATCAAGTATAAATCCTTACCGTCGCTTTGGATAAAAGCGTAACAAGAAGAGTAACACAGCGTCTGGCTTCAAGATGAGTGGCGGCAATGTTGGTACTTCTGAGGTCAGGGCCCAACTAAAACAACAGTTCAGTAGCAACGATAAAGTATTCTTACAAACAAAACCTACGACAGATTGAGAGACGAATCGAGCCAAGTTTTCTACACTCATCTTATTCGCATCTTTTCTGGCGACCACCTTTTGCCAATGAATGCAGAGAAAAGCGAGTGTGTCCCGGTGTGGTTGTGGCAGATCGGCGATCGCCTTGTTTAACGCGACGTGGTTTTTCTTTGTAGCCGCCTCGATGAACTCAGTGCGTGAAGTTCTTGGAATCAACGGATCCTAAAAGTGTTTAGTTGTATGAAGAAGTAAGTTACTTACCCTGAATTCTCGCAGAAAATCTTTGATACAATCAGCTATCACATCGTTCTCGAAAAGGTCCATCTTTGGAACGCCACGCGAAGTCTTCAGTAATTGCAATAAACGAATAGCCTATACAACCGTATTTACTTACGAAGTCACAAATTCAACCTGTTGTTTTTTACCAGCGACACGATAGAGGCCGTCTTGATTGAGTGCACCTCGTCGTTCAAGTGCCACAACGCAGTGAATGATTGGGTAGGGGATCATCGGCGCTGAAGCCGGGCAATAGTCTTGAATTCGTACACCGTCCATTCGGTTTTTCATCGGAGTCTTTGGAGCGCGTGGCACACAAGGAATCGACAATTGTGCTCTGAATAACTTATAAACAAACGAGTATTAATCATTTCTTCACTTGCAAGCCTCGTGGGTAAATTGTTGGCAATCGCTGCATCGAAGCGAGGCTCGACCGGTCAAATAGATCGGGCCATAGCAAAAATCACATGTAGTCATCTTAAAATAAAAGTTTTTAAAGAAAAAAACAATCTGCACCTTGATGATCGAAGCTTTGACAAATTTGTGTTGACGTTCTTCAATTGGCCGGCCGTATGTCCAATTCCGACGAGAGCCGACACGCCTAAGGGATAGAAGTTTTAAAAATTTAACAGTGCCAACCTATTTTACTACTAACAACTTTTTCAATGCACTTACATGATTGGTTTATTCTTTTGAAGGATGCTGTCGTCTATGACGTTTGAAACATGCTGACATGCAAGTTGTCTGCTGTCGAGATTTTCAATGCTTTGACTCCGATCTGCGATTGCTCTGATTGCTCCAGATATCTGATAATTGACCTAAATTTACATATCAAGTTGCCTGCTTAAAAATACAGGGCATTGTCACTTGGATAAAAATGAAATAGAGTGAAATGAAACCCACTGCTTTTGGAGTGATTTCTTGAGCAGCCGATGTGCTATTCGCAAATTCTCCAATGTGGACCGAGCGTGATCGTCTTTTTGTTGCCCTCTTCTTAGGTGTAGCGCTAAACAGTAAATTTGATTAGTGAACCCAAGGCTGGCTAAACCCACTTGAGACGAGCGAGCCGACGGGGTTGCTCAAGGAGGTTCTCTTCTGAGCCTGTTGTGCAGTCATCACTCGTCTGCGTTGCCTCTTGTGAGAAGTCATTGGCCTTGTTTTGTGCAAATCTTGAAGTACAGCGCAAGCTTTGATTCAGCTCCGCCTAAAGTTAGTTTTTTTGTCGGTATTCGGGAAGCAAAGTACCATTTACATATGTCTGGCAAAAGCTTAAAAACATCGTAGAGTTAAGATATCAAAATGTTTTACCTTGAAAGCTTTGCCGTTGCGTAGTTTGAGAAGGCGATTCTCCTCGAGTTGTGCCGCAAACTGACTTCTTGCATCTTTCAACTCGTGATCCAGCTTGCGTGTGACGTCCTTGCATTTTCTAAAAACAAAGAATATTTGAACGACCACTTAAAAACTTACAAAGCCTCTTCCTCTAATTCCTCGATTCGTCGATTCAGAAGTTTTATCTTCTTTTGGTCGCGCAGAAATTGATCGTGGAATTGCTGAACGGCGACTACCAATTGCTGTGAATCTGAAAACAAACAAAGTTACTCCAATATCTTTCTAGAAAAAGCTTTAGATTTACAAAAAAGTAACCAACCATCTTGAAACTGCGCGAAAAGTCGTTGATCGAAGGCCCCGTGAAAGTCGTGTAGAAGCTGCTTCGAGTAAGCGCTGCAATTATCCTCCATCCTCTGAAAACAGAACAATTAAGTAGGTACAAATTTCTAAAAGAAAAAAAATCAAGAAGTAAAACAAAAACTGATAGAACGAAATCAATGTGTTTGCTGGTAGTGGTATCAGAGCCACCTGGGTAGCCGGGGGATAATTGTCAAAAATTCTATAAATGTCCACAATCAGATCAATTATCGATCTATCTGCGCATTAATGGGAGGGAGACAAGAGACGATCGCAACACTTCCAAATGGCATTTTTTTCAACTCTGCATGGTTTTATAAACCCTTTAGAAATAAAGGTATTCATTTAGCACGCCGAATAGCTTTATTTTAATGCAAAAGTCCGGTTATGAAGTCCAAAGGTCGGACCAGTTTCCCCCAAAAACAGTCGATCGATTTCTTCTGTCTTGTTTAATCAAACTCCTCAATCGTTTTCTACATCTCTCTTCACAAAATATTCTACCTGTCCACATTCAATCAACATAAAGATACAAACGAAGCTTTATTCCCAAAAAAGAAAAGCCCAAAATCATTATTCGGTTGTCGAGAAGAAGTTGTGTTGCTAGAGTTGCCACTTCTTTAGTTTTTGTCCAAGGGAACTTCTCGAAGCCGAATTCCACGCGATGGTCGCACCTAAAATCAAAATAAAGAAAAGTTTGTCATCTGTCAAAAAACCACCCACCTCAGCCTCAGCTTCCGTGTTTTCTCTTTTCTCCAAAAATCCCCATGAAATCGGAGCTGAGATTGCTGATTTTAGAACACCCTAAAATAGAAATACCATAGTGTGACTGGATAACATACTTTGATTCCATCAGCCTCGTAGGCCTTCTTGACACGGTCAGTCTTGTAATTCACCTCATTGATCAATGGATCCGTCAACTGAAAAACGCAACATGAAAAACAGTTGAACTCGTTGCCCGTTAACTTACTATTAGGTAGCCTAAAACGAGAAAAAAGGATAAAGCATTCACCTTCTCTAAAATGGAATGACGATCTCGTTCAACGATCTCCTCGTGTTTTGTTTTAGTTGCGGCCTTCGAGCCAAAACCCTAAATAAACAAATTATTGAAGCCATTACATCTTATCATTGCTTACTTAATCTGATCATCAAAGCCGCAATCATCAAAATGACAATTAAAGCTACTCAATCAATGAAAAATTCACTCACTTTAGCCTCCCGTCTCTCATTTTCTCGTTCTTCCACAGAAACTGGAGCCGAGAAGATGGCTTTTAGAGCAGCCTAAATAAAAGTTAGAAATACATTGTCATCTAGTTTTACCCCAATCCCTTCATTCGTGTAGGCCCTCTTTGCACGCTCCATTTCATAGTTGACCGAATCAAGGAAAGGATTCAACAAATCATCTTCAACAAGAAGCTGAAACAACATAACAAAGTGAAAAGATTTTAACAAACTTACGCTCAATTTTTGGATGAAGCTCAGCTGATCGTAATCAATTGCGTCGGCTTCGCGGTTGTGGCGGATTGATTTCAAAATTGACTAAATAGTATTAGCATTCCATCTAAGAGCTTTAAATATTTACCTCCATGAAAGCACCATCATCGGTCTTATCCACTCCTTTAGCCTCATTGAACTCGCTCTCCAAAATCTAAAACGCATATTGAGAAACTTTAAATAACAAGATCACACCTCAATTGCACGCTTGACAACTTTATTTGTGTTGTTTTCCTTCAATCCGTCCAAATACTTGGCAGTGTTTTTCAAGAGGATCTAAACCAAGAACCGCATAAAATGCAACTTTAAAATAAGCACAAATTACCTCAGTGAACTCATCAGAGAGGAAGAAATCCAATTCATTGGCCTCACGTTTCGCTTTTGCATTTTGAATCTCATTCCACAGATTCATCTAAAGATTTCAAACATTAGATCCAAAAGAAATCTCTCACATCCGCATCGAGCTTTCCGTATTGTTTGACGAGAAGATCAAAAGTTGTTGAGAGAGCCGACTTCACATTGGCTTCCGTATTGCCGTAGAGTTTACTTTTCTAAACAAATTAATTGGTACATTATTACAACTACTAAATCGTTAAAAAGGGTAAAAGCAAAAAGAAAAATCAACTTCATCAAGACCATGCGTGTAATATTTGAGGAAATCGTTGAAAGATGGCGTCTCGAGGACATGAGTGATAATCATAGGCTTCAGGACAAGAGCTAAAAGACAAGAATCAACATAATGTACTGGTAAAAACTAATCAACAACTACATTTACTCTATCGGATAAAATTTAAATCTTACCGTATCTCTGATTGATGATATCTTTTCTTGGGAATATCCAGGATGAATTGAGGATCCTAAGCTGCATTTCTCTCCAATAACGCGATTTGCTTGGTTTATATGGCCTGCCAGCATTTCGCTGCCAGCCAGCTTTGACATTAGCTCCTTCGTTCCCGTCTCCAACGTTTGCTTGAGCCATCGTCATTCCCAGCACCAGAAGGATGATCGTTGATTTGAGAAAACCCATCTAAAAGGATTCAAATTAATATTGAACGTAAAAGAAGTTTTAAGCTATTCACATTATGCTACCTTTTAGTCATTTAAAACCTTTTAGTCATTGACAAGCTACTAGACAAGGCTTTTTTTACTACTTGATTCACCATTGAAAAGAGATTCAACCATTATAACAATCTTTATCTTATAAATCTTCAAAAACGCAATAAAATATAAAAGAAATATTAAAAAGAAAAGTTTAAAAGTTAAAAATCAACCTGATTGATTCGCGGATGGAGTTTTTGCAAATGATGCTTTTCTCTTCTTTCATTCGCTTATAAATAGGTGATAAATGTAAATTTTCCTTAATTAATACAGTTATGTAAATTTTGAAGTGTTGTTTGTTGTGTTGTGTACAAAATTATCGAAAGAACTTTGATAAAGTTTATTTTAAAATTTGAGTACAAGTACAATGGAAATTACAGTGATTTCATTGGGGGTGGGACAAATGCGACCTTTTTTTTGCGCACCTGGACATTTGCGCACCTTTTTTTTGCTGGAAAAGGCCTTAGGAAAGGTCGTAGAGCTTCAAAAATGTTTTCTTAGAAGGGAATCGTATGCGTAGATTCCGAATTTCGACAAATCAGACCTCGCTGACACGTCAAATTTGGGCTAAAAGGCAAAAACTGCGGAAAAGCGTTAAGTTGCGTAGTTTTTGCCTTTTAGCCCAAATTTGACGTGTCAGCGAGGTCTGATTTGTCGAAATTCGGAATCTACGCATACGATTCCCTTCTGTGAAAACATTTTTGAAGCTCTACGACCTTTCCTAGGACCTTTTCGAGCAAAAAAAAGGTCGCATTTGTCCCACCCCCGATTTCATTGTAAAAGTACAGTGAAAATGATAATGTGAAGGCAATGATTGAGAGATTAAAAATTGAACTTAAAAGAACTAGAACAAGGAAAATAGACTCACCATAAATACTGTAATAGTACCCCACCCCCATAATGACGGTGCGGAGTTTTGCGTAGGCTAGCTTAGTACGCGTTTTTCTCGACACTGGTTTATGCTACAATGTGCGCTTAGGTATCAAAAAATAGCTGAAATTCAGGGCTATTTTTTGATACCAAAGACGCATTTTTTGAAAGTACGGGTGCTTTGAAAAAAATGAAAGACTAAAAAACTTTTGCGACTACGCGACTGTACGAGGGAGCTGGGGTACTATTACAGTAGTTACGGTAAGGCTTTTGCTAACAAAAATCACAGGAGAACTGAATAACACAAGTATTAGAAGAGATCAAAAGGTACAGATCAAACGGTAAACGAAAGCGGTTTGATTTTAGAGATCCAAGCTGGTGATTATTTCGATCATTTACACTTTCCCAACTTTTTCTTGAGGTTTTCATTCTGTAAACATTCTGTAAACAATTTCATTCTGTAAACGAATTCTTTGAGATTGATTTTATGCTTGATAAGACTCTTAATACAGAAAGGCTTAAAGGGGGGTATTAATCGCGGCCGGGTGACGATAAAAATTTTTTTACGGCAACCACCTGTTTTTTTATTTTAATATCGCTGATTTTATTATAAAAAGAATAAAAATCACCCGGCTAGAGTGATTTGATGGGTTTACAAATTTTTGGAGATGCTGCAAGGCTTGGAGGAAAACAAGATCGTCACTCATCAGACACCTCAGCACAGTCTAGATCGATTGAGTTTTAATTGCAGATAAATTTAAAAACAAAATAAAAAGCACAAAAAACAATAAAAATAAATTGTTAATCTATAATTCTTCCTCTTGCTCACTTTCATCTTCGCTCAAGTACAGCAGTTCCTCAAATCGGCTTCCTATCTTATCAATTTCCAGCGCATCTTCACCAGAAGTGACAGGATCTCCTCCACCGTAGGACGTCTTCAGCGCTTTGATTGACACAATTAGATCTTTTTTCCATTTGTGGTCGCTTGTGGTTTTAGTTTTCTCAAATAGGTGCCTTTTAGCTGAGGTGTCTGATGAGTGACGATCTTGTTTTTCTCCAAGCCTTGCAGTGTCTCCAAAAATTTGTAAACCCATCAAATCACTCTAACCGGGTGATTTTTATTCTTTTTATAATAAAATCAGCGATATTAAAATAAAAAAACAGGTGGTTTGCCGTAAAAAAAATTTTTATCGTCACCCGGCCGCGATTAATAGCCCCCTTTAAGATTAATTCCTTTCAACTTTACTCACCTCTTCTTTCAGCAACTCCAGCTCGGTTTGCTTCTTTCCCATCATCGTGTACACCTAAAAAAGTGGGTTTTTTGATAACTTGACAATCTGTTTACAGACTCTTTACTATATTAAGCTCTAATATTCTATTGGAAAATCCTAGTGTGCTAGATCCCGAAAGTTTCTGTCTCCCAACTGTTTGTCTGTCTTCTGTCTCTGCTCAACCCACCCTTTCCAACGTCTCCTCCTTTTCTTTCAACTCTTCATCCTTTTTCCTCAACAATTCCATCAATGATCCAAGCGTTTCGGAGCTCTTTGAATCATCAGTCTTCTAGATATTGTTTTTTGAAAATCCATTTCCACCCACTTTTGCTGCAATGGCTGAAGTCGGTGAGGCTTTCCGTTTCACGGTAGATCTCGTTGAGTGTTGTGGACAATCTTCTAGAAATTATTTATAAACAATCTAGTTGATTTAGTCGTTAATCTAAAAAATGAATAAATATATGCAAGTTCTAGACGAATTCCTCACCTATTTCTTCAATGATCACCTCTGCTGAAGTACTTGGACGGCTTTTTGACTCCTCATCGCCAAAGAGGCTTTCAACCTAATGTTTCTTTAAGCTTTATCACCTAAATAGTTTCTAGGACAGGTATGTCTGGGATACCGGTATGCTACAGTATGCCTGGCTGTTAGAGTATGCCTGTATGCTACAGTATGCCTGTATGTTACAGTATGCATATATGCTACAGTATGCCTGTAATTACCTCCACTACTACAGTATACGATTGTAGTAAGTGAACGAACCCTCGTTCCTAGACACCAACAGTTGAAATTCTAAGGTGCTCCTTGGCACTTACGTAGCTCAACGGCTGTACTTGTACTTGGCTGTACAAGTACAAGCTTATCTAGACTGAATACGCTAATCCAGACTAAATACCGTAATCCAAACAGTCTAGACTGAATACCCTAATCTAGACTAAATACCGCAATCTGTTCATTCTGTACAAGTGTACTTTCGGGTTTATCCCTTCAAATTGGTGTTTAATCGATTCTTGTCAATATAAAAGTTTTGTTATTTGGTGATTTAAGTGTCAAAAGCTTCACGAAACAAAGCTTTTCCTGGTGAATTTAGTTTATATAGCAAGACCAGATCTTTACAATATAATTTAGATCAAAATTCTCAAACGATTCGGCTCAAAACCTTTATCAGCTACCCAATTTAGACTTTCCGAAAATAGTTTTTCAAAAATTTCTTTCCTATTACTCACTGATAAATGATCCTCGTTTGCCTCATTCTTCTCATTTTCTTCCATTCCATTTTTCCTTATCATTTTCTTGATGTGTTCGTTAAACTGTTTTGCGAATTTCGGAAAACATTCCCCTCCACGAATCGGCAATCTTTTCAAGTAAATAATTCTAAAATTTTAAGTAAAAAGAAATAATTTTTAAAGACTCAAATTCTAATTTTCAAAAATTGTACCGATTGTTAATGATTTTCGCATTTCCCTCGTGCATCGATGCGTTGTGTTTATGGAATTTTTGCTTCGTGCGCATCAAGTGATCACAAACTAGAAACATGTCGTAATCTACTAGATAAAGGGACTAAGACGTTTATCTGTTTGTCTGTTTGTCCGTCAGTCAGTCAGTCAGTTTGTCTGTCTGCCTGTCCATCAGTCAGTCAGTCAGTCAGTTTGTCTGTCTGCCTGTCCGTCAGTCAGTCAGTCAGTCAGTCAGTTTGTCTGTCTGCCTGTCCGTCAGTCAGTCAGTCAGTCAGTCAGTTTGTCTGTCTGCCTGTCCGTCAGTCAGTCAGTCAGTCAGTCTGTCTGTCTATCTATGCGTACTACTCCTCCGCAACCAGTGGGCCATTTCAAATAACATAGTTAGTTTGGCTTAGAATTTCATGTAGTTGTGCAACGTGCTTTTAAAATTTAAAAAAACCAAATGGTGCCGACGTGGGCGGGAGTCGAACCCGAGTTGTGTGAGCTAGAGGAGTAAGCTTGCAGCGCCATCTACGAAAGCATAGCCAAGTGGTTAACGCGCGCGTCTCTCAAACAAACGGAAGAGAGAGGTCGCGGGTTCGCCTCCTTTCGCCGCTAATTCTTTTGCAGAGAGTGGGCTTTTAGAGTTTTTACGATACTCTTTTTTTAGATCCCAAAATCTCTTACTTGAACACTTGTACTCTTTCCAATCCATATGTGTTTTCACGTGCTCGATCAGCATGAACTTTGTGCTCGACATGTATTCACCGTGTAGGAGTTTCTTACCACAAATCTGAAATGAAATTCTGTTTTGTTTCTGGTCTAATTCCCAAAAACTCTTAAAATAGATGAAGAAATTGAAATGTTTGAGTTAGAGATTTGGACGCAAATTTTCGAATTTGAAAATTGTGGGGTAAGCTAATTTGCGCAACAGGGTCGTTTGCACAACTCATCATAACTTTCTTCTAAGTGGACCAATCTTTATGATTTTGGTTTCATTTTGTAGATCTCAATAAGTGCAACAAAATAACACCAAAAGCATAAAGATTGGTCGACTTAAAAGAAAGTTATGACAAGTTGCGCAAAAGACCCAGTTGCGCAAACGACCCAGTTGTGCAAAAGACCCAGTTGCGCAAAAGACCCAGTTGCGCAAACGACCCAGTTGTGCAAAAGACCCAGTTGCGCAAAAGACCCAGTTGCGCGAATGACCCAGTTGCGCGAATGACCCAGTTGCGCGAATGACCCAGTTGCGCGAATGACCCAGTTGCGCGAATGACCCAGTTGCGCAAATAAAATGGCGGAAATTAGCCTACCCCCTATTGGCTTTGGATCTTTGGATCACTTATTGAGATCTACAAAAGGAAACCAAAATCATAAAGATTAGTCGACTTAAAAGAAAGTTAAAGATTAAACGATTTTATAAAAGTTTCTTTGAAAGTTGACGTCATTTCCTTTTCAAAACCCAATCGTTAAGATTAGGAGGAAGGCTAGTTTCCGCAAATCTCTTTGCGCAACGGGGTCATTTACACAACTCCCCATAACTTTCTTCTAAGTGGTCCAATCTTTATGATTTGTGGTTTCATTTTGTAGATCTCAATAAGTGCAAAAGAAAAGTAATGACTTTTCTGTTGATATTTTTCGACTTACCTCACAAATTTCAAATGATCGTTTCCCCTTTGGTATCATGTTCTTTGGGTAGTAATCGTCATCTGAATCATTGCCGTCTCGTTTTCCAATCTTTTTCTTCTATAAAGTTTTCGATTTTTAATATCTACGAGTTGATTATTAGCTACAATCTATCAAATTTCAGCCCTCACCTCGGCATTGTTCTCCTCAATTTCGTACTTCATCTCATCATCAGCATCGGCTTCGCTTTGTCGTGACGGCTCGGACAGGTCCAACTTTTAAAGTATATAGTATTACTGTAATTTTTATCTATTATAACGTGTAAATTTAATCTCAGTAAGTATATGAACTTATGAACATAAGTATCAGTAAGTATATGAAGCATCTTTTCCCGACTCACCATTGGAATCTGTGATTTATCATCTAAATCAAAGAACTCTTCCTGACTCGTCGATGCAAAGTTTTCCTAAAATTTTAAACTTTAGACTATCACTTTAATATATCTAGTTTATTTTTATAAATACCTTCAATAAATATTTCGGCTTTTCGTTTTTCTCGAGATATTTAAGGAAATTGTCCTCATATGTAGGATCGACTGATAGTGAGTGTTGAGAATTCTAAAAGTACCAAGGGTTGCGGTAATTTAAAAACTGGCAGCTAGAATAGAAAAGTGATAATTCGTTTTCTAAAAATGGGTAATTTGAAAAGTTTTCGTAATCTTTTCTCAATCTTTCAGATTTTGTCCGATTCACTTGATTTTGTTCTGATTCAACGAGAAATCAAACTGTGAATTGCTTCGTAATTAAGTAGGATAGATAAAATCTGAAAGAAAGATTACGATAGCTTTCAAAATTATCCACTTGATGACAACCATCTTTCGTCATCTAGGAATTACATTTCCCTGACCTCTTCTTCGACGATTTCCCCATATCTGAATTTGCCCTCTCGACAAAATGCCATCAACACATCACAATGTTTCATCAAGAAATGCGTCCAAATATTATCATACATTTTATTCGATTTCACCGAGTAATTCGCCTCATTGCAATAACGACAAATCACTCGATCACCGAGTCTTTCGCACATTTGAGGGAAATGGAGATTTGCTGAAGAATTTTGTATACGAAAAAATCGAGTCAAAAATAAAGTACATTTACCACGTTTTAGATTACTCAAGTTCTTCAAGTTTCAAAAAGTTTCTACACCTTTTCTTCAAACATACATTTCCCCCGCGGTGTCCATCGAATTCGACGCTCATAATTGGGTAAATGTGTGCCAATCGGACATCCACATAACGCTTTCCATTCCATTTTTTAACCGAATCTATAACTAAAGCATAAAACTTAAATAAAACAAAAGCAAGATTTATAAAGGCTGAGATATAAGGGTTAATCAAGAAATTTTTCTTACAAACACCGAACCAAATAAAATAAAATATTTGTAGTTTACAGTCATGATATTTTTGAAGTGGAAACGTCCAGAGAACTCCTTTGTAGCAAAGAAAAAGGCTGTGAAAATGAGAGCAGCTAAGTTTAATGAAGTTCATTAAAGTTTTTTTTTCGGTCTACTTAATTTCGATTTCTGTGAATTGAATGAAATCAAAATTATGTAGAATGGACAAAATCTCAAGAAAAGATTAACAGATGGAAATCGACATTAGAGCAATCAGCCAAGAAGCGACCGAAAACGAAGCTGGAATTAGGTTCGAGTTGAAATTTTCCCATGTCTAGTTCACACTCATTTTTATTGTGAGCATCTCGATTTTTTTTGATAACGTTCCCCGATCAAAAACCAATTGAATGATTGGCATGACTCGAATTACCTGATGTGTGGCTTTTTCAAAAACTACATTGAGTTATTTATAAATAGCATACGATATGTACATCGTGACAAAATTTCAAAGTTTCACGATCAAGACCAATACCAAAATCTCAGATTAGATATTATATCACAAAAAAAATATCACAAAATACTTTTGAACCGTAATGCAATGCAAAATGAAAGTAGAAATTAAAAATTCTATCAAAGCTTACATTGTAATTCGATAAATGTTTGCTGGGATCGAGTATAAAACGAGGACCGTCATTTGGAAAGAAGTTGATGATGAAGATGAACGAGATGAGATAAGAGGGAGGATCAACGTGTAAAGCACTTCCAAATCCTGAAAGATTACCGTAATTATAGAAAATATCTATTTATCTGTTTTTCAACATTCTTGCAGAATCCTTTTTCATACCCTAACTACATATCCAAAAGGGCTTAAAAATGAGTGTTTTGGTGAATTTGTATTCAGTTTTTGACGACATTAAGGTTTTTAGTCTGTAACTAGAGAGTTTACAGTAAATTTTGTTCTTACCTCTTTAAATTTGCCAAATTGTCGAGTGAATGAGTCGAAAAACGTGCGTAGCTGATCCTCAGTGAGTGAAATTTCTAAGAAAGTTGTAGAATGGATCCCAGGATTGAGCGAAAACCCGATTTTTTAGGTCAAGGCAAGCCAATGCTTGCCTTTTGGCTTGGCTTTGGCCTGAAAATTAAGCCAAGCTTAGGTTCGAATCCTTCCGTGACCAATTTTTATCTTTGATTTTAAATGGCCTATCAAAAATCAAGCCAATTGAAAGCCTTTTGGCTTTTTATGCCAACGCTGGCCTTACCCAATTTCCCATGAACGGCCCCAAGTATATCTGTTGGCAGCTCGGTGATCAAAACATTGACTCTAGTAGTTGGCGAGAATTTCCGTATCGTATCGGAAAGCAACCCTTGACATTGACCCTAAAATCTAATTTTTTAGCATATCAAAGCAACTCGACCTCAATTTTTTTTCGATCACCGAATCGTGGCTTCTCCGTGGTGGCCCATTGATAGGTGACTAAAGTAAATGGCGACATGGGAAGCGCTGAGACATTTGATGCATGCAAGTAGCTGCTTGACGTCAAAGAACTCCTGAAATAAATGAGAATTAGAGCTGGGTGGATTTTTCAAACGCGGATCGGATCTAACAAGGGATCATCCCAAACCTGAAGTTCGGAATCATTTCAATTCTAGGTGGATCTTATAGAATCAACCATGGAGATTACGAAACCGTACAAATCTTTTTTCCAAAGACTCTGCAAACGCAAGCTTTTGATTGCGGGACATTTGATACGCGCTCAAAGCTCAAATATCTTGGCGTTGGGCCGTTCAATCTAAATAGTTTTTATACCAATCGACAGAGAAAGACTTGGCGCATTCCAATGATACCAAGAATACTTAAATTGGACAGTCTAATATATTTAAACTCCAAGTTAGAATGCCAATGGCAAAAGTGGCGCGTATCAAATGTCCGATTACCCGATATTTCGGCTTTACTGCACTTCTTGCAGCTTCGTAAACAGGCCTCAAAAAGGAATCCTAAAATTTTAAAGTCGAATATCTCGCATTCGCAGGGTCTTTGGCGAAAATTTTTTACGGATTTGTGATCTCCGTGGTCGATTCTATAAGATCCACCTAGGCTCAAAACGATTTCGAACTTCAGGTTAGGGTCATTCCCTTGTAAGCTTAGAATTTTAAATGTCAAAACCGGATCGTATCTCGGGCCAGATTCTAGACTAAATACAGTTTCGAATCGATTGAGCCCCGGAGCTGCCCATTCATTTCATTTAGCCAAAAGAAACAACCTTGTTACAGCTCCACCACTTAGACTAGAACGATTTTCTAGATTTCCCGTGTTCCCAGTGTTGGCTGAAAGCGAAAGCACAATTTCTACCGCTTTTCGCACATCAACTTTCCCATACTCGGCTTTGTCATGGCGAACCAAGATCTAGAAACCCTTTTTGATAATTTTGAAAAAGCTTGCCAACCGAATTTGCATCAAACATGATCAAATGTGTAGCTATTCCACTTTTTCGGCAATGTTCCTGAATTGATTTTGTAGGGTTAATAGAGGTATTTAAACTTTTATGGCGTCAAGAGCGGCTTCACTATCAAGTGGTTCGTGCCTGATATCCGCGGAGACACAATGAGACCATAGCTCTTTCGCTAGTTTGAGTTTCTCGTTGGATAAAGCTCTCGAATATGAACTAACAAGAACTTGGCATGGCGGTTCAACTGAAATAAATTACTGCTAGGAAAGAAAAAAGCGACATTAATTCTAGACATGCAATGCAGTCTGGTCCTGATCCAGCCCGGTCCAGCCCAGCCTAGACATGGGAAAATTCCAACTCAAACCCAATTCCAGCTTCGTTTTCTCGGTCGCTTCTTGGCCGATTGAAAGGCTTCTTGGCCTCTGAAATTTTGTCTACAAGCTGAAAATGTCGATTTCAATCTGTAGACAAAATTCCAGAGCAATCGGTCAAGAAAACGAAGGTGGAGTTAGGTTCGGGTTGGAATTTTCCCGTGTTTAATGGGTTGGGTCCAGTCTAGTTTAATGGGTTGTTTGATGGGCTGGTTTTGGCTGACAGTAAATTTCAGTCCAATTGATTTTAGACTTAATGACTAGAATAAGAAATTCAGGTAACTGTGAGCCTAGTGAGCTGTGAAATTGGTGGGCTGAACCCATGTTTATCCAGTCCGATAGGCTGACTGGACTGACTATAATCTAAAATTTGGTGAGTATAATGCTTACTTTCATTCTTGGCCAGGTACAGCTGCAGTAGCAGTTCCATATGAATCGAGCATCCACACAAAGCGAGTTTCCCCGGTGGAAGCTCATCTTGGCCAGCACGGGCTCTTTCCAGCACACTGTCGTATCTTCCTAAATTACCGGACCTTCTATAGCTCTATCTTCCTGCAAAATTCTATTTCGTGACCTAGCTGGGTTTGGGTATAGCTCGGGTAAATACTGCAATAGTACCCCACCCCCATAATGACGGTGCGGAGTGTTGCGTAGGCTAGCTTAGGACGCGCTTTTCTCGACACTGATTTATGCTACAATGTGCGCTTAGGTATCAAAAAATAGCTGAAATTCAGAGCTATTTTTGATACCAAAGACGCATTTTTTGAAAGCACGGGCGCTTTGCAAAAACGGAAATACTAAAAAACTTTTGCGACCAAGCACTAACCTCCAGCGCAAAAGGGAACTCTTTGCGTCGGTTTCGGACCGGGTGCACAGAATTGAAACACCAGACCATCGGCGAAAGTCTTCGGGCGATAGACAAGATAGGTGCACAGCTCGATTTCAAATGGAAGACCTGCAAAAATTCGAGTTACTCTGAGTTACGGTAACTGGGAGCATACATTAGAATGACGCTTTTGGATTACAGTATGTCTTAGAGGTAAAGAGAATGAGTGAAGAGACTTACCCCAGAGCGAATCAAGCACTCGCTCCATGTGTGTGATCGCTACATTCACTCCTTCAGATACCAGCGTGTCCTTGCTGCGTCGAAGCGCTTTGAGTTCTTCTCTAAACTTATTCTCCAGTGTTGACATTGCCAGACTTTTACCTGAGTGCCGTTATTGAGGTCACTGTGACCAAGAATGATCCCAAAGATGCGGCCACTTTTCCTGCAACTTCTGTCCACATCTCGATTTGCTCAGACAATGATCGTTGTTCTAGAATAGTTGATCTTTCTGTTTTGAAAAACCCAAGAAACTTTTCATTATGCTTGTCTGGTGCATCAGCTCAAGCAGTTTGACCTGCAGCTCTGGCATCACGTTGAGATGACGAAAGATGGCTGTTATCAAGCCCATATGACCCAGTCTAAACTGTGGATATTGATACGATATATAGGAAAATAACCTTAGAACTGGTTTAGCTGCACCTTGGAGAACGACAGTGGAGATTTCCGAAACAAGCGAGATTATCTGGAAAATGATCCCGTAATCTGTGCAGGGTTGGCAAAAAAAGTCAAAACTCAATGTCCTTCCATCGGCCTTGGCCTGGAACCTTACTATTGGATTTAGCCTGAAACATTTGCTTTGGCTTGGATTGACCTGGAAATTTAGCTTTTTGTCAACCCTAATCCTATGACTGCAGGTATTGCTGCAAAGTCGCTACTTTGAACGCTCCGTTCTTCGTTCGTAAACGTTTGTGCTATAATGTGGCAAATAGTGTCAAACGATAGCTCTTGAGATCTAGTTTTTGAAACCAAAGGCAAAAAAGTCTGGGAGCTGAAGATAGACTACACAATAATAGGGCTAATAGGTAATCCAAAATTTGAAACCTACAAACCTGTGTCTCAATGGCCTCGGCACTTGATGCTTTCTCCAAAATATCCACATTCAGCTCCCATTGTTCGAGTGGATGTAAGCCACCTCAAAATAATGATTAAAATCCAATTTCTTTTGCTTACCATCTTTAGTCGAATAGGTTTTCCCGAAGTGATAGCGTTTGAGGCTCTTGATTGCATTTCGAGCACAAAAACGGACGAAATTGCACCGCAAGTCAGGCTGAAAGAGCGAAATTGATCAAGTTTGAGCTTAAAACCTACAGAAGGCGCAATTGGGATGGCGGTTGTATCGGTGACGATGAAGGGTTTCCTTGATCCTTTTGGAGTGATCACATCGCTTGTTGGAACAAATAAATGATTGGGGGTTGATTCAAAAGCTCTCACTAAATTGAATAAATGGATAGTTTTCGAAATTGAATCAGAAGAGGTCTCTGATCTCTCGAAATGAAAAATCTAGTATTACGGAGCTCGGATGACTGACCTCGAAGTAAGTCTGGGTCCTAAATAATACTCCAGCGCCAAAGTCTAATCTTACTATCAGTGAGCACTTTTTACATCCCAATTATGCGCTTCTAAGCTAACTATAAGATTCCGCATGGATCCACTAACTGCTAAATTGGTAAATGCTAGATGCTAAATGGCAAATATTTGGGTGGACCCGGGCCCAGGACTACTCTGACCTAAAACTAGTTGCTTCAGCTTTATAACTTTAGCAGAGCTCCGTACTACTAGATTTGGCACCTCTAACAAAGAAGCACCGAATCAGTACCTCTCAGCAGTGTCTCAATCTTCGCAAACATTTTACGCAATGTCCTTTCACGGCCAATCACTTCATCCGCTTGCTGAAACACAAGCTAATATTAATGAAACACTTCATTGCCTCACCTTATCAGCGCAAATATGGCGATCAAAGTGATAATTGAGTGGAAGAGGTGTCGGTGTTTCGACTAAAGCAGACATCATCCACGAGAAAAGGGCACCGCCGCGACGACGGACTGTTTGGGCAAAGGTTTTCTAAAATACCGAATTTATTCTAATTGAAGAGCCCTCTCTATTAGAAGAGCCCCTTTTAGACGAAGTTTTTTTTTCGGATTTTTCGACTCTCGGATAGCAAAATGCTCAACTTTTAAAGACCAAAGGCTTTAAAATAGTATAGAAAAAGCTTAATGACGCGAAAAGGAGGAATCCCAACCGGGCATGGCCTGCTGTTGACCTACTAGCCCGGTTAGAAGAGCCTGCCCTTAATTTATTAGTCATTTTTAAACCTGAAAAGACAAATCATCGATTTCGGCCACTGGCACACGTCCTTCGCTGATCAGCGATCGAATGGTCGGACGATTCATCGGGTTTGGGTTGATCATCTCTTCAATCAAACTCTTGCAAGCGTTGCCCTAAATTTTGATATCAAGAAAATTGGAAAGACTCACTCACTTGAACTCCAGAAAGATTACCCAAGAAATCGTTTGGAACCGAAGCACTTTTGCGCAATGCTTGAATTAAAGAGATTCTTTCCATTCCCTGTGGCAGGGGTCGATAAAATATCTCAAAGAGAACGATCCCAGTGCTGAACAAAGGTTAAGATTGAATGGTGGGCTATAAACCTGTAAATGTCAACTTTTGCTGTATAAGGTTGTCCATCGGGATTCGAAGCAAGTAGCTCTGGTGCCATGTAGAGTTCGGTACCAATTTGAGTTGTCATGCTTTGATCGATTGGGAGAGCTGATTGAACTCCTGGAAGAGTTAGTAATTGTAATAGGATATACAGATTCACCTTGTCCTGCATCTTTCTTAATTAGCAACTCTCTGGTAGCCAAACCGAAGTCTCCGATTTTAACGTGATGATCTGCGTCAAGTAAGATGTTCATCTAAAAGTCATCAGATTTCAAATTTTCAGCGCTTTTCCGTTAATGGCAACTTTATTATTGTGTGGAAAACACTACGGAGCTGGGACGACTGGTCTTGCCTATCGGTCTATAGGATAAAGCACGTATTTAAATGCAAATGTCTATGTCATGTGAAATTTAGCGCTGATTTCCATTTTCTTTGTCTCACTGCTCATCTCCCCTTCTGCCCCTATAAATACCTACTCCGCCAATTTGCGGTGATCTCAAGCAATGGGCGCAGGGGTCAATCTATTCCGATCTGCCAAGTTAAGCAACATCGGCTTCGGCTAGTCGCTGGTTCGGATTTTTTTTTCATTTTTGTATTATTGAGAAATAAAATGATCGATTTTTACTAAATAGCTGTTACCAAATACTAAATAATATAAATGATAACTGATTCGGTTTGGTTTAGGAATCCATTCTAGCCGAACCAAACGAAAAATCCCTAAATCGATTTAAACCGAACCGATCGAGTTCTTCGATCAATTTGAACCAAAATTAATCACATTATATGCAAAATAGTAGTTTTCTAAACCGTGGGATAATTACCGTAACCTCACTATGCGATTACTCCCATTTGGGGAAAAGAAATCTTGGTTTAAGCTTATGGATGAAAATAGAGTTGGTCAAGATTTGCACTGATTTATACTTTATAAGACCAGCTGCCCCAGTTCCGTAATGTTAATGATATTTTTAGTGGTATAGCTTTGTTATCTACGCTATTTTTGCCACTCCCGTTAGCAGAAAATCCTAATGTCTCACCGGTTTAATATCTCGATGGATCATGCCCTGGGAATGGATATAATCAAGGCCGGATAGAATCTCGCCAAAAAGTTTCCATCCCAAGCGACTGTTTCCCTTCAAAGCTCCAGAATCGATTAAGCCTCTGGAAATGCTTGTATTTATTAACTCCACTTATGATTTGCATACCTCAAAGTTCCTTTTGAACAATACTCCATCTGAATGTAAATCAATCTAGTTGGAGCTGAGCAGGAGCCGTCTGTGCTTTCAAGCTAAACTGAAGCAGTCTAATCAAAAGAAAAGAGCTTACTTGTGTCTCTGTAGTTTTTCCATTTTCCTTTTTCGCCACACTTTTTTCGCCCTCTTTAAGAGACGATTCATCACTTGTTGTGGGAGCCTTCTCAGCGCCAGACTCTTCAAATATAACGTCGAAGTCGGTTCCATCGCTTGCGTTTGTCGCAAATAATTGCAGATCACCGCCTGTCTCGGATGTGTCCGAAGAAGATTCAGATGATTCTCGTTTTCCTAAAAACAGTAATCTAGAGTAGATCATAGAGCTTTTGGTATGTTCTACATTAGACTTTTTGTGATCTACCTCTGGCTGCGTCTTTGACTATGGGATATGAGACTCAGAGTGACCAGGAATACAAACTCTAGTTGGGCGCCGTATGGGGTTAGACATCACTAATCTAACTCTAATAGTTATCAGAGTGGTTTAACAGGAAGTGAATTTGTAGCAAAATTTGAAGCAAATTTGAAGCAAAAATTGAGCCCGGAGATTTGGATCTAGTGACGCCCAAGGGGGTTTTCAGGGTTCGGGAATCGATTGGGTGAGCTCGTTTTTAACCTTCAATATGAGCCTAACACTTGAAGCAGCATTGCCGTAAGAAGCATCATTCACTGAAGTCACCAATTATGATGCTAGAAATCAGTTTTATAATTTGATCTCTAATTTCATTATTAAACTATTTTCTTGAAGTGCTTGAAGTGGCGAGTAGCAAAGTTTGCCCAACCGAAGGGACGAGAAAATCAGCTATTAGATTGGTCTTCTTGAATGTCTTGATTTTAAAAGTTACAAGTGATAAGCAACAAGCAAAACTTCGATAAGCAAAAACAACTAAAAAGTCCTGGATTCTACGCAAGAAACCGGCTTGGCCTTTTCGAAATCCCACCTGACCCAATTTTGCCCTAGACTCAATCAAATAAATAGCTCCAATCGATTCGCCGACCCCGAAAACCTCCGGGTACAAATTTCCAGCTGGATATCTTCTTTTTGAACCATCTACAAAGCAAAAGAGAAATCCCTATGTAAATGACTAGCGAGGTGTTCTTTGTGCGCGCGCACTTCATCTGGCATTCCCGTCCGGTATAGGACGCTTCCCTTTTGGAACCCGTAAAGGGGAAGGAGCGGTGAGCGACTGAACGTTTTTTCCCGTTTTCACTATGCTCAAATTCCTGGAATCAATTTTGCCTTAAATTTGGTTGTATTTTTGCTTAAAAGTCTACATCCTGTTAAACCATTATGCTACCTATATAGCAGCTAAACCGAGAGAATAATGCGATCCAACTATAAGTTGAGCGTCTTGCCTCCTGCTTTTCCTAGGGTTTTGTGTTTCAATCAATGAACTCTACTTAAGAAGAAATATTGTCATAGATTGTGGCAATTCTTTACGGTGCGAAAAAGCCTAACCTCTAAACGATGTCGTCCACTCAGCACTCCATTCGCTTGCCTCTGGTTTCACTTCCTTCTTTGGAAGATCGAGATGCCGCAAATGAGTTGGCAATAGTGAGTCTAGAAATTTTTATAGTCAAAAATGTAATTCCAACTTACCGTCAACTTTTGGCAACGGCAATTTCAATTTCTCTGACTGTTTTCGAGATACAGGTGAGGCAGTTGCACAAAAATTGGCTGTATTGTCAATCCAGGCACTAAATTTGTTTATCTTCTAAAAATCTTTAGGACTTACTTGTAATAACGGACAACATTTGGATGATTCAATTTAGCGAATAGTTTGGCTTCCCGTGTCATTTTTCGATTCAATTTTTCACTGCGCGGATCCAGAGGAATGACCTGAATTAAGTAATGGACGGGGGTTGTTCATCGAGTTTATTTTCAAGCGAAAGCTAAGGCAAGTCAAGTCAAACTAAAAACCAAAGAAATTAATTTTTGGCTGGCTTTAGCTTGGCCTGGCTTTCAGAACTAGGGCCTTAGAATATTTAATGTAATGCCAACGTAAGTGTCAGTGTAAATATTGGGCTGGCAATAATGAAATGTGGTTTTTATCTAAAACCCTTTTTAGGAATGATCAGGTAACCACAAAATTTTAATCAAAATCAAAGTTTGTACCATTCGAAAGGTCTATCTTTCCTCTCTAAAATGGCTTTTAAATGATTTTGCAAAACTTTTGTTTTGGAGGTTTTGAAAGGAGGGGCGCAAATGAAAGTAGCCAAAATTGGCAAAAACAGAAAATAGCAAATTTTACAACTTTTTAACAAGCATTCATTTTCATTTTCCACACAAAGAAAAGTCAATATTTTTTTTACATATTCACTCAAATTTTCAGCTAAATAGGTCCAGCCGTTTTTTCTCCATGTTATTTTGAAAAATGACTTGAAATAAGGATTTTTGGCTCGTTTGAGACGTTTTTGAGCAACTTGGATACTTTTTAAAAAATGGCTTGATGGGTCTGGCTGAAAATGGAAAAGAGTTTGACCTTCCTCTTGCACAAAAAATATATCAGCTCCCCATCAAAAAAAAAGCTGTTAACTAGACGCTCTCGGCATTTTTGACCTTCCCGCACCCGAAAACCTCAAAAAAAAGTTTTGCAAAATCTTTTAGAAGCCATTTCGAGGAGGAAAGATCGATCCTTCGAATGGCACAAACCGTCTTTTGATTGGTTGCCTGATTATTCTTAAAAAGAGTTTTAAGTAAAATGAAATTTCATTATTGCCAACCTAATATAACAAGTCACTTACCTTCACAGCATAATGTACAAGGTCCAGCTTGTTGCGTGCAAGAAGAACTTCACCAAAAGCACCCTTTCCAAGAGATTTCACAATGAAGAAGTCTCTCCCGAGTCTCGTACTTGCTCCGGCCACTGTTTGAAGACCAGCACTTGAGGAACTGCCCTCATTCACGAGTAGTAGAGCATCTGAAAGGCAACTCAAACGCTTTCCATCAGACACAAACCAGCTGACAAGTACGGGTGATCAACTAGCTCATCAATCGACTTTGCACTTTGACAGTCAGCACTGAATGCTTGGAGCAGAGGTGAGATAGAAGACGATTCACACGGCCCCACTCGCAACGTGTCCAATAACGTACCTAAATTGCTGTGCTTGATCAGAATTCCAGACAAACCAAGGACAAAGAGATCCTTTTTTCGAAGGGCTTTTTGATCTAATTTCTCCACCGATGCAATTGGCTTGTCAGCCACAGTTGATCGAAAAAGATCCGCTAGGTCGTTCAAAGCCCTTCTGAAAAGAAGTCAAAATTTTTATTTTTTTTAGTCCAATTACCCAATCTGCCAATCTCCTAGTCGAAACGCTGTACAATCGTCGGTCCAAAGCGAGTTCATAGCTAAAGTGTTCTAATTATGTCAGCCCAGGCCCTGAAACTCCTAGAGATCCATAGGCCATAGGCTCGTAAAGCAGCCCGCCCAGGAATTCAACTGGCTCTGAAAATTTGGGACTGGAACATCCCTGCCAGGCAATATCTGAACAGCCTGATATGGCTTGGTTGGAACATCTTTAAAGACAGTAAGCCATAATTTTTCAGAGCCCTGTCCCAGAGTACCTAGGATCAGACATCTACAGGGTGTTTCAAAAAAGTCAGTTCAGCTCGATTTTTCGGGGGTGGGACAAATGCGACCTTTTTTTTGCTGGAAAAGGCCTTAGGCAAGGCCGTAGAGCTTCGAAAATATTTTCATATAAGGGAATCGTATGCGTAGATTCCGAATTTCGACAAATCAGACCTCGCTGATACGTCAAATTTGGGCTAAAAGGCAAAAACTGCGGAAACGCGTTAACTTACGTAGTTTTTGCCTTTTAGCCCAAATTTGACGTGTCAGCGAGGTCTGATTTGTCGAAATTCGGAATCTACTTCTACTATTCCCTTACATGAAAATATTTTTGAAGCTCTACGACCTTTCCTAAGGCCTTTTCCAGCAAAAAAGGTGCGCAAATGTCCAGGTGCGCAAAAAAAAGGTCGCATTTGTCCCACCCCCCGATTTTTCTTAGAATTTCTCACTAGGTCCTGGGGGTTGTTATGGTGCCAACGTAAATATTTTGGGCGGGCAAATTTTTGATCCTTTTCCCAACTTTATGACTCCTCTACATGAAATTTCTGAGTCACCATGAGACTTTTGCCATAAAATTAAAACTTTACTGGCATCGTGGTGTCATATTAGAGTTAGCATAAGTGCTGTATTAGAGCGATGGTAATTTTATGGCAAAAGTCTCATCGTGGTGGTGGTCATGGTGGCTTGGAAATTTTGTATAGGGATCATGAAATCGGAAAAAAAAAAGTGAAAAAATATAAAAATTTGTCCGCCTAAAATATTCCCTTTGACCCCACAATAACCACCAGAAGCCCCTAGAAATTCTGAGAAAAATCGAGCTGAGCTGACTTTTTTTTGGAACACGCTGTAGAAACAGCAGAGTACTCCCAGAGACCGTGTTCATATTCTTGATCCCATCCCCGTTTCCAAATCGATTACCTAGAGATCCGTGCGCAAGTTGTTGTTCGTGAAGCCACCTCAACCCACAGACCAATGATGTAGCTAACCGTCGAACCGCTCCAACCTATAAAAATTAATTTGAACGAAGTATCAGCAAGGTTATTTACATCATTCGTCACTCGATCGAGAATCGTCTGAAGGTTTAAATCGACCAGTGCAATGTATTGTCCAACGTAGATTCGAACCTAGAACATCATTTGTTTAGGATGGCTTTCAATTAAAGAGTGTCCCTTTATTTGATTATGGTAGTTAAATGACAAACGTGAAAGTGCGTTTCCTTGATCGCCAATCGGTCAATATGAAGAAATGCATAGGGAACCACAGAAGCATCAACATCCATTAGACCGGCCAATCCATTGAACACATTTTCAAATTCAGCTAGCTTCTCTAAAAAAAATTTTGGAGATTTTTGGTAATTCTTGAACCTAAAAATGTCTGAAAGCTGGGCATTTTCTTCTTGGCTTCTTTCCGGCCAAGTGTGTGTTGGAAAATCCATTCTGACACCAAAACCGTTTGTCCCTGAAATTGGTTACCGTAAAAACTCTAATAGATGGCTCTAACAAGTGCGTCTGTTTCTGTGCGCTTAGATATCAAATTAAAGTAGAGGATGGGTGAGTTTTTGAGATATAACAAATTTTTAGCATTAACCAGCACTTAGAAAAAAAATAATTGAAAAGTGGCAAAAAAACCGATTTTTCAATCACTTTTTTCTAAGCACTGGTTAATGCCAAAAATTTGTTATATCTAAAAAGTATTTTCTCTATTTTAATTTGATGCCCAAGCACGAAGAAACAAGCGTACTGGTGCGAGATATGGGCGTTTGTTTGAGAGCAAATTTAGACTACGCGACGCTTCTATAGGGTTCTGTTAGTTTTACGGTATGTCTTAGCATGAATTCAAAAACCTTGTAAGTTCCGGACCATTCCTGGCAGAGTTGATTCACTCTTCTTTCGTGTTCAGCGGGTCGATTTTCGATTATCGAAATGGCGTGAGAACCGATATAGCAGACGTCTTGATCCTGAAATATTTTACTAAATTGAATTGTGACTGGGTTACAGTCTGAGAGCTCATTCGTTGTCTTTCTTGTTGCTCTTCTCTTTTCCATTCGGCCTCTAGTTGACGTTTTTCCCGCTCTTCGTCTACTTGGTCCCATTCTTTTTGTTGACTTGAGGCTCGTTGACGCTGAAGTTTGAAATTTGAGAATGACAAGAAGAACGTACAGTAGATAAGACAAATAATTTTTGCAAACGCACGCTTCCTGGCAAACTCGCTTTTGGCACAAGTCAAATAAGCTATGTTCCGAAATTGCTTTCCTCTTGGAAGCTTTTCTAAAGACTTAAGCTTAAAAATAAGTGGATTAAGAATACGGCGTCTTTTTTAACTATTAGGTTAGTCAATAAGTAATGAGCCTCTCCTTTATTTACAATTTTGCAAAAGCCAAGCCTTAGATCTTTCTGATATTTTAGTATGATAATTATCAAAGAGATCAACATTATTATTGTACAAAGTGAACTTAATCTGATGGCTGGGCTTAGAGGAGGAATTTTTAGTTGAGTAATAATTTGATTTTAATTTCTTCAAAATCTCCTTTTTTTTCTCTCAAAGTAACCAATCAAATATCCTAAAATTTTTGAAGGATCTAGAAAAATTTTTTGCTTAGTATCTGAGAAAGTTTCATTCCAATCTGATGCCTGGGTTTTCAGTTATATTGGAGAAGTGCTTCTTTCTATCACAATTTCTAAAGACGCTTTCTCAAAGCCCAGCCATCAGATTCAGCTAAAACTTTGCACAATAAGGTTAATCTCTTCGATAATTATCATATTAAAATATCAGAAAGATGGTTTGGCTATGGTTTGGCTTTTGCGAAATTGCAAATAAAGGAGAGGCTCATTACTTATTGACTGTCTTAATAGATGTCTTTTGGAAAACTCGTTAGGTTAGAGAAACGGACTCTGCTTGAGATTATTACTTTACTGCATTAATTTATTCTTGACGTCAATTTCACACTATACTACATTGGGTACTGTATTGCTTACTATTTAGTGAATAATATCGGATCCCTGGATAGTGTAAGGCCAAAAGTTAGCTGAAGCTTTTCTTATGCTACCTCTAATTGTCGTTGTTTCTCAGCGTGTTGCTCGGCCATCCCTGCATGAAGTGATTCCCTCTTTTGTGATACAGTGTACAGAAAAGAGCGAACAATCTCGCAAAGATCCATAATCATTGACTAAAATACAATTTGCGATGGATAACAGATTTTCAAAACCATTCCCTGAAGCTCTTTCGTTTTCTCGTTCAATAAACCCAGAAGCTGATCCAAGTCGCATTTCGGTATCCCTCGTTCTTTCTCCAGGAAGATTTGAGGAACTCTAAACCAGATGATACAATTTTTCATTGTGTAACTTACTCATTTGGATAACTAAGTGTACATTTGACGTGTAGAGAAACGGAAAACATCGTTGTATCTTGACCAACAAGAGCTTTTTCCTTCTTTTGATCTGGTCGACGACTTGCACCTTCTGTTGGTTGCAAAGCGATTATGGCTTCTAGGGGTTTCCAAATCTGAAAAAGTTCAAATTACAAAAGCAGAATCAAGCTATCATTATCTACTTGAGATTATGGTAACACTTATAAGAAAAAGACAAACTCAAAATGAGATTTAGAAATGAAACCAAGTCTATTAGGCCGGCTATGCTGATTCCGACTCTGTTTTCAATATTTTTTTGAACGCATTGAATTCGTTTACAAGGGGTTTAGTAGATTGGATATCAAATTCTGAATCAGCATAGTCAATTTAACGCCATGGACTTGGTTTCGTCTCGAATTTCCATTTTGATCCTTGTAAACCATTGCTACCAACCTTCCATGGTCCAGCCATAATTTGCAAGTCGGCTCCATAAATTGATTCCAGTACAAGCTTTTCATTTTCCTAAAATATATGTGCCATGGTTAAATTAAATTGATGGTTATTTCGAAGACCATATCGAAACAAGTATAATTTCTTCATCTTTCGCACATTAGTAAAAATTACGCTTGTGATTTATAATCCTCTTCTTTCACTCCAAAAAAACTGCGGCGAAAAATGAGCTTTCAAGTTTATGCTTTAAATCTTTACCTATTTGCAGACAGGGTAGTACCTTAAAACAAAACCAAAAAAACTCAAAATGATAAAAGAGATTTGGCTCAACTTCGAAAGTTGAAATAAACGAATCTTGCCCAACCTATAGCAGTGTTAACAAGCTAATATTAACCATTCATCCTAAGCATTTACATTTACCTGTATCTCTTTGCATTCATCAGCGCTTAAAGTCATGAAGTCGAATATCCAATTAGTAACCAGTTAGATCGTCTTTCCTTTTGATGTTCAAATTATTTCACCCGAGATCGTTGTAAATAAGTGTTGCTTGGTGTATTGTGCAGCCGCAATCCGTCAAAAACTCTTTAACTAAAAGAAAATCGAACTGCATTGCCACTTGCAAAATGCATGATTTTTGACAACTCACTAGTGCCTTTTAGGGATAAATATATACATATATACTTTATTCGGCAAATGAATAAGTGGACCAGCAAAATTTACACAGGATGGAAAAGAGGGAAAAAAGCACTGACAATAAAGAAATTTAGAGCGAAAACTCAAAGAGGGTGGAATGATAAACTAGCTTCACGATAGGAATTTCAATACAAAAAAATAGCAATTGTGCTAGACAAGAAGTCGCTCTTTTAAAAACGGGGAGAGATGATAAATTTCTAATTCTAATTAGTAGGGAATTCTATGCGCGAGCAACACGATTGTGAAAGCAATTAAAAGCAACATTAGAAAGGGATCTGGGATACTTAAAAGATGTGCCTCTTCTGGAGCTTGAGGGGACAGAGGGAGGGAAAAAATCCGCATAAAGAGGATCAGAATGTTTGCATTTTAGAATTTTAAAACATTCTAATAAGTCAATGACTAGCCGCCGGTGTTGCAGAGTATCTAATTGGAAAACTTTAACCCTTTGTGCATAGCTATAGTTATGATCCTTCTCGTAATTTTTAGGAGGGCAATTTTAGTAAAGCGCTTTTGGATTGATTCGATTCTGTTAATAAGACAAATTTTGGAGGGAACCATACTTTGGAAGCGTATGCTAAAATGGGCCTAACATAAGAGATAAAACAGCGTCTATATGTTTTAATATAAAGATTAATAATAGACTTAAGAATTCTACTTGTAGGGTAAAAAGCCTTCAGACAAATTTTTTCTATGTGACAGCCGAAAGGAAGGGGAGGGAAGAGGATACGTAGACTTCCAAATCTTTGACCACTTGCTCGCGACTAGGGAAGATAGAGAAGTATTATTTATCTCAAGGGGAAATTGAAATTTACCCGTCGAAAATGGAATACTTTTAGATTCAGATAACTTTAGTTCCCAGGTCTTCGCCAAAATCATGATAGGACCTCGGATTGAACCTTGTGGGCCACCACTGGAAAAATGAATGGAAAGGAGAAAGATCCATCAAGGGAAATTCTAAAGGTGCGGCTAGAGAAAAACTCCTGAATAAACACCCTTATGTTGCTGCAAATTCCGTAACCCTCAAGTTTATGAATGGGTAATCTATGTGGGACAGTATCAAAAGCTTTAGAGAAGTCAAGAAAGATAGCTTCGGTTTAGAACAAGGCCCTTTGGTCTAAAGAATCGGCTATTTCTTTGTAAGCTAGAACTAATTGAGAGGATGTCTCCTTTTTTAGAAAACCAAATTGCTTGGGTTAGAGGAGTCTATGCTCATTAAGGTGACTAAGAATTTTATCGTTGATGATTATCTCAAAAATTTTGGAATGGGGACAGGTTAGGGAGATGGGCCTATAGTTCTTACATCGTTTTTGGGAGGGGATTTGAGAATAGGGATGATAAAAGGTTGCTTCCAAATTTTGGGTAGGATTCTAGTGACTAAACTTTTGTTAAAAAGCTTACAGATCCTAGATAGGTTTTCTAAAACAAAAGAGGCCACTTGGTTCGGACGAATAGTCTTTTTAGGGCGTAATTTAAGGAAAGTCGATTCTATATCTAAAAGGGTAAGTAAAAAGTTTGGCTGTTCTGGAACATTAGTATTTCCGTTTGCTGAAAAGGTTGGTAAAGAATTACCGCTATCATCAGAAAAGGTGGAGCTAAAGAATTCCGCAAAGAGATTTGCTATATTTTCCGGATCGGTAAGAGGTATTCGAGGGTTTTTAGGGTCAATAAAGGAGGAAGCTATGGATTTCGGGTCCTTAGCTTTCGAATTGATATGGAGAAAAAACTTTTTAGGGATATTGGAATTTACCGCACGTTTTTCTATATTAGATTCAATTTATGAGAGAATTTAGAGCGTAGTTTCTGTGCACGAAAGACTCTTGGATCGTCCCTTGATGGATCTGAGTAATGGGAATTGGCTACTAGGTCTCTAATATAAATAGGGTTAATAAGTCGTTTTTTAGCCCTAAGAATGCGGGGAGAAGAAGAAAAAGATTCGCAATTACAAGCTGATTCAACGAAATTCAGTATGCTAGAGCATAAGTAACTATAATCGGATTCAACAGTTGTTGAGACCCAGCAGAACATAGATTTAGATAACTTTTCGGTTAGTAACACCGCGGCTAAGTCAAAATTTTTCTTAAAATGCAAACATAAATTGATACCCTTCCCACGAAGTGCAACATTCAGTCCCTCGGCTTGAGTTTCAAAGGCAATCGACTAGTGGTCAGCTCCGGAAGAGGGGCACATCTTTTAACATTTTTGATCCCGGTGTCAGAAATCACCACATCTAGGATAAAATATAAGCGAGCGAACGAACGAAGTAAAACTATTTAGAAGAAATCAGTTTGAAAAAATCGAAAAGCAAAAAATCAAAGCAAAAACCATGAAAAGGCTTGCTAATGAATGAGTGGTTTTGAATAAGACCTACTTGTCAATTTATTTGACTTGAGTTCAATTTGGCAGTTCCAATAACCAAATAGTAAAGTAGAAGGCTGGTTGTAAAGATAAAGCGAGATTAAGTCAAAAATCTAGAGGTACTAAGGCAGTTGGGGGGCCCTAAACTTTTTCCAAATGTAGTTTTTCTAGGGTAATTGATGAGGCTGATCACGAAAAAAAACATTTTTAGGTTATGTTTTCAATTAAAAAACTTGTGTATTGGAGTAACTTTTTTGTTTTGAAAAAACTCTGCATGTCCCTTTAACCTGGTTTCTACTTGTTAAGACTGGTTTAATAAGAAGCCCCGCTCCCTAAGGTCAAGGTCTTTATAAGCTAAGCCATATAAACCCCAACCCAACGGCCCTCTTAAGGGCCAAAAACTACCCAATATAACGGCAATACATAAATTTTTTAATTGAAAACATAACTTTAAAATGTTTGTTTTTTTGTGATCAGCGCCATCAATTACCCTAGAAAAACTACATTTGGAAAAATTTTAAGAGATTTACACAATAAATGAATGAGAACGTTTAAAGGAAACCCTATCACATCTTATAACATTAAAATAATTGCAAGGGGTCAAAATAGCGCTAGAGAAGTGATCGCTTAGCCAGGTTTCAGATAGGGGTGGAGCAATTGAGACTTTTTTTTGCGCAACCGGTCAAAAGCGCAACTTTTCGGAGTTTTAAAAAGCTCCCTAAAACTTAAAACTAAATGTTGAACAGTTTTGTTTAAAAAGTTGATTTTCTGGGTAATTTGCGGGCGTAGAATGCGAATATCGACATTACAGAGCGTTTAGAAACGATTTGGCAAATGCGCAAGGGGGTCGGAATTTAGAATCTCCTAACAAACATACCCACTTGCGCATTTACCAGATCGCTTCTAAGCGCTTTGAATGTCGATATTCGGATCCTACGCCCCCAAATTACCCAGAAAGTATCGGGTGCTTTTTGAATTTTAAGAAAAAAAGAAGATTTGAAACAATCTACTTTGAACCTATTTGCTGTCCAAAATGTCGGGCATGTATCCGGTCACATGATTCGCCATTAGTTCCGAAGCTAAAAACATTAAGCTTGAATAAGAAAATTGAAAAAGAAACGCAAAAACTAAAAAATTATATGACAGAAAAAATGTATAGCAAAAATGGGTGGGAAAAATCACATAATCCAAAAAAGGTAGCAATTGCCCCACTCCTTTAGATAAAGCGAAAATTTTGAAAGCTTTTAAACGAGTTAAGAATTGAAAAGTGGCTAAGCGATTAAAATTTTGAGGCATAATACTATGTCAATTCGCGCTAAAAACACTAACTGAGGTGAAATGGAGAATAAATGAATTGTAAGGTTGCAATTGAAATGCAATAATTTGCGCTGATGCAATTGATTCAGATTTTTGCCCCAATAAAGGCCGAACAATAGACAAAAACAATACAATGTTTGATTCCTGGCTGTCATGCTTATATCCTAATCTTTTTGCAATGCATGAAGAAGTAAAATATTTATTCTCTAATCATTTTCAATCAGTTCGATTTTCCATAGTTGTCGGGCTGGTGTTTGCGGCGTAACGCGGCATTTTGAAATTTTTACGTATTCGAAAAAGACATTGAATATTGTTGGATTTCAATTGCTTGTTTCAATCACTGTGTTCAAATCTTTTTAATCGTTCACAACATACACCTCTTCATTAAGCCTCTCGATCTTCTGATGGCTCTTCCCAACAAGAATCCATAACTGAATTGAATTATTGACAGCACGCAAATGATTTGGTTTGCATGATCATTTAACAGTTGAAAGTTGAAACCTTTCTAGAGAACGATACGTTACACGCAAGAAATTTGTTCCAGATTGGTTCTGATTAATTCTCAGCCAATTCTGAATTGGATCGGCTCTGTTATGGATCCAATTTGATCCAATCCCCATCCGCATCCAACTCTATTACTCATCTCATTCAGTGATTGCTTCTGCTGTTCGTTCTCGGTTTTCAGCCTGAGCACTTCGTTTTCCAAAGCTTTGATCGTTTCGCGGTGTTCTTTTGTTGCTGAAGAATCACTCTGAAATTGTTTATTCCTTTTAAAAATCAAATCTTCTCAGCAGAATATTCTCACTAACCTCACTATCAGTCAGTTTCTCCTTTTGTTTTTCATTCTCATCCCTCAATCTCTGCACTTTTATTTCCAAGCGTTCGATCTTTTTCTTGTCCTCTTGAGCATTTAAATTGTTCTAAATCATCAACTGATTCAAAAAAACTGATGTGGTGTATTTTGTGTTGTAAACACATCCTTTCTGGCGCACTCAAGACTCAACTTTCTACAAGAACAGTTTAGTATCATGAGAAAATGAAGAATTGAATGTGCCAGAAAGATGATATTTTTGTTTTTGAGCACAAAGTACACGCAGAACTAACCATTCGTTGTATTTCCTGTATCTCATCATCTCTCCTCTTCAACAACTCCATCAGAACTCGATTCTCAGCTTCGATATCAAATTGAAGGCTTTGCTGAAATTTATCTATATTCATTGAAATATTTTATTTTACCATTTCGTCGATCGGCGACTTGGTTTCCGTTTTCGGAACTGAGAGTGAATCTGAAAATCGATATTTGATCTGGTATAAAGAAAGATTATAGCTCTAGGAGTACTTCCAGAGGTTTTTATCTCGATTTTTCATCATTTTTTCAATCATTTTGTTCTAAGCTTTTTCTCCAATCTATCCATTTTTTGTTTCTTTCGATATTCTTTTTGAACCCTCACAGAATCAGACAAAAAGTAGATACCGTAAATACTCTAATAAAAGCAGCCCCCATAGAAGCGTCGCGTAGTCTAAGTTTACTCTCAAACGAATGCTCATATCTCGACACCAGTACGTTTCTTTCTGCGCGCTTAGGTATCAAATTAAGGTAGAGGATGGGTGAGTTTTTGAGATATAACATATTTTCAGCATTAACCAACGCTTAGAAAAAAATAATTGAAAATTGGCAAAAAAAACGATTTTTCATCATTTTTGAATCACTTTTTTGGAAATTTACCGTAATCTTTTTTTTCAGAGTTGCTCGATTGAATGAAGTCATTTGATGAATTGAATTGTTGATTGAATGGGATCATAATTAAGTTGCACAGAAAAAAAATTTAAAGAAGATTAGAGTCGTTTCCCGAGTTAAAGATATTCAGTTGACGAAGTGCATAAGTTGGCGCGAATATCACATTATTTAACCGCGTCAATTTACGACTTCCGCGCAAAGATTCCATTTTTTACGTTTCGTGCGCCGGTCATTTGGTCATTTTTGTCTCTCGTTTCTTTCCTTAACCTTTCCTTGCTTGTAGTTCTTGATTAAGTAGCTTATTTCTTTAGGAATGACCTTCCGTTTCACATGTGACTTGTGCGAAAAGGGTATCGGCGGAGGACTAGTGATCACGAAGAACTGCAAGCACACCTTTCATCAACAATGCTTGCTTGAACATCATTTTGTGAGTTTCGATTTATCTTTTACAGTGTTTATAGAATTTTCTATACTTTATGGAATGATTTATCTTTATAGAATGTTCTATTAGGAGTAAAGTATCAGTTTGTTATTGATTCGTGTACGCAAATATTTTTAATTAGTTCTGGTCTTTGTGCGGAAGTTTTCAGGATGTAGTAGATGAGTGTTGTATCTTTAGAAAAACAAATAAGCTTTTTCTAAATTAGTGTAAACCCTTACGTTTAACTGTTTACAGCAGAAACTTTCAATTGAAAACAAAAGCTTATGTGCTATAAGTTAAGACTTATTAATTTGTTTGTTTTAGAAGAAGACTAACGAGGCTAATGAGTGTCCGTGTTGTGAAAATGAGATGAAAGAAATCTTGCTCTGCATGTGCGATAAGGAGCGCCATGATCCATTCCACTTTGCCACTTACCAGGGAAACATGCTTAGCGCTTCTAAATGGCGAACGACAAAAGAAGTAACGTTAATCATTTGAAATTTTCTGATTGTTGTTCTGCTGTTTATTTTTATATTGTTTCAATTACAGAAGGTCAACTACTGGACGTTCACTAAAGAAAGCTCTAGCGATGTGAAGAAAGCGTCGGCAGGTTGGTCGTTATCTTTTCGCTTGCATCAAAAGTTTAGTCGACAATCAAACGGTACCTTGTTCGAAGTGCAAACATAAGATTGATACCAAATTCATGCTGAGGACAAATTGTGGACATTGCTTTCATCTGGAGTGCTATCAAAGGGCTTACTTTGTGAGTTTGATGGGAAAGTAGCTCTAAATAGATTTTTTTTTAGCTGAACCCAACGCAAAACTGCCCTAAATGCTGCAAAATGGTAAAAGAGTTGGATCTCTGTTTCTTCGAGGAGATGCTTGGCATATGGCTATGGGTCACTCAATACCAATCAGGAATAACAGTAGAAAGTACCTGGTCGAGACCAAAATTGGTGGGTTTTGAATAATGGCTATTACTGTCACAAATATAAGTATTTAGCAATATGATATTACAACTGGGAAAATCGCAAAGCTTCTGGACGGGAATGAAGGTCAATACGGTAGCGTTAAACAATTCTGCTCCTTAGTCATAACTTTTCTTTAGTTTGCTCTTGGGAACGGGCTTGTAATACAGATGAAAGCGTCGACTCTGGGTTCTCGTGCAAAGGTAGGAATAGATGCAAAGAAAATGTTATTTTGCTTTTAGGCTTTGATCGCTGCGGTGTCTGTGACGGCTTTCTACTTGTAGACGAAGAGGTTCTCAAGAGCACGGTGCATGGATTGCCCAAGTGAGTAATTTACTGTTTTGTTTGCTAATCGCTTTCTTTTAGGTTGCTTCATGCACATTGCGCTAACAATGTCAACGCTGCAAGTTCAAGCGTGTCTAAATATTCAATTGAAAGTGAGTTTGTTTGAAAGCGTGTAGAATTTCAATCTAATGTTTTTGACTTTGTTATTTCAGGTGGATCGACCCGTGGCTTGTTGAGCTCTCGCGGATCATCGAACTCTTTCTCCTCGAACAAGAACTAAAATCCAGGAAACGACCTTAGCTCAACCGTATTTGTCATTATTTGTCTTTTGTACATTTTTCATCTATTTTGTACGTCTATTTGTGTCTCATGTACATTTTTCAATTTATTTGTGTATGCACATTTTATGATTAACATTCGCAACTTTATTTTTGCTACTACTGTATGAAATAAACACTAGAATGAAAAAGTTAATACCCTAAAGTCGCGAGTATAAGTTCTGTCTGGTTTTCGCATGCAAATTGACGGTGTGTCGAGGGTTCGAACCCGGCTGCAGCATGACTTTTTTGCTTTTTAAGAACAATAGAAGTAAATTTATTGAGGGTTATAGCAAATTTTATGCTGTTATTTATTGCTCCGGGCGTGGCTCAGCGCGTCCGCCCTGCTCCTCTCCGGTGCTCAGTCTTATGGATCCCTCCCTGGCCTCTTCATCCGGCCAAAGTCCACGTCGACGGTCGAAAGAGATGCTTTCCAGCGTCTTCTTCAACACTATCCTCTGGATGTATCCATGCACATAACAAATAGCAATGGTGATAGGCTGTCACCCTGTAGTATCCCGCGCTCCAAGAACAATAATAAAAGTTTATATAACAATAAAAATGTATAAAAACCCAACAAAAAGAAATTCAAAGCAATTAAAGCGACATAAAAAAGAATTCTGTGCTTAGCTTCGAAACTGATGATCACACCGGGAAAAATTCCTTTAGGAAGAGTCTTGCGCTTGAAAATGAGCATCGGTGGGAGTTTCGAACCATCGGCTAGAATTTCGAGCACAACTGTGAAATTCGTCTTCTCATTTCCCGTTGAAGCAATTGAAATATCACCATTTCCTTTTACTTCGACTGTTCGGTTGGAAACAATATCGATCTTTCTCCACATCCGGCCATTTTGCCCTCAATCCTCGGAAAGCTCGCTTATTTTTTGGTGAAGTCATCAGTGCCGGCTCAGCTTGTTTCCAGCGGTTAATCATCTGTTCGGCGACTTCAAATTCGATCGCAGCCGCGTTCGTTCCAAATTTCCTCGCAAATTTGACCGCTTCGAGCTTCGTTTCGGCGGTGTACGACTTTCTCCTCATCGTATCTAAAATGAAAAAACGTTAGTAAAATAAAAAAAAATAAAAAACAAAAAAACAATAAAAAATAAAAAAAAAACAAAAAACAATAAAAATTAAAGAAAGAAGAAAATTTTCCATCCCTTTAAATGCCCTTTAAATGTAAATTACGGAACTTATACTCGGATGAACTTATACTCGCGACTTTAGGGTACTAGTTTTTTGAATAGATAGGTGGGTTAACTGGTTCGAGTTTGCAACGGGCGAAGAAAGAGTGTGGGTTGGAAATGTCTGGTTTGTGCACCCACGGTTTCCTCTCAAATAAAGACCCCTCTCATCTACTCACAAGCAACACAGGCGCATCCACGATGCACTCGCTATTTTAAGCCCCATAAGGTATTTATTGTAAGCAGCCATTTGAAGCAAATATGAAGCACGGAGTCATCAAGGAATGAAAAAATGCTGAGGAGAATTGTTTATTTGAAGCGATTCAGCATTTACCACTTCTCGATCAGCATCCACCACATGGAGTGAAGTTTTGCTCCTGATTAATACCCTGATCAGTGGTATTCGTCACGTCAGCCGATGGGAACAACATCTCGAGCAGCCAACACCTAAAACATAACTTTGTTTCTGAATCTGAAATCCAAAATCTTGGCCAAAAAGTTTGCTCTGGAAGCAATTGCTAAACTAGTCTATTTTCATGCAGTCTTTTCAAACTCAACCACTAATTTGCTCAAAGAGAGACAAACTTTTCTTGTTTCATCTGTTTTTTCAGCGCTGCAAGCTCCTTCTCGAGTGGGGTAACACCAGTAGCTGTGTCTAAAGTAAAGTGTTTGGTATGTTTAGCTATTAGTTGGCATTCACTTTAATAACTGCCTAGAATAAGGAGGCAAAACATTACGTAAACGTCGAATCAACTATTCACCTCCATCAATGGGCAAACAAGTACGTGCATCCGATTCGTCGACTCCCTTCGCCGCTGTGGTGAGCGGCTCGCACGACATCGCTCCTCCAGGAAGATCCACAACAACCTAAAGATGAAAAGTAGCTAGGCAAACAAGTACGTGCCTGTTCATAAATAAATATTTTACATCTAAAAGTAAGCTCCCTTTGTAGTACCTGTAAAGCCGAGTATCCCGCTTCGACACGAGCCACCATCTTTGTCACCAATTGATTGGGAGTGGTGGTTGAGCCCTAAAACGTCCAAACGTTGTATTTTTACATTTAGATCAAAGCCCTTAAACGTATTAGGCAAAAGAAAAGGGAAACCAAAGCTTACCTTTAGCCAAAAACGAAGTGACGGATGATTGTAGCTCTCGATCGGACGGGCGTAAACAGAGAGGAAATGGGAGTATGACTAAAATAATATGGCATGATATTTGTCAAGCAACATGTCAACTTATGAGTACAAAAACTTATTCGTCAACTTTTTAACAAAATTTAACTAAACCTTCATTAAACCTTTAGCTAGATTCCGAATACCAGCTTAACATGATTTAACATCGTGTTAAGCTGGTATTCTTCATATATAAGACGGCCAATTCGTATATAAGACGGCCAACTCATATATAAGACGGCCAATTCGTATATAAGATGATGTTAAATCATGTTAAGCTGGTATTCTTCATCTATTTTATTTGTAAAATCTTCTACCTTATCCTTGAGTGAGAGAGCGGGATCGAATCCAACAAACACTTCCGCATATCGTCTCTTCTGCACGAGAAGGGCTTTTCCCTCAAGAGTGAAAGCACGAACACATGATGGCACCAACTAAAATAAGAAATTTTTAGGCAAATTGTTTAACACAATTGACAATGGCTTTTTGCACAAACAATCGCATGGGACAACGTTGTTTTTTTTCGACAAAAAATGTCACCTGACATCAGGCGACAATGTCCCAGGCGACCGAATATGTGTCAGACAGCATCAGGTGACAATGTCGTCAACGTGTTAAGAAAATGTTACAATTTAAGAAATTGTTTTAAACAAAATGCTAGTTTCAGCATTACCAAAAACTTTTTCGCTTTAATAATCTTGGCAAAATATAGTAGTTGTTCTAGCAAAAAAACTTTAAAAACACCTCACTTTGATCACGTAGTCTTTCTCGGTGGCATTGCGAATGATGAGCGTGCGGAGGTCGGGCTCGTTTTTCGGGAAAATTATCACTTGTGGAGGGATCACTGCACGAGTTGACATCTCCTGAAAAATGGTGAAGTTGAGGTAAAATTTGATAGAAAATCCAATGTTAAAAGCTTAAATCAACCAAAAAACATCTATGACTAAATAAAATAAGCTCAAGTCAAAACTAGAAAGATAAGTAAACGTTTTTAAAAACTTACTCAACACTATAGCCTCGAATAAGCTGTTAGAATGAGAGCAATAGCCGGAAAATGATTTTTTGGCAAAAAATTGCACCATTCGAATTTAAATGCAATTGTTGCATGTTGGATGCAAGCACAACATTGGATGCAAATGAATGCAATCTTCAACATTGGATGCAAATTGCTCACAAAATTACACCAAGTTTGAGGTTAGCATTAGCCCCGAGACTCTGTAAAATTTTCTAGGCAGAGAAGAGACGCGAGACGACATGGCTGTGTGTACCTTTCGTGTGTCTCGTAGGAAAAAGCGGCATCTGGCACACGGCTCGTTGGCATAGGGCGACAGAGACCCCCATTGCGGTTTAGTTACCCAAGTTTAAGGTTAGCACTAGCTTTTCGTTTTGTACCTTTCTTGCGTCTCGTAGGAAAAAGCGGCATCTGGCACACGGCTCGTGATACCGCGACAGAGACCTCCCATTTCGGTTTAATTACCCAAGTTTAAGGTTAGCATTAGCCCCAAGACCTTGGGGAAGTGTCTTGAAAAATTTTGGAACGCATCCCCGTAAAGCGGGTGCACAAAAATGAATATGAAAGTTGAAAATGGAAAGTTTTCATGCATTCATTACTCCCATGCCCTTTTGCAAGCTGTCAAATACTTCAAAATTTATTCTCAAACGATCTCCGAATGCAAAGAGTTAGAATGGTTGAATCCTGTACTCGGCTTCGACAAATCCATAACCTTTCACCCCGTTCGCTTCAAACTCGGCCATATTCTCATTCACCTAAAATTGAATCTATTTTGACGACAACGGATTTTTAATCATTTGTACCTGACACTTTTGCTCTTCGCCCATCTTGAAAGAGCACGTCTCGATGATTTTCACCTGAAAATTTTGTTTTCAAGAGAAAACTCAGAGCAGTACGATTCAAAATTTCAAAAAAAACACCTTCACATCGTAATGGAATTTGCCCGCATCAAATGAGTATTCGAAATGCTCGGGGAATCTCTTCTTTTCACCAACATTCGATAAATGCAAATGGATCCGATCAACGGGAATCTTTTGTTTATCGCTGAAAAATTTGAAAGCTTTTAGATTGTTCGATTTAGAATCCTTACGGCGTTATCACATATCCGAATTCGAGATGCGAGAAAACGGTTTCCGGCATTGAAATCAATGAAGTGTGAATACAAGTACCATCGCTCAAGTGGTAAATCATCATTATGTATCTGAAATGGAGACAATCGAACCTCTATATAACGACCTTCGATATAACGATAACCTCTATATAACGATCTTCGATATAACGATAACCTCTATATAACGACCATCAATATAACGATAACCTCTATATAACGATAGCTGTGCTCTGGCAGCCGTAAATACTTTATAAAAAGCCTCGATATACCGATTCTTTTATAACGATTTTTGCGACAAAAAAAGACTTTAAATAGAAAGCTTGAATGCCAATTATTCTGTGCTTTATTCAAATTTGGAAACTTAAAGCATAACTAACTAAAGTATCACCTAAACTTCAGTAATACGCAAAGCAAAATAGAAGTAGTGTATTTGTGTGTCGAAGAGTCACCAAAAAGCTACCGCAGTCTACTAAGACACCAGAAAATCACACATTATGATAATTGAAAGACAATATCGTACTCTAAACAATATCGTACTCTAAATAATATCGTACTCTAAACAATATCGTATAATCTCCCACCTCCGAATATCAGTCCATCGTCGAAAAGAGGTGATTGTGTGATCTCTCATTGATGTCATTCGAATATCATTAAACTCTTTCTCACCCACTCTCACTCGACCAGTCAAAAAACCAAACTAAATTCATAATTGATACTTGTAACTTCATAATCTTCATTAGTAAGTTTTAATCAACACGGATTAAAGACTAACTTGTTAAGAATAAACTTGTTAAGACTAGTTAGAATAAGACTAGTTTGAATCGAATTTGACTTTCATTGTGACTTTCTATTAATCATTCTGATATTCTTTTAACTCAAATCTCTTCTCTAACTCTCTAATTCTCGAACTTGAGCTTTCAACTAGCAACTAACCTGTTCATAATGTGTTTGATGACTCTCTTGAAGTCTCTTGAAAAGATCGCGACTCCATGGCTCAATCGCTAATGAGTGAGCGATCGATGTGGGTGAGACTTCAGTGTCAAAATCAAAGTAATCACCTGAAAATAGATATCTTCGCCTTTCAATCTCTTCGCCGTAAATCTAGGAAAACATTTAACAATTTCTTTTAATATCAACTCACCAAAATTGTTCCATTCGAGCTCGATTTCACCGGGAATCGCCTTCTCGCTTGGTTGATTCTCAGGTCCAGCTTCAGATCCAACTTCAGGTCCAAAATAACGAAGACCTGGTGAGTTTGTAAGTTTTCCCTGATAAAAAATTTCGTTTTCAAGTCTAAAATGAATGGCTGACTTTAAACGAGATCGTCCATTTCTCCATCGGTTTTATACATTTAACAGTGAAACTTTTGGTTTTCCACTCGTCTTCGGAAGGGATACTCTGAGAAAAAAACTTGCTTAATGATTAGATTTTTCAAATACTTAATCAAGTTTCTGGTAGAAGATTGGCTTATTATTTTAGTACACTTTTTATGTTTAGATTTTATATGCGCTTTAGTGAATGTATCGGAAATTGAAACAAAATGAGCTACAGCATTGCTTTAAGCCTTAAACAAACACAAATTATTAGGTTGATGAATCGAAAACTGCGGGACTTTGAAAGTTTCTTTGAGAAAAGAATACTTTAACACTCATACTATTAGGTTGATGCAAAAGTCTTTTTCATTTTTTTCGTACTTCTTTTGAAAAGTAACAAAGTCATCAATTAACCTATGGTTTGCTCTAAATGAAAAGTGTTTATTGTTGAATTTCCCATCTTTTTAAGTCAATTTGGGTTCACTTTCAAGCAAATTCGAGAGTGAAAACGGGTTTTTCATAAAAATCTATAAAAACCTCTATAAAGAAATTGGCTGAATCAATTTCTCTGAAAATCTGAAAAAATATCTAACTTTTTGTGCTCTATCTTTTATTTATCACATCAAGATTGGTTTCCTTAGCTAAAGCGTCTAAAATGCATCATCGAGCCGTCGCCTTTTTTGACTACCCGACTTCAGGCTCTCAAAAAAATCTAGACATAAGACATTTTAAACTCGTTTTAATGTCATTTTGCAGAAAAATAATTGGCCTTTCGAATGCAATAAACCGTTGTTCAATTGGTGCATTTGTTACTTTTTAACGGAAGTACGAAAAAAATGAAAAAGACTTTTGCATCAACCTAATACAAGATCAAAAAGATCAAAAATTTTCCCTTTACAAAAGAAACATTTTTCAGCTAAAACCCAGATCGAAATTCGACTTATTATATAGTATTTGTGAAACTGAGATTCTGGAGAGCATTTCTACACTTAAACATCATTTCCACAGCATTTTTAAACAGCATTAAACAGTATTTCTACACTTAAACCATTCTGATCAGAACCATCTAGCTCTTTAAAGAAGCAAAGACGACAAACTGTCATCCCGTTCACCTATTTGAACCTGTTTTTATTGGGTTGGTGAATTGAAAACTGCGGGACTTTGAACTAAAATTTATTCAACATAAAACCATGAATTCATTCCAAATAATTTCCATTATTATTGACGACTACTGCCCATTTTACAGGCAATTAGCGGATTCCTCTTTCGTAGTAGGATTTTGGTTTGTGTGTGAGACAAGTGGAGGACTGGAGATGTCCCAGTTTGAGCACTTTCTTCAAAAGAAACCCATTTTGGTGTCAATGGAAAAGTTGTAGAGAATCAAAAATTAGGCTTATAGCCAAATTTCCAAAAAGATACACTTAGTAGTTTCGCTTAAAATGCAAGTTTTCTGAAAATTCGTAAATTTCGCATTTCTTGAAAACCAGTTTTTGAATCGTTCTGAAATTTTGGATATAAGCTTGATTTTTGATTCTCTACAACTTTTCCATTGACACCAAAATGGGTTTCTTTTGAAGAAAGTGCTCAAACTGTCACATATGACAATAGCCGGCAGTTTTCAATTCACCAACCCAATAATAGTCGAATTTTCAGATCGATTGGTTCGGCCTTTTTTTTTTCTAAAACAATTGAACAAACAAATACTACAAATACAGACAAATACTCTCTCGCTTATAAGCAGGATTTCAAAATCCTAATGATAGAGTTGAAGGAGAAATTTGCAAAAAAACATTTCTTTCTTTTGACATTTACTAGTAGATACGCGTGTCACAAATTCTTGTTTAATAGTTCAAAAAAAGAGGCAAAACACTATGGTTTTCCTGAGCCTCAGAAGCAAATTTATCAAGTAAATCATACAAAAAAATCAAAGCGTTTGTCCTTTTAGCCACCAGTTTTCAATTCACCAACCCAATACTTTTAAAAAAAAACACAAGAAGTAGAAACCCTCTTTTTGTCTCTCATTTTGTACCTGTCGTGATCCAACCTTTATCTCTATTCTCTTACTATATTTCCATACAAAAGCTAACTCTAACCACCGCGTTTCTCTAGTTTAGTCATTCTCCAAATATTTCAGGCCTAGACGAGCCCCATTCTCCGATTTCAGGTCCCACTCGTTCGGAGATCCAATCTCTTCCCTTAACTCATCTCCCAATCCCCTCTCAACGTATTTCCTTGTCTACTCTTCTCGTCATAGTCCCATATAGACCAATTAATCTTCTTATCTTCCGGAAAATATAAGACAAGTCCGTCATTTATTCCTGAGGACTCCCCTCCTACTATAAAGGAGTTGAGACCAGTTGTCGGTTGTGCTAGGAGTGGCAGCAAAGATCCTCTCAATCTTTCATTCTTACAGAGTAAACAAAACACCTCACATTCACACCCATTCACCCAAATTCTCTACTATGAAGGAGAAGATTAGGAAGACAGCTACACCATCTAGAAAACTCTAGCAAAAAAAAACACCTGAACATTAGTAGTCATCGTCAACTCTTCATTCACAAAAACGCCCATTCCGGGAACTCGGAGAATAAAAAACAGATTGATGATGTCTTTTTGTCGCTGAGCCGTTCCCAATGTGAAATACCAACCATCCGAGTTTGCCGCATCGAAAAAGACAGCATCCGCGGCCCAATCCTAAAATTGAGTGCACTTTGCGTACAGCTTTTTGAATAGTTTGCTTAAAAATAAATCAATGATCAAGAAACTCACCTTTCCAGATGGAAATTCGTGTTTCTTTTCTAAATCCTCGATTTTTCTTTGACCAGATCCACCGAATTGAGATCTCATCAAGTCATCGCTCTACAATATCATTGAATAACTCAACGACAGTACGAAATTCTATAGAATAACGTGATATCTGGTTTTAAAACGAAATAATCGACTTTTAAACACATAGAATACCTACCGTAAATACTGTAATAGTACTGCACAGCCATAATGACGGCGGAGTGTTGCGGAGCTCTAGCTTTGAACGAGTTTTTCTCGACACTGGTTTAGGCTACAATGCTCGTTTTGGTATCAAAAAATAGCTGGAATTCAGGGCTGTTTTTTGATACCTAAACGTGCATTGTAGCCTAAACCAGTGTCGAGAAAAACTCGTTCAAAGCTAGACTCGTTCAAAGCTGCGTAGCCTAGCTTTGAACGAGTTTTTCTCGACACTTGTTTATGCTAAAATGCACGTTTAGGTATCAAAAAATAGCCCTGAATTTCAGCTATTTTTTGATACCAAAGCACGCATTGTAGCGTAAACCAGTGTCGAGAAAAACTCGTTCAAAGCTAGACTACGCAAAACTCCGCCTGGGGGTGGGGTACTATTACAGTATTTACGGTAAGTATTTATTGTAAATGAATGTAAATTTGAGATCTCATCAACTTACTTTCTTCCCAGCTTTCGCCTTTTTCTGCCGTCGTCCGATGACGAAACGCATCAAACGAAATTTCAGCCAATACCTAAAAATTTTTATAAGAAAACTTTATAAGAAAACTATTTGCTTTAATTCGAATTTTAACAGGACTCTATTCTTATTATTAAATTTTAAATGAACCATTTTCCTGGCACTCCATAAATCAAATTGATTGGCATTGGATCCGGTCGACTCAATGTATAAAAGCCAATGTACGCGATGAAAAGCCCAATTATTAGACAAAACATTTTCGAGTGAAGATTTCAGAAATGTTATTTACGGATTTGTGAGGACAAATTTCTTGACGAAAACTCCCTTTATCAATAGCTTTTTTGCGCTTTTTTTCTTCGGAGGGAGTCAGGGCATAGTTTGGCTGATAAGAGAATGTGGGGGTTCTCCTTTAACTATGTTGTTGTGGAAACAGAATACAGAGTATAAGCAGTGTTATGTCATGAGGTATCCTAAGCTGTTGTATAAGATGTTTTGGTTCAGAAGAGCCCTGTATCGAAGCCACCAATGAACGGAAACGAAGCCACCAATGAATCGAAACGAAGCCACCAATGAGCCGAAACGAAGCCAACAATGAACCGAAGCCACCAATGAATCGAAACGAAGCTACCAATGAACCGAAACGAAGCGACCAATGAACCGAAACGAAGCGACCAATAACCGAAAGAAGCCACCAATGACCGAAACGAAGCCACAATCGACGAAGCCACCAATGAACCGAAACGAAGCCACCAATGAACCGAAGCCACCAATGAATCGAAACGAAGCTACCAATGAACCGAAACGAAGCGACCAATGAACCGAAACGAAGCCACCAATGAACCGAAACGAAGCCACCAATGAACCGAAGCCACCAATGAATCGAAACGAAGCTACCAATGAACCGAAACGAAGCGACCAATGAACCGAAACGAAGCCACCAATGAACCGAAACGAAGCCACCAATGAACCGAAGCCACCAATGAATCGAAACGAAGCTACCAATGAACCGAAACGAAGCGACCAATGAACCGAAACGAAGCCACCAATGAACCGAAACGAAGCCACCAATGAATCGAAACGAAGCCACCAATGAATCGCGAAGCCACCAATGAATCGAAACGAAACCACCAATTCCATCTTATCATACAGCAAGCTATTTCGTGAGATATCCCATCCCATCACATCAAAATCTCGTCCCTCGCTTGATTATTATGTTGGAATTGGAGTGACAAGACAACGGTTATGCCTCCAGGGATCTTGTAGGTTGACGCCAGGTTGACTCGGCTATGTATTGAGCGGTGAGTTCTTGTTCTTTTTGATTGTCTTTTTCAGGCTATTGATCCGAAGCTGACAAGGGAATGGTTCGAAGTGAATGTGACTATTTGGGATTAATCATATCACATAGATCTCGTGTTAAATATTGATAAGAATTAGCGGTACTTGTCGGTTATTGGAATTGAAAATTGAATCTGTCTTCGATTGTTTCGCGGTGAACAATCATTTTTCTTTATTTAATTGCCACCGCCGTCAGCATCTCCTCGTTTTCGTTGAATCTTAAAATTCAATGATTAAGGAAAAGTGTGAAAATTTGGGGTCTTTTGGAAGTCCTGTTTTGACCGAGAGCTTTATAGACTTCGATTTTCTTTGTACTTGGACCTGAGATGGTACTTGCCGGTTACACATCCACAAAGACTCAACTCGTTTAAGCATCCCCATCCAATTCTTCTCGGTTATCGATTTTCGTTCAACTGATCGACTGATCACTTCAGCACTCTACTTCACTGAATATAATCACCGCTCACAAGTTGTCCTTGCTTAACCGAGTTGAGTCTCTGTGGATGTATAACCGACAAGTACCAAATTAGCTCCCCGAAGTGACTCTACAACGAGAAATGGGGCTGACAAGGAGCAAGGCGTTTCTAACCCTTCTTGACGGGGTTAAAACTTTTTACTAAGACAATATTTTTAATAATTTAATAATGTAATAGAAACTTGAATGCAACTAAAAAATAAACTTTCATTAATTATATATGTCGCAGCCGCTAACGAAATTCAGCCGCTAACGAATGAGGGTATTTCCGGGCATCCAATCAAAAGTCACCCACATAAAAAATGTTCATAATACATATACTTTATAATAAATTTTTGAAATTAGCTCATTTGGTTCAGTAGAAAATTTTTTTTGAGCCCCCAAAGTTTATGTTCAAAAATGCCCTAAAATGGCTATAAAAAATTTTCTACTCAGCCAAAAAACTTGCCTAATAGCTCATTTTGTAGCCAATTTGATGTAGTTTCTTAAAGTAAAGCTACATTGAACATTTGTTTTTCAAAGCTAGGAGAAAGAGGGCGAGGAACGACTTCAGTTGAACTCGGTCGCTGTTTGCACATTTGAGAATTGTCCTGAACTTGTTCTTCGCCCTCTTTCTCCTACTTTCAACGAAAAATTGTTTTAGATGACTTTACTTTAAGAAACTACATCAAATTGGCTACAAAATGAGCTATTAGGCAAGTTTTTTGGCTGAGTAGAAAATTTTTTATAGCCATTTTAGGGCATTTTTGAACATAAACTTTGGGGGCTCAAAAAAAATTTTCTACTGAACCAAATGAGCTAATTTCAAAAATTTATTATAAAGTATATGTATTATGAACATTTTTTATGTGGGTGACTTTTTGATTGGATGCCCGGAAATACCCTCATTCGCTAGCGGCTGAATTTCGTTAGCGGCTACGACATATAAATTCGATATTTCTAGAAAAAGTTAAGCAAACTTTGGCTAAAATCAATAGCTTTAAAATGTAAAATTATAAATATTTTTGGTCATCAATATTCATTACAAGAGAATGAATGACTCGTCTCAAACAATCACATTCACTTCTGGCCATTCCCTAGTGAGAAACTCAGCTCAAGTTATGCTGTACTTTAGTAGAAGAGCTGTCTATCTCTTCAGCCTAATTTTCCAGCACTATCAATCTTTACTTTTTATTGCTTTTTGTACTTTAATATATATATATTATAATCCCTTATAAGCCTTACCCTTTTTTTTGTCCGATCATCTTTTTAGGTATGGAAAAAGTAATACCTAATAAAAATAGTATTTACTAGAAGAGGAAGGGCCTGCGGTCTATCCGATCTGCCAAGTTAAGCAACGTCGGCGCGGGATAATCGTAGGTTCGACTTTTGTGGGTTCCCCTACGAGCGCCCCAGCCCGGCCATCGGAGTATCATCAGCTACGACAACTACACTTCTGCCTCAGTCCCCCGCACGGCCTCCCTGCTCTCTTCCGGCATCGAGGGATCAAGCAAAGGCCGAGAGATCTAATCACGGGACATAAGGATGCCATATGATGACAACAGCAAGGGATAGAGAAATGTGGAATCAGGTTGTGATCTGCGCAAATAGGAACACCTGAGTGCGAAAAACAGATCAAAAAAAAAATAGTATTTACTTGATTTGTTTTTCAATCTCTAGGCAAAGGTTGGTTAAAACAAATCCGACTAAACTGTTACCGTAGCCATTATATTGCGTAATGTGACCTATTATGGCATAGCACTTACTATTGGTTATTCAATGTTCCAGATAAGCAGCGATTCATCCTGTACTGGGATTGGAAAGAAATACAGTTGTTTAAAATTGAATGTAAAATGTAAAATGTAAAAAGCTGTGAAGTGCAAACCTAAATACAAAAATGTAGTTTAAGAAAAAATGCATCTGCCACAAATAACTTTGTTTTACCACACAGAACCTAACTTGGATCTCTTGCCCGATGAATCCTAGAACTGGCTGGCTTTGATAGGCTGGCTTTGAGAGGCTGGCTTTGATAGGCTGGCTTTAAGAGGCTGGCTTTGAGAGGCTGGCTTTGAGAGGCTGGCTTTAACGATTTAGGAATGACGCAGTGTTTGGAGTAAAGTTGGATTATCTTTATGTTTAGATGTAAGCGATTCTTTATTTGCTGTGATTTCATTTCTTGATCGGTTCGGACATGGCCAGGTCGGTCATCACATTTGCCCACTTGCGACTCGCTTCGACCCTCTGCGTGAACTTCCAGCCGCACGTATCGTTTGCGAATGGAGTTACAAGAAGCTAGAAATATATAATTGCTAAAATGAGTACTCAAATCGGTAATCTATTTAGTTGTCTACTTTAAAGAAGGCTACTGTCTGTGTACAAGTCTATGTTTACTTTTATATATACAAGAGCTGTCTCTTTGTCTGTCTGTCTGTCTGTCTGTCTGTCTGCCTGTCTGTCTGCCTGTCTGTCTGCCTGTCTGTCTGTCTGCCCGTCTGTCTGTCTGCCCGTCTGTCTGTCTGCCTGCTCGTCTGTCTGTCTGTCTGCCTGTCTGTCTGCCTGTCTGCCCGTCTGTCTGTCTGCCCGTCTGCCTGCTCGTCTGTCTGTCTGTCTGCCCGTCTGTCTGTCTGTCTGCCTGCTCGTCTGTCTGTCTGTCTGCCTGTCTGTCTGCCTGTCTGCCCGTCTGTCTGTCTGCCCGTCTGCCTGCTCGTCTGTCTGTCTGTCTGCCCGTCTGTCTGTCTGTCTGCCTGCTCGTCTGTCTGTCTGTCTGCCTGTCTGTCTGCCTGTCTGTCTGCCTGTCTGTCTGCCCGTCTGTCTGTCTGCCCGTCTGTCTGTCTGTCTGCCTGTCTGTCTGCCTGTCTGTCTGCTCGTCTGTCTGTCTGTCTGCCTGTCTGTCTGCCTGTCTGTCTGCTCGTCGGTCTGTCTGTCTGTCTGCCTGTCTGCCTGTCTGTCTGTCTGCCCGTCTGTCTGTCTGCCCGTCTGCCTGCTCGTCTGTCTGTCTGTCTGCCCGTCTGTCTGTCTGTCTGCCTGCTCGTCTGTCTGTCTGTCTGCCTGTCTGTCTGCCTGTCTGTCTGCTCGTCTGTCTGTCTGTCTGCCTGTCTGTCTGTCTGTCTGTCTGTCTGTCTGTCACAAACCCTACCTGAGTCTCGAAATAGTAGATGACATTCATCATTCGGTCGGCGACATCGGTCATGGTCGCGTTTTCATGCGGCCGAGTGCATTTTTCGATGACTGGCTTAAATGTGCAGTTGGACAGCAGTTCCATCGTTTCGTCACTAAAAGTGTTTTTGTTTAAGTAATTTTACAATAAAATTCAATAGAATCAATTGCTAACCTGCACGCAATCGTCAGATCGAGATTGGTGACCGGCTCGCATTCGGGCGTTGGCTGCGGGGCATTCTCGAGCATGTCAAAAATGCATTCAAGGGTCTGTTCAGCTAGAATTTTGTTGTTTTTTCACAAAAAATTGTCAACTAATGCAATAAGTAGATTTTGAGCCATTGAAAATCACTAAAAAATCCCAAAAAAATATCTTTTGTTTAATGTTAATGACTAGGGCTGTTCCTAAAAGCCAAAAATTCGTGTGATGTTTCCTTAGGATGCCACAGAAAGTCTGATTTGGCTTGTTTGGCTTGGCTTGGCTTGGCTTGGCTTGGTCTAGGAACAGTGTTAATGAACTCTCTCTTTCTTCTTGTCTTCTTGAGGAAAGAAGGCGCTGATAGCTCAGTGATTGATAAGCTCGATAAGCTGGCTGAAGGTTGAGGGTTCAATTCCCCTTGGTTTCAAATTCTTTGCCATTAATTTCTTTACTTTAGCCATGACTCTTATGATTGTTGCTTAAGCACGCACCGATTGGCCGCTTTTCGACATCGCATAGCCGAAACTCGGCCTCGGCGAACACGCGACGACGGGCCTTCGAAAAACGTGCGTTGTCCTTTTTGAAATGATGGAAATTGCTGGAAATGGTGGTCGCGAATTATCGCCTCACAGTTTTTGAGCTATATCTTCACTCTAACTTTGCAAACCGTTTTAAGTCCTTTTTAATAAGAAAATTGAGATAATTTTCTACGGAGATTATCTTATTATTAATTTGCGACCACTTTATAGTAAAAGCAATAAATGCAAGCAATAATTTGTCTAGACTTTATTTTGTATATTGTTTATACCGTATTTTCTCTAATAGTAGTCACCAAGCCGAGTTGGTGACTATTTTACAGTTTCGAAGCTTTTGCAGAAACTCAACACTCTAATCCCCCACTAGATCTCATCGTTAGCTACATTTTCCGATCACACACCGATAAGTTCTGATAAGCGGTTCTCGAGATTTCGAGGAATTTAGACGACGCTCAGGGTGCACTACTATTAGAGAAAACTATATAGAACACTATTATATCGAACATTTTTTGTATTCAATCTGTCTAGACTTGAAACTATTGGGTTGATGCATAATTATCCGGACTTCTTTTTGCGTGCTTGTATCTTTTTTGTTTTGAAAGCTTTTTGTCTATTTCTTTTTTTTAAATATTCGTTATTCTTTAGTGAACAAAATGCGTGTCGACAATCATATCCATCTTCGCCATATCATGCTCTACCACTTCGAAAAGGGATGGTCTGCCGCAGAGTCGTTTCGCGATCTCAAAGAACTGGAGAAGCCCCAACGGACTACCACCTCAATCGATCGCTCAAAAATTGGCAAACAAATAAGTTCTACAACGATTTGGATGACTTGATAGACGATGTTAAAGCGTGGATTGCCTCCAAAGATCGTTTATTCTTCGCTCGTGGAATCGATCGTCTTCCAAGCAAATGGCAATCAGTTATTGATGTAGGCGGTGAATATGCTCCAGAATAATCAATTAAACATATTTTTCTAACTATTTATGTTATTTTTTGTTAAATAAAATCATTTATAAAAGAAGTCCGGATAATTATGCATCAACCCAATAAAATCCAGTCATCCAGTCGGTGATCCAGTCATTTGGCTGGAGATTTCTATAAGCAACAACAACAATCTAAGTCTATAAGCAACAATTTTTGGTTCTCTAGAACAATTCAAGTGAAATTTTAGTGTTTATAGAATTCTGTAACAGATTCTGTAACAATTTTATCTTTCTATAGCTTGAAGCTAACAAAGTTTGATGGCTGACTACTCACCGGCACATCCTGGTCAGCAATGCGGACGTCGAACCAGCCTAAATGCCTTAGTTAGCTTTAAATAGTTATTTGAATGTTTCAAAATAGTTTATAGGGGCGTTTTACAGCTACAGTACTACCTCTTTTCTAAATCTAAAGAGGTAAATCTACCTCTTTTCCAGGTTTAATGAGATCTTGAAAGTGGCAAACTCTCGGCTCGATCGAGGCTTCATTGGATAAACCTAAAGCTGGTCTAAAAGTTAGAAAAACTTGGAAAAACATACCGATTCCGATCAGAATCAAAGCAACACAAGTTTTGACAAACATTTTCGAATAGATTTTGAAATGCTTGACTTAGAAATTTGCCTTAGAAATTTGTTCTAATGTTTTCTCTTTATGCTTTTATTTCTTCTCAAAACAGTTTAAAATTGAAAATTCCTCTCCTAGAAAAATAATTAAAAAATGAATCATCAAACAATGATGTTCTTTTTAAAGTTTTATAAGCTGTTAAAATGGAATTAATGTTTGGGGGGAAAGTTTGTTGTGCTTGGGTTGACTCTTGACGAGATGAGCAATCAGAAGTTTATGCCGAAATACATCATGAAATTTATGAAATGAAATAAAAGTCACAGACAAAAACAGTAAAAATTCGATAAGTAAAGAAAAATTAAGAGAGAAAAGCTTGTATGTAGAAGCTGGTTAGATTGAAGCTGGTTGGATTGAAGCTGTCTAGATTGAAGCTGTCTAGATTGAAGCTGGGATTGAAGCTGGTTAGATTGAAGCTGGTTAGATTGAAGCTGGTTAGATTGAAGCTGGGATTGAAGCTGGTTAGGTTGAAGCTGGTTAGATTGAAGCTGGTTAGATTGAAGCTGGGATTGAAGCTGGTTAGGTTGCGGCTGGTTAGATTGAAGCTGTCTAGATTGAAGCTGGGATTGAAGCTGGTTAGATTGAAGCTGGTTAGATTGAAGCTGGGATTGAAGCTGGTTAGGTTGAAGCTGGTTAGATTGAAGCTGGTTGGATTGAAGCTGTCTAGATTGAAGCTGTCTAGATTGAAGCTGGCTAGATTAGATCCACATCCAGATCTCATGATTTCAGATCTCAAAAGCTATGAATGAATTCACTGAAAGCCATTATAGCTAACACTATCAGTAAAAGTGGAATTAAAAACACAGCTCCGACTCCGACAGTCCAAAACACTTTCGATAACAACTTCATTAGTCAAACGTACGAAAAAGTCGATGAGTGAATGTTATTTTAACACATACCGCGTACAAGACAACCGCGTACCTTTGCGAAAAAGCCGATTTCGATCAGGGATCAAAATAAATCGCAGAAATTTGGCTTAAAAGACTCTAGAATCTAAATCCGGTCTTAAATTCCTGCCCAACAAACTATGTACAGAAGCTATGTACAAACTAGTAGCTTCCTTCCCAAGTCCCGACCCGAGATCCGGACGCCAGACGTACCACTCGGTGTGAAATCTTATTTGATGTTTTGATTTTGAATATCTCTGATTCACTTGTCCTTCCTCTAAAGATCGTCTGTGTGATCAAAAGAGATCGAGCCCGCTTTGTATTGCTTTTCTTTTGGCTTTGAAACAATGAACCAACGATTGATTCTATTTTATTGTATTTTCTCGCTAGATTAGTGATTGTGTTATAAAAATATATCTAAATAATCATTGCCCCATGCACAAACTACATATAGTTTATTTTCGCAGTTTTATTTTATTTTATCTAGTAGTTAACTTCTCGATAAATGCATGTCAGATGTTCTCGAGTCAGAATTTCCTTTAGATTTGTTTTGAGCCTTCAAAAATTATTAATTACCTTAGACCTTATTAATTAAAGCCTTCAACGCAAACCACCGCGACCCTCTTAGTCGTTGCGACCAGACGGGCATTGCGCTCAAGTCGGCAACGGTCGGGTATAAGTGGTCCGCTCAAGCGCCATCCATTTTCAGGGCTAGTTGATTCGGCAGGTGAGTTGTTACACACTCCTTAGCGGGTACCGACTTCCATGGCCACTGTCCTGCTGTCTATATCAACTAACGCCTTTCATGGGATCTCATGAGTCTCACTTAGGCACTTTAACCCGACGTTTGGTTCATCCCACAGCGCCAGTTCTGCTTATTAATTATTAATTACCATTTTTTGAAGTAAGTTTAATCCTACTTCAAAACCTTTGGTTTAACCCAAGTCCCGAGATCCGGACGAGAGCCAGACCTACCACTCGGTTGCCACTAGACTTATTAACGAGGCTTCAAGTTTGACCAGTCATATCAGCGCACTGAAAGCTGCTAGCAATCTGAAAATTTTTCTATCAAAAAGCCTAGATTATTAGCTTCATTTTGATATCGAATATTTAACAAAAATCTTCAAAAAATACTCTAAAAAGGATTATCGATGCTTACCGAGGCCTCGTTAAGGGTAGTAATTTAATTTAATGTGATTTTTTGAGTATTTTAAAGAATTCTGCTGAATATTCGATATCAAAATGAAGCTAATAATCTAGGCTTTCTGATAGAAAAAGTTTCAGATTGCTAGCAACTTTCAGTGCGCCGAAAGGAATGTCCGAACGGGAACCACAAAATATTGTTAGACATGTCTGAGCTCGCGGAAGACATGTCTAGCTACCATTGAGCTCGCGGAAGACATGTCTAGCTACCACTGAGCTCGCGGAAGAACGCCTTATAAAACTTTAAATGTGTTTAACTTTTGGTAGAGTGCTCCGTAGCAAAAAAGAAAAGCAGCATCATGATCAGCGTGAAATTCTGCGTTGAATGGTCTATGGCTTTGATTGCCATAGACCAGCCATTTGATGGCCAGCAGATTCCGTTGACCTTCCCTTGCGAGATAAAAAGTTGGCATGACAATGACAACCTTACAAAAACCTTTTTATTGTCACAAACCATATAGTGAACGTTAAACTCTAAGCAGTCTCTCTTCAAACATTTAAATCTCTTCATCAGTTTGAGATTTTATCATTGCATAAGGTTTCCTTTTATTCACGTTAAGTTTCTTGTCGATGTCGACACGTCGGTGATCTTTTGTAGTGTTCCCTCTTTCGGTTGCAAGTTGAAAACGATAACGAAAAAGCTAGAAAATATTTAAGTAACTTATCCTCATTGTGGTGAATTCAAAAGTGAGATTGTAATGAATTCATTAAAAATAAGTCGCAAGATAAGAAAGCCGTTTGATCAAGATATCTACTGAATGTTAGGCCATGAATTGTTCGCTTGAAAAACTCACGCAATGATGCAATAGCACAGGAAAGGGGCCAAATCGAGCAGGAGATAACAAAAGAGAGGAAGTGCATCGCTGTCGGTGAGCAATTTCTTGGCCAAGTAGTAGAAGATGACGGTGAGATGCGTGGTGATTAGCTGCAAAAGGACGATTTGCTCTTTTTGTATGATTTACTTGATAAATTTGCTTCTGAACCCTAGTGTTTTGCCTCTTTTTTGAACTATTAAACAAGAATTTGTGACACGCGTATCTACTAGTAAATGTCAAAAGAAAGGAATTTTTTTTGCAAATTTCTCCTTCAACTCTATCATTAGAATTTTGAAATCCTGCTTATAAGCGAGAGAGTATTTGTCTGTATTTGTAGTATTTGTTTGTTCAATTGTTTTAGAAAAAAATGGCCGAACCAATCGATCTGAAAATTCGACTATTATTGGGTTGGTGAATTGAAAACTGCCGGCTATTGTCATATGTGACAGTTTGAGTACTTTCTTCAAAAGAAACCCATTTTGGTGTCAATGGAAAAGTTGTAGAGAATGAAAAATTAGGCTTTTAGCCAAATTTCCCAAAAGATTTTCCTTTTAAAGTTTAATTTTCCCGCAACGTCGCATTCCAATTGACGTCGCCGCCATTTGGAGGTAGTCGATGGGAGCGCCGCGTCGTCGTTTCTTTTTTGTTTTCAAATCATTTGCTTCGTCAGATTCGATTAAAAGTATTGTTTTACTTGTTTTTTTTGTTGTTTTTTGTTTTATTGATAAATTTTGTATTAAAATGAGAAAGCAATCAATTTCTATTGGGTTGGTGAATTGAAAACTGCCAGCAATTGTCATATGTGACAGTTCTCACACTTTCTTCAAGAGAAACCCATTTTAGTGTCAATGGAAAAGTTGTAGAGAATCAAAAATTAAGCTTATATCCAAATTTCCAGAACGATACACTTAGTAGTTTCGCTTAAAATGCAAGTTTTCTGAAAATTCGTAAATTTCGCATTTCTTGAAAACCAGTTTTTGAATCGTTCTGAAATTTTGGATATAAGCCTGATTTGATTCTCTACAACTTCCATCACCAAAATGGGTTTCTTTTGAAGAAAGTGCTCAAACTGTCACATATGACAAAGCCGGCAGTTTTCAATTCACCAACCCAATAATAGTCGAATTTTCAGATCGATTGGTTCGGCCTTTTTTTTTTTCTAAAACAATTGAACAAGCAAATACTACAAATACAGACAAATACTCTCTCGCTTATAAGCAGGATTTCAAAATTCTAATGATAGAGTTGAAGGAGAAATTTGCAAAAAAACATTTCTTTCTTTTGACATTTACTAGTAGATACGCGTGTCACAAATTCTTGTTTAATAGTTCAAAAAAAGAGGCAAAACACTATGGTTTTCCTGAGCCTCAGAAGCATCAGAATAATTACAATATTTTATCATTTAAACCCAAGCAAAATTAACTAAAAACGTTTAAGGCTTACCATGATTGAAAAGCGAATCGCCGCACGTCGTTTTAACGGGTTGTTTTGCTCCTAAATTCGCTGTTCAAGAAATTCTCCTAAAAAAAACCCCTCACAATTTTTCGAACCTTCAACAAGATTATCAAATCAAAAAACAAGGTGACTCCTTGCACGGTGTAGACAAAATTGTAGAGATTATTCTTGACAAAAATCGTGAAAGCACCCGTCGAATATGACCATGTGAAGGCATAGTTGAGCGGAGTGTAATACCAGCCGGCATAGCACACGAAACCCGTCTTTGGATTCACCACTGTAATAAATATTTTTCAACAAGTGCTATTTGAACATAGCCATCAGAATGTACAATCAGAAAGCTAAAAGTCGAACTTTAAAGCATGATTAGGCTTAGCTTGCTAATTGGAAAGCTATACATAGCTTTACTGTAGAATAGAGTGAGGCATTTTGAAAAAAATCGACTCGAGCCGAGTCGATTGCCAAGTCGATCGCTCAGCTAATGCCAAACTCGTTTTTATTCCTGTTTGTCAAAGCTCGATGAATTTTATATCATATGCAACTAGATTTATTAATCAATCATACTCATTTTTATCTTATTTTTATCTTAAATATCATTTTAGCCTGGCTTTACGTTGATGAATCTCGACTCGGCTCGAGAGTAAAAAAAGTCTTGAGCCGAGCCGAGCTCTTGGCTCGAGCTTACTGTAGAATATAAGAACTCGAAATTGTTTTAACAGTTAACACTCACAAATGCCGATTTGTGCTAGGTAGAGAACGAGCGGGAACACGAAAAGCAATGTGGCGTGTGGAAAGGCGATTCGCTGGGCTTTCTTGTAAAGGAGACCGTCAAAGTGAACAGCAAAGAAGCTGAAACTTTTTGTGGGGTTTAGTGAAAGATCTAAAATTTAGAAGAGACGGGTTTCTAAAAGTCTAAAAGCCAAGCGTTGGCTCAACCTATCGCGATAGGTTGAGGCCGATATATCGGCCTTTCAAAAAAGTACCCAACAAGTGGCCGAATCTATTCACTAATTTCATTTCTAGAAAAATTTAATTAGTAGATCGAAGGCTAAAGTAATCTTCTTTAAGATGTAAAAGTTCCGAAATCGATTGAACTCACCGATTCGTCGTCAGCCCACAGCCGAGCATCGTCATCGAGACGATCATTCCATTGCCGAGACTCGCAATGATTTGATTGAGAAGGAAACCGCTCCACGGATAACCATCCACATTCACACAAGCCCAGCTGAATTTGGTTTGGAAAAATCGAAGAAAAGAAAGAAGAGTTTAACCTCAACACACAATATGCTTTGTAGAGTTCGGTGAGGGATTCATAGAAGCGACAAAAGCAATCGATGCCTAAATAGTAGAGAGCCGCGCGGGAGACATGCGAATTTTTCAGAATCACTCGCCAACAATAGGCGTTAAGGAGAACACCGACTGTGGCCGACTGAAAAGTACAGAACTTGAGTTATTTGAACAACCTTTTCTTTTCAAAATAAAACTTTTCTTGTAACAGCAAGCTGTTAGAATTTTCTAGCTAGAAAAGCCCATTTGTTAAGATTTTTGTGATCTCTGACCCTTTTAATAAATTTGTTTTCAGCCTCATCTGCATTCAATTCTAAAGTGCTAAGTGTTATATAGAATATTAAAGCCTGAGTTCTTGGCTACATTTTGGTATTAAAATGTTTCCGATTGGAGGCCTACAGCTTTTTTTTCAGACTCTTGAATGAGATTGTTTCAAGAGTCGCCGGTAGGCTTCCATTTTTGCCCGTTTTCTAACAAAAAAAGCTTAGGGAAAGTTTTTTCCATGGCAGAAAAGATAAATTTTGTTATGCTGTAAAAGATAATAATAGCCACGGTCGGTTTTGACAAAGCTAGCATGACCAAAACATGAGTTGATGACAAGTCTCTTTGAGTGAATAGGGGATTTGGTGAAAATTGAGGTATTTTAAACATTCAATTCACATTATGTTCATTTCTTTGAGGAGTTCTAACGCTAAGAAATAAAAACAAATATAATTTTGGTAGAAAAAGACTTTTTTTACACAAAAATCAAAGAAAACGGGCAAAAATGGAAGCCTGCCGGCGACTCTTGAGACGAGCTGATTCAAGAGTCTGAAAAATGAGCTGTAGGCTTCCAATCGAAAACATTTTAGTACCAAAATGTAGCCAAGAATTAAGGCTTTAATATTCTAATATTAAACCCCTTTGGAATTGAATGCGTCCTTTGGAATTGAATGCGGAGGCTGGCAACAAATCTACCAAATCTAATCAATCAATCTGCCCGTAATTAAAGCGGACCTTGTAATCTAGGTTGAGTTGGTTGAGTATTGTTTGAGTAAAGTAACATGGTTGAGTATTGTTTGGAGTTTACAAGTGAGAAACAGAGTTGTTCGAACCCGAAATTTCCAGGAAAGGCAAGGTAATGCCTGGCCTGAAAAAAAGCCTAATAAGAAAATTGGGAAACCGCATGAAGTACCAGACTTTTCTCAGGGTTTCACCCAAAATTTTGAGCAAAGCTAAGCCTAAGTCTGATAAAAATAGTTGTGACCAGGCTTTCAAGCTATTTGGAACAACCCCGGTGAGAAGCTTGGTCATAATATTGGGAATGCAAGGCTAAATACTCGATGTCTAGGGTTAACTCTTGAATGAACGCTTTCTCAACTCACCAAAAACATCGTCACCGCAATCCAGGTGTTAATGTAATCGTTTAGGTGTCCATGTAAAGGCAGTCCATCCCATGTCATTCTCACGCCGGCTTTTGTCTCGTAGTTATAACCGGAGAAGTTCGCACACGGAATGTCGGGATGATCGTCAGCATTGTAGTCGGCGCTTATTGTTGTCGTTTCGTTCATAGCTAGACTGAACTAGACTACGAATCGTTCAGGCCTCAAGTTTTGTCTTTTGGCTCAATTCCTAGAAAAGCTAAATTTATACAGATCTAAAGATCTAAAGTAAAGATCTAAAGTAAAGTAGCAAACTAAAAGTCTAGTAATCCGATTCTTTGAAAAACTCAAAACCTAAAAGCAGACTTACTGAAAAGCACAAGGAACTTTTTTGGCATTTCTAGGGTACATTTGTCTCTTCTTTTTTGATTTCCAAAAGATACACCACCTTTTTTTCCTTTCTCCTTCAATTTCCCCCTCTTGTAATAATGATAGGTTAAGTATTTTGAGAGAAACAATCTTTTTTTTCGCATTTTCTTGCAGACATCCATTGAGTAGACTTTCCATCGTTTCGTTCATAGCTAGACTGAACTAGACTACGAATATTTCAAGCCTCAAGTTTTGTCTTTTGGCTCAATTGGCGTGGGGAAATAATTTCTAAAAAAAATTAGAAGATTTCTTTTGCTCAAAAAGTTATTTTGACATTAAAATCTAGGTGATAAGGGTAAGAAGGAAATCTCTGTAAATAGGTACCGAATATAAGTACCGTAAATATAGGTACCGTAACTGAATAGGTACCGTAAATACTGTAATAGTACCCCATCCCCCTCGTACAGTCGCGTAGTTGCAAAAGTTTTTTTAGTATTTCATTTTTTACAAAGCACCTATACCTTCAAAAAATGCGTCTTTAGTATGAAAAAATAGCTGAAATTCAGGGCTATTTTTTGATACCTAAACGCGCATTGTAGCATAAACCAGTGTCGAGAAAAACTCGTTCAAAGCTAGACTACGCAACACTCCGCCCGTCATTATGAGGGTGGGGTACTATTACAGTATTTACGGTAGGTCTTAAGAATTATTAGGTTGGTGCAAAAGAAATTTCGGTCGATATAAAATGTTCTTATTTTTTTAATCTGAAGAGCTTATTTGATGTTCTTTTGTGCATTTGTACTCTTGGATATTTACTTTATTTTCGCATTTTTTCAAAGTCAGATCTTTCACTTTTTAATTGATTTTTGCTTTAGATCATGGTGGATCAAAAGTATGTTCTGCGCACGTGTCTTCTCTATGACTTCAAAATGGGCAAAAACGCTGCTGATTCACATCGTGATCTCTGTTCCGCCTTTGGAGAACAGGTTATCACCGAAAGATCATGCCAGCTCTGGTTTGCCCAATTCCGAGATGGTAATGAATCCCTTGAAGACGAATCGCATGGACATCGTGCCACAGCCATCAACAACAATGAATTGGAACAATTAATTGAAGCTGATCCAATGCAAACAACACGAGAACTTGCCAAACATCTCCAATGTGATCATTCAACAATTGTACGCCATTTGGAAATAATTGGAAAGACAAATCGTAATGGACAATGGGTTCCACATCAATTGAGTGTTGAGAATCTGGGAGCACGCGTTTCGATCAGCCATATCTTGCTCCATAAGTCGAAAAGAAGCCATTTTTTTGAGAATATCTTGACGATGGATGAGAAGTGGATTCACTTTGATAATACTTCTCGAAAAAGGCAATGGCCGAGCAAAGGTCAAGCGCCAATTCCAACTCCAAAGCCGGATTATCTTTTTATTTTGGATAACCTTAGCCCATTTTGTTGGCAATTGACGAATTCCTCTCGTCAATTTTTGGTTTTTAGTCGTCAAAAATTTTTGGTTTTTAGTCGAAATGGCTTTGAAGCCACTTTTTGAGTTCAGCTTCATTTTGAAAATGCTCTCCATCGAGGGAATGCTCCATAGACCTAAAAACATGATAATCGAACGGGGCAAGGTCTGAAGAATAAGCTGGATGGGGTAAGACTTCCCAGCCCAGGATGTGGATTGTGGATCGGGTGAGTTTTGCAGTATGTGTGCGGGCGTTATCTTGGAGAAGGATGACTTCTGTGTAGTTGACTGTGTAGTTGTGCATTCTCTTTGCCCATTCCGCCCTTGGCCCACCCTTGCCTCACCCTTGTCCAATCTTTGCCCCACCCTTGCCCCAGCTAGGGAGGCAACTGCCCCTCCCCCTAGCTACGAGCCTGCGCTCTATTACACCATTTCACCGCCTATTACAGTGTAATAGTCCGGGGTGTAATAACTATTACACTGTTTCATCACCGATTTCAATCCCTCTAACAGTACCCACCTACTCTTTTGATTCGCTCCTATTCTTCAAGTCGTCCATATCTGGCGAGCCCTTATATCGAGGAGTTCCAGTATTAGTAGCCGTGACGCTGGTCTCCTCCGAAATGTTCACCAAGCCGAAATCAAAAGAATCAGAATCAGCCGAAACCAAGCCGATTTTCAAAACAAATTCGTTTGTGACAAAGATGCTAAATTTGACTGCTTTGTGCTAAAGTGTAAACACACCCTTTCTGGCGCACTTATTTTTCAAAACCAACGCATTTTTTAAAAAAAGATGAACTGAATACGCCAGAGTGCGTTTTCATCCAACAAATATTTAACGAAAGATATTTTCAGATTCGATTTCTTCAGAAGTTGGGCAGGGAAAATTGAAAGGCTCTATGAAATATTTGATGGATTCTTCTCAGTTTCCTTCACTTATTGTTGCTTTAAATACCTACCTGTTGAAATTCTTCCTTGCTTCCCATCACATCTTTGTATCTTTGGTTCGAGGAATTTTCAGTTCGAACTCCCATGTAAACTTGTTGACTGTTGTAAAGTAAACTTGTTGTTATCAGATCTTTCTCTTAAATCTTAATCCACCTTTTCAAATGGAAATGTTGATAACCCAAAAAAACTGTTTCAAAACGCAACTGTTTGCACGCAACTGTTTGCACGCAACTATTTCAAAATGCAAAACGCAACAACTCAAAACTGTGTTTAAGTGGAAAAGAATTTATCGACCAAAAAGCCAACAATAAAATGTTCAGTTAAGCAAATGAAAAGCTTTCGTGTTAAAGCACTTGGGTATAAATTCTCATTTGCTTTCCAGGCATTTGCATTTCGTGGGAGTGGGACAAATGCGACCTTTTTTTGCGCACCCGGACATTTGCGCACCTTTTTTTCCGCACCTTGCTCATTAGCGCACCTTTTTTCGCGTTTTAAAAAAGCTCTAAAAAGCTAATATTAACCAATTTCTATTCCAAAAGTTGTTTTTCTAGGTAATTTGAGGATGTCGAATTCAAATTTTGACATAACAGAGCGTGTGGAACCAATTTGAAAGACAAAACGGCTAGATAAAATTACAGAAAATTGTTGATTTTTCTCTTTGTATAACTCCGTCCGTTTGTTTCCACAAGCTCTGATATGTCAAAATTTCTATTCTACGCCCTAAAATTACCTAGAAAAACAACATTTGGAATAGAAATTGGTTAATATTAGCTTTTTAGAGCATTTTTAAAACGCGAAAAAAGGTGCGCAAATGTCCGGGTCCGCAAAAAAAGGTCGCATTTGTCCCACTCCCGCATTTCGTCACTTTTTTCTCCGGGTTTTGCTCGCTCATTTTTTTTTTCTTAGAATTTCCCCCCTTTAAAATTTTATTAGCATCTATAAGTTGTAAACTGTAACTTTTCAAATTTTGCACATAAAAGAGATTAAAAAGCAGAGGGTTTGCTGCTAAATTTTTATTTGTGTAACCTCTAATGGAACTTTGCGCCTTTCGCTTTGATAAGTTTAAATCTTGAAATTTTTGCTTATTCTCGTTTCTTACTGTTTTTAAGTTGGTATTTTTCGCATTCTTCAGAATAGCTTTGGCTAAAGTCGGTATATTTTCTTTTTTAGAGAGAATGTTCACTTCGCGATTTCACGCAAAAGATGATGAAAGCAGGTCGCCGGCTAAAATTCCCTCTGTGACCTCTAGGGAGTGTACATCTACTGAAAAGGTGAGTTGAGCTGTAGGATTGGGGTGTTTTGGTCAAGGCTGGCTGGGGAAAGTTCTCATAAAAGTGCACTATAAGTCCCTTATGTCATCTCGACATTTTTTTGTTGCAAGTCGGGGTTTAGGCCTAAAGGTACAAATGATTGAAATCCTACCAAGTTTTACTATTGGAGGGGCCAAAACTCCAGGGGGAAGGGGTGTAGTGTAACACATTACACAAGTAAAATGAAATTTTAGTTTTCAAGTTGTGGTACTTTACATCTAATTTTAGAAACAGTCTTTGATGTCGCCTGCCAGAATTGCACCGAAGGACATAACGGCGAAGATCTCTATAGGAAACATTCTGTCAACTTCTAGAAAATCGGTAGCAAAGGCTCGTTATGGTGATCACAAAGTTTGTGGTTTATGCGCAAATTAGTATGGCTGATAGTGAGACACTTTTGTTGCTGTTGACGAAAGATTTTTAGCTTTGGATACAAAGGTTCTTTTAGTCTAAAATTGGAAATATGGGACCTAAAGTATAAATTTTTAGGTTCAAAAAGAAAACAAGATGCTTGTGGGAAAGCGCACAAAGAAAGAAATGGGAAAAGTTTTGGATGAACTCACAACTTCAAAAAGGTCTCGAAAGCAAGTACATTTGCACTTTTAAGCAAGATTGTGAGGGCTATTTAGATTGTTCAACTTCTCGGATCTCATGCTTCAAATGAAGAAAGCACGGTAAATTGAGTATTCTAGTTTGCACTTACCTATATCTCATTTTTGAGGAAAAGGTTGCTGGGGATCCGATTGTGGTTTCAATTGATGTGCAACAAGTTTTGGATTCAGTAAAGGAAATTTTGTGTTTGTGACTCTAGTTATTCGTTTAGCTGACCCCCGGTGTGATGAAGAAATACACACAGAAGATGGCATCTAAAGTCAAGAGGAAACAATTTGGAGCAAGGAACATGTAAGGAGTAAACTGCATTTTGTGCTGTATTATTATATTGACTCTGGTGGGGGACATGTACTTGCCTATTCATCATCTGAAAGTCTTTTTTTGACTGAACCGTACATGTAGCCTATTATAGTCCGTTCAAAGTGATGTCTAGTAAAAAATGGTCTAATGCACTTGGGGGTCAAATTTGCGTTTAAGCTGTTTAACTCATTTAACTTCTCTTAACCGTGGAAAATAGCTACAATTTTAGGTAATAAGCTTGCTTGGCTCGACCTTGGCATTAAATAACATGTGTATGTGATCGATTTCTTCCTAAATTAGAAATTCACCAAAGCTGAGTGACATAGAGTTTTGTTCTAATTTCTAATTTAAGAAGAGATCAATAGACGTGAATATGTTGTCTCATGCTAAGGTTGTGCTACCAGTAAAAATATTAGAAGAGTGTTTACAAGTTACAACCTTATTATAACATTTATAATGTTACAAGGAGGGAAAAGAAAAAGAGAAGAAAATGAGCTAAATAGCCTAAATGCGAATTTGGCCCCCTCCCTCAAGTGCATTAGCACCAAAAAAATGTAATTAGGTATTTTAGGCAAGACCTCCAAAGGCGCATTGTCGAGGATCAAGAACAATCAATTCCGAAACGAGAAATGATTGAATCGAAGAACAAAATGGGAAGCTCTGACAAATGGAGCTGTAAATTACCTCTTCCTAACTTTGGCCCCATTTCGAATGAGGTTGGTGTTTTGATTGTAATTTGAAGCAAGTATTTTAATTTAGTTGGATAAACCAAAAAAACGGCAGGACCGACAAAAGAATTTCGATGCACGACGGAAGACATTGAGCAGCAAACGGGAACCGGTTTTGGACATGGATGATGTGTTTACGGTAGACGACCAGCAAGAAACATTGGACATGGGACGAGCAATTGAGGTTGAGGTAATGTTTGATGCATTGTTGTTGCGGGACTCAATTAACAAGTACCTGATTTTCTCGAGCTAAGCATGTCAAGGTTTTATGCTGCTTGAGACTCTTTATCCCAGTCACTAGAAATCAGTTCAAATTATCTCTTGTCTTGTCTAATCTAATCTCAAGGAAAACAATAGTCACGAGTGTTGATTTAACATATTGCAAATTGGTTTTTAGAATGATGCTCCAAAGAACGATCCAAAAAAAGACGCATTGGAATTCCGATGTCATGTTCTCGAATGCAATTTTGTTGGCACAAGTCGTAAACAACGTGAAAATCATATGCATAAGCATCATCCAAGTTTTGTGAATCCAAAGGATAAACAACAGAAAGTGGGTTTTTATCTTGAATCAGTGCGTTAATTTTGACTCTCTCACATGTCATTTTTGATCACTTTGTTAATGGAAAAAATTATTCTTTTAAAAATGAAAAAGCTGACTTACTTTTTTCATCCCAGATTGCCTGCATCGAATGCGACACCATCGTTACAACCAATCAACAAATGATGGAGCACATGTGCAAAAAGCACAATATCACAACGCGAGTTCAGCTGGATTTCAAATGTCCCTACGATTTTCAAGTGAGTCACAACCCCTAGTTGTTCAAATGGGCTTTTGCTTTAGGAATGGTTGAATCATGTTATCGATATATACTCAATTAATTTTGCGCCTTCCAAGCCAGTATTTCTCAATAAGAAGGTAATACTTCTGAGAGTTCTTTTAAACAGTCTGTTTTTCTTTTTTTAGAAAATATATTACCTTTACTGCAAAAATGGCGACGAGTCTATTAAGCAACTGTACGGAGCAAATACGACCATTGGAACCAGTACGAAGCTGCCTCGCTATGCGTGCGCATGTTATTTGAAGGTGAGTGCGAGTGGTTTGGGTAGATAGAATTTGAACACCCTTCCCTTCCTAATAAGCACTGTATGTGAACGGTAAAATTTAGGTCATTCAACAAAGTAATGGACCTGTAAAAGTAACGGGTTGCGTTGAACATACAGGACATCGATTGGGTACAGAATTGTTGAGGTTTGCTTTACATTGCGCAATTTTTGAATTGACACCTTTAGACCATCTATACTGGAACGAAAAGCGATGCATATCTATATGAAAAATTCTTCCTTTTCACTTCTCGATGGTCTTCGATGGTTGTTGTGTGAGCGAATTTTTGAAAAGTACATTTACCGTAGCTCATTAATGCAATGCCGTTGTTAATCTCACAAATTTAGGGGGAGAAGGTGTGGCTGAGACGGAATACACGATGCCTAAATTGCCCTCGTTGATTCCGCAGAATAGCGAAGAAGATGCCAATGCTTCATTGGATGCATTGCTGCAAAGCGTTTGTTTTATCAGTTTGCTACTAGTTAGACTCGTCAGACAAAACATTTTAGTGTCAAGAGAGAGGTGTCCTTTTCAATGTGGTGAGGCCCAGGGACAACAAAGATGCTTTCACAATTGGCTACATGGACGAACAAATGCGGGAGTTTTGGTGCAACTATGCGCACAAAGTCGTTTACATAGAAGAGGTTTGTTTTTGACTGCCAACAAGGTTTTTGGAGTTTATCGAATGCACTAAATCCCCAAGAATGCTTTGGGATTTAGTGCATTTCCAAAGAATCCCAAAATTCTTAATGCTCTTTCATTTAGTTTCTGACGAACGAAGTATGGAATTTCCGCGTGACGGTGGTGAGCGTTTTTGACGACGATGAGAAACCGCGTATTGCTGCTCTTTACATGTCGACATGTTCGGATGAATTGCTTCCACTCTTCGAGCAGCTCACTTCTGTGTTCGTTTTGCAGAGTTAATGGATTTTATTACCAATATTTTTCTAGTTGGGTTGGTCGGGTTACGACTTTTGTGATATGTTGTATCCCTAAAACAATCGAATTGATTGAAGCTTATTTTGAACCTTATCAGCAGGTATCCTTTTCTTTGAGTTTTATTTTTCTTGGACATAAATGATGCTCGTTTAGGGTGAATTTGATTTTCAATTTACTGAGTGGTCTCTGATCTCGACATGGGCAGCGGCTCTCGACGAAAGGATGGTGAATCGGGTAGACAAATTCGCCTTACTATGCGCGCTGCGGCGGCTACTTCGGTTCGTTTGCTTTGGTTCTCACTTAATGACACCCGCTTTGTGGCCTCTAGTAATTCGTACAGTTTAATTTTTAGAATAACGAACATTAGTGTCAGGGAACAAAGCATTACAGAATTGGCTGCGGCATTGAAAGAAATGAGTCTCAATCAGGTGCGTTTTTAAATTGAAAATAAAATCGATTTTTTATTCAGGTAACTACATTTCTCAGCAATTACTTTGCTGCGGATGTCGAGTGTAAATGGCAGTCATTAAAACGCAACAGCATCACGGATTACAAAAACCCGTTTGTGGAGGCAGCAGGAAGGTGACATTGATTTGTTTTTGTTTTTGATTAACTAAATCTACCGATTTAGATTCTTCCGCGAGAGTTTGTTTCTCTTCGACGAATGTTGGCGAATTGATGAGCTCATCAGTTCAACAATCAACAGAGTCACCGCCTACAATAAAGCTTATGTGAGTGATTTGCAGTGTGCGACTAAAATTTAAGAAAGTTGAATATCGTAATGTTGTTAAAGGAATGATGATTTTTTAGCTACAAACATATCTCTTGAGGCAACAACATTTTGAACCGGCACGAGAGCTTCCGCGGCGGCGAGCACACAAACCTCTTGATGACGAGGGCGCACCGGGAGTAACCGAAGAATCGATCGTCGACGAGTAAAAACGTTATTGAGATAAAAATCCTTTTGACTTTAGTCTTTTATCGCCACATTCCAATGAGGGTAAACGAATGAACGATGAGCCGATTGATGTGGAAAGATATTCGGAAAGAGGAACACGACAATTTGATGAATTTGGACAAGGAATGAAACTGAACGATTTTGTGGAATCTGAAATGGTATTGCTAAAGCGTATTGCAAAAGTCATCGTTTTTTTAGGCTTTCGATGAAGTCTCCACATCGCTCTTGTGCAGACAGTCAATAAACGAGCAACAGCAGCAAATGGGAGATGAAGTCATTCACGAAGCAAGCACTTGTGTATTTGACGCAAATGAGGTATGCTTGCAAGGACTTTTTATTTTCGGTTATGGTGCTACTTATTCTTTGCAGGTTTATTATGACTTTACGTCGATTGGCGTTGAACGAGCTATAGAAATTGATGCGATTGTAAAAAAAGAACAAAAATTTGGTCACATTGTGCAAAGTTATCACTCAAATCTCAATAGTCAGGTATTTTTTGAGTTACTCAAGTACTATGATGTTTACTCGTAAAAATTTCCAATCTTCATCGTTTATTAAGGACTTGGCTTTTGATCGTCAAGCAACATCATCACAAGGCTATCAACCGACTATGGGGATTGATATGATCTCACAAAGCGATCAACACCGACAACAAACAACGGAGAATGCCTGGCAGAAAGTGCATCGGGTATCGTTTTTGGAACTAAAAACAACGATTTGCTTTTGTCCTAAACTGGTCCAAAAATTTCTAATTTTAACCAACCCTGATGGGCAGTAACCCATTTAACCAATAAAATCCGCAAACGAATGCAAAAGTGTAAAGTCTCGTTATTCTGGTTGTCCAATATGTTTCTATTCCATAAAAGCAATATCATTAAGGGTTCCTTTAATCTCTTCTCAAATGCAAATGTAATTTTCTTTAGGTGTCTTTCGATCTTCCATCAACCTCTCATGCTCATCAACAACCTCTTATTGACAACCATGAAGATGATGACGTGGATCAACTAATCTACAAGCAAATGTGGACCGACGACGAATTTGACTGGGATAAGGTACTTTTAAGGGAGAAACTGAAAAAGAGCAAATGGTTTAGATGTTCAAGACCTGAATACGACCGTTGCAAGGATTTTGAAAAGTTTACATTTTTTATTTGTTTGAGTGATTTTATGTTTTACTGTTGCTTGCTATGACAATAATTTTGAATTGATGCACTTTTTTATTAAGATAGTAATTTTGAATTGATAATGTTATAATTAAAGTTTTGTTACCAAATGAAAAGCTATTGAAAGGCGGATCTTAGGCATTAAATCAATAAACATTGGAAAAATTGGAATTTGGGAAAGCAGGAAATTTTCACCTGCATATTAACACTAAGCAGCATCACTTTACGAATTGTGTGCAGTGTGTGAGAGAATACCGATGGGGGCAATGATTATTAGATATTTATTCCGAATCTAGCACAATACTAATCTAGCGAGAAAATACAAAAGAATAGAATCAATCGTTGGTTCAGTGTTTCATAGCAATACGAAAGGAAAGAGAAAAGAATATGAAGGGACAATATAAAGTGGGCTCCGTCCCTTTTATCATAAAAGCTATCTTTTAGAGGCGGGACGAGAGAATCAGATATTCAAATCAAAACATTAAATAAGATTCCACAAAAAAGAGCCACTTTTCTGCACAAATTGTTTTTTCTTGCACACTAATTTTCGAGGAAATAAGATTCAGAGTAAAAGGGATCCCACCAATTATTTCACCCTTTCACCGTCGTCGACCACAGTCGCTTACGACCATACTACGTTGGACACACGGCGTCCCGTCCGATTTGCCTAGTTAAGCAACGTTGGGCTCGATCCGTACTTGGATCGGAGACGGCTCCCGCGTGTCGTAAGCTTTTTGCATTTTTGCAGTAACGGAGTGAATGGGCTTCACTTTTACTCTAACAGAGGGAGACTTTTGTTTTTAAGATGGTATAGGTAAATGGATAGTCTACTTTGACAAGATATCGTCTTTCGACTTAATTTCACCACTACAACAAGGCCTATTTTTCAAAATTTTCTTCACCATATAGTGGACAAAACCGTGTGTGATTTCGCGCCACTGCTTCATTGAAAATTAAAATGATGAATGATGAAACGGTAAATGGGTAACAAAATGAACAGCATGAAAGCTTTCCCCTTCTCAATTTTATTATACATCCCCTTTATGTCCGTACATCCCCTTTACGGGAATGCGTTCCAAAATTTTTCAAGACACTTTTAGGTCTTGGGATTAATGCTAACCTCAAACTTGGGTAATTAAACCGAAGAGCCGAGCCTCTGTCGCAGTATGTGGGTAGGCCATGTGCCAGATGCCGTTTTTTCCTACGAGAAACACATAGGGTACACACCGTCGTGTCGTCTCGCGTCTCTTCTCTGCTTAGAAAATTTTATAGTCTCGGGGTTGATGCTAATCTCGTGTAATTTGGTGTCATTTTGTGAGCAATTTGGACTTCGTTGTTTCTGGAAGATTTAAAGCTTCATAGTATTTTGTCTTAAGAGGTTTTTTTTTTGTAAAATGACTACAACCTTCATCAATTTAAACATTTTTTAAACTTGGCAAAACCTTTTTTCAGAATAATAAGTATCCGGCATTCTAATATTTATAAATCCAGGTTTTTATCTTATCCATTTTTCCATATTTATAAATTGATACAGCCAGCTTTTTTCCCCTTTCCCCTTTCCCACTTTTCACCTTAATCGAGAAGAGAAATTGGGTCGAATCTTTCCTTTCTTTTGAAGAAAAAAATCAGTGAAATCAAGCGAGTTTCTTTCATTTTCACTTTTCAACACATTGAATATGGAATATGATCAGTATGGATTATGATCAGTATGGAATATGATCTGTATCAGTCTTCATTATTGATTTCTTTCATTTTCTTTTCCTTTTCTTTCCTTTTTCTCAAATCCTTTAACTCAGAAAGCTTTAAATTTTTGTAACCATCACTTTCGCTTTATCATCTTAAAATTCTTCAAACTTTTTGTGTTCACTTGTTTTTGCACATTTTTTATGAAAAAAAATCCAGTTTTGCGAAGGTGTCAGAGGAGAAATTTAAGGCAAAAGAGAAAGATTTCGCTCAATCAAAGGCGAGAAAGCATTCATCAACAATCGACACTTTTTCATCATCGATCCTCATTTTTATTCGAATTTACTAGATCTCTAATGTTTTTTTTTGAAGATTTAGAGGCAAAAAGGAAAACGTATAAGTTTAAGGGAGTTATTGTACAGCCACTTTGTTCACTTTGACTTTGTCTGCCAGAACCTAAATAAACAACCATAAACACCGTTTTGTAGTGGAATATCCCTTTCTCTGGGTTTGAAGTCATCACCGGGGCCTCAATCTCGTCCATAAAGTTCATATTCTAGTTTCTTTGCTATCTTCAACCAAAACTTTAAGCCAAAAGGTCAAAAATTTACAAAATCGATCAATCGGCCAAATCTTATGGTCATTTATTGACGAAGAGCAGACCGTAAATACTCTAATAGAACGCTAGCCCCATAGAGACGGGCATACAGTCGTGTAGTCTAACTTTGAACGCCCTTTTCTCCGCGCTCCTTTATGCTATAGTGTGTGCTTGGGTGTCAAATGATAGCCCTTGAAATCTAGTATTTTTTGGTACCAAAAGTGTAGTTAGGAAAAGCTAGAGGCTGAGAGAAAAATGATTTTCTAAAAAGAAGTTAGATTGTATACGGTCCTCTTTTGTCTTGCTCAAGTATTTTTCTAAAAAAGGCTTTTTAAAACGCGTTCCCTTTTCAAATCTACCGTAATCTTGACTGCAAATTTTATAGTTTCCTTTGTTTACCCCAAAAATCAGCTCTCAATTTCGAATAAGCTTTTTGGAATAAAGCCATGGCCTTTCGAATGAATTGGTGTCAAAAAAGAAACGAGACTTTTGAGAAGAAAAAGGAAAAGTGAAAGAAAATGTGTAAAATCCAGTCTTTTGCGTTTATTGTGTCGAGATGAATGGGTGAGATGGGAATCCGGGGGCGAATCGGCGAGAATCCTCACCTCGAGAAAGAAATCATTCTTCTCTTTTACCCTTTTTCGTTTTTCTTCAATCAACCCCAATTTTTCTCCCGAAAATCCACCAAAAATCTCTTTTTTTGCTGGACTGTAATTCATTTCGTTTTCCAGGAACATTTCTCTTGATGTTGATTTATGATTTTATCATCTTATTTATGGATTTTATATGAATTGTTAATTTTCGATTATCGTGGGGGGTCGAGGTAGGTTTTTTGGCCAACTTGCAGTCAAATTTTAGATAGATTTTTGTTAATAACTTTTGATAAAACAAATATTTTCTGAAAGCTGACGTTCTAAGCTATCTAAGGCTTAATAAAACTTTCTGATCTGACAAGTTTAAGGTGCTTAAAAATGAGCTGTAAATTGGTCAAAAAAGCCGCCGCCGCCGATAATTGCTGGCCTGGTCGTTATCCGTAAAGTACCTGCATTTAAAATCTGCAGCAGATAGTGAGCATTGTGTAGCCTTTTTTTAAAGTCCATAAATAGATAATGAGCATTGTGTAACCTTTTTTTAAAGTCCATAAACAAAAATCTTGATTAATATTGATCTTGATAAATCTTGATAAACTTGAAAAGCTTTTTAAGAAATCCATTTCACTTTTTTGTTATCTTACTATCAATCCTCATTTCGTTACCCTTTACGTTACACAAAACTGTTCAAAATTAAAAAATTTTGGTACTTTACGGCTTTTGGTACTTTACATAAGTTGCACCGTCGCCACTTAGTTCGACAAACGCTTCGGACGGAACCTCCTCGTCTTCTTCTTTGATTGTGACTCGGATGCCTGACGTCAATAGATGGCTACTTGCTTCTGGATCATCTTCTGCCTTTATTTGAGGAAGTATGATGTCATCTAGTTGCAACTTACCTTGAAAGTTAGATTCTTGAGGATCATCCGTGACATTCTGTTGCTTGCCAGAGGTGGAAGTCGTTTTCCTTCAGCGATCACAACGAATTCCTTTGCATTGCCTTAGTCGGATCACAAAATCGATATTTACGTCCTTGGAAATCCAGACCACATCTGAAAGATTGACTGGCGACGGTGCAGCCAGGCCAGCGATTATCGGCGGCGGGGGCTTTTTTTGACCAATTTACAGCTCATTTTTAAGCACCTTAAACTTGTCAGATCAGAAAGTTTTATTAAGCCTTAGATAGCTTAGAACGTCAGCTTTCAGAAAATATTTGTTTTATCAAAAGTTATTAACAAAAATATATCTAAAATTTGACTGCAAGTTGGCCAAAAAACTCACCTCGACCCCCCACGATAATCGCTGCCCTCCACTGCCGTTATCCGTAAAGAACCACAATTTTCAATTCAAAAATGTTTTGACAGCTGCAATTTGTATACAAATTTTAGCTCTTTTTTTAGATTTTTGTGGTTTATTCGTTTCCGAATATCGATTTAAGGGAGCGAGATGAGTCTGGATTTTCGGCTACTCATCGCTACTTTATTACTTTGTTTTGTTGTTGCAGACGTTGACAGAATATGTCCAAAAGTTTCAAGAGCCGCTTGTTGCACAGTCGATGTAGGTCAAATTCAAAAATAATGATTTGGTGATTTAAATTTTACAGAAACAGAAATAAAAGCTTATTTTCAACTGGGAATTTAGTGGGATCCCGAGTGCGTACCGAAAAATTGTTTCAAATGGGTGTTGACACATTGTCCGGAAAGAAGAAGTGCATTTGGTATTGAAGATTTTATGGGAAAAGTTTGAGCAAAGTTTAGGTAGAAAATTCCACGATAAACGACAAGGCGATATTCGGAGAGCGCCCGTTCGTGAGGATTTGGTTAGTTTTTTTTGATGGCTTTTTCATTTTTTTACAATTCTATAATGTATATGTCGTAGCCGTTTACGAAATTCAGCCGCTAACGAATGAAATTTTTCTCTAGCCGCTAACAAATCGTTCGTAAACGAAACAGAAGCGAACGACAGAAGAGGCAAATTGGGCACGTCGTTACTCGATTCAATTCGTTGAGCAATCAACGATACTCTACAATCATGGAGACAAAGGAGCGAACGAACAACCTAAACGAGTTGTCAAGAAAGAGGAACGCTTCGATGTTTTGACGTCAACTCAAAAAAGGCTAGGACACGCCGGCCGGGATCTGATGTAGAAAGAACTGCGAGGAGATTATCACGGGATCTCAAAGGAAATACTCGAGATTTTTATCAAACTTTGCCCGGAATGTGAAGGGGACGCCAAAAAAGGAGTTGTTGTGAAGCCGATCATAACGTAGGTGCAAAATAAACGCTGCCAAGTCGACTTAATTGATCTTCAATCGGTTCCGTATGCATTTTAGTTGATGTTTTGTTTGTTATAAACGTTAATATGTTATACATGTTAAATGTTATAAATTTTATTTAACTTGTTGTGATTAGTTTGCTGATTTGCGTTTTGCAAAAATAGTTTGAAATGAAAAAACTCATTTGAATCGAGCCATGTTCGCAGAAGTCGATTACAAATTGTACACGGCTAGCGAAAAAATTTCATTCGTAATCGGCTAGCCGTTAACGAATGATTCGTTAGCGGCTGAATTTCGTAAACGGCTACGACATATATAAGAATATAGACATTACAGAATAGTAAAAACTTACTTGTAAACAAGAGCACTTTCTCTGTACACGACCAATTCATTAAAGCAAAGAATTGAGTTGAAATTGGAACTTGAAACAAGCCTTTTCGTGGTCGGCTTTGGCTCTAAACCCATCCTTTCTGGTGCACTGAATTCAAGAATAAAATATTGAGCTAACTAGGGTAAAATAGAATCTAATAAGCAATGTTTTTAGGGTAAATGCGGAACTGCAGAGCGAAACTATCAACCGTGTACGTCAAAAAGAATAGCCAACAAATTATTCCGCTCATGCTGTGAACTCTATGTACCTGATGAGTGCCATTTCATGTGTGAATATGAGACTGATCAATCAAAGACGAGAAAAATGGTGAGGAAAAAAAGTTGCCATCATTTTTTGATTCCTTTCAGCTAATCGATCTCGTTCGACAAAAGAAATGCTCAATCAAGTACCTCTCATCGATTCTTTATTGCGCCTCGCAGAATCGAGACAATCGAAAGTGTTGCTCGGATTTGGATTTGAATGCACCGCAATTGCAGGTAGGTGTTCCATCGCAGGTTTATATACCAACTGGGCTTACCAGTGGTGGGTTTATTGCACAAAATACACCACTCAGAATATAGATATCTTAACTTAACCTACGCCTTGCTTGGACAGGCGACTCTCTAATCCTACTCTTAATGGACCGTCCATATAGAGCTCGTTCTGGCAATGAAGGCTGCCCTCTTTACAGAACTAGCGCCTTTACTAGTCTACCCATCTAACCAAAACCGGACGGGAGTGGAGCCTACAGCACAAAGTAACCGACTAAATTTAGGATTTTTGCGTAGAGAACGATAACCCTGATAAGTTTAATCGGTTTGTATGACTTTTAAAAGTATAATTAGATTATTTTACTCTAATTCTAACGTTCTAAAGCGGAATTTTAACTGGCAAGCCAGGCCAGACCAAATCGGGCTCAGGGTAAAACTTCAGTCCAGGCAGTCTAGGCGGTTCCAAGAGTTAGACCTGACTTGGCTTTGCGTGACCCTCAGAAAGTCCTTCTGGTCCACCAGAAGCCTGGCTTTTGACCGAGCTCTGACCTACCCTGGCTCTAACCTACCCTTACTTTTGAAACAACTCTGGCTGAACCTGACACTTTTTGCAACCACTTTAGAACGTCCTTGGATCCAGACGTGGTCTCTGCTCTTGGGTCTGTTCTAACTTTCTTACCCAGTTCAGTCGATAGTAAAGTAAACCAGGATTGCAGTCGAAAAATATTGCAATCTACAGCTATAGATCAGATCAATCAGATTCTGAAGCAAGTTCGAAGCGTTTGTAGTCTACGTTTATAGTTTGTAGTGCCCATGTCTACTATATCGTATCATATTGAGTAAAAAGGTTTCCAGTACAGTCTTTAATTCTTGAACTAAACGAATAACGTGCGTTTTTATTCACGGGATGAGTTCCAGGTCGGTTCCCGTTGCCTCCGAATGTGTGACCCATCCGGAACATCAATCGAAAAGATCACGAAAGATGATGTGACTTGTCTTTACAATTGGAATGTTATCATGTATTGTCACCATGCCGGTATTCGGGAAATGTAAACTCTTTGAAATTGACTTTTTATCCGGAAAAGATAAGCCCCTTTCGCCCGTCATCTCATTTCTCTGTTTTGACTTGCTTTCAGGCGCAAATCTGTAATAATATTTGTATAAAATGATAATAAATTTGAAGATACAAATAGAATTTATTTAAAATTTGTGATTTGTAATGGTGACTTGTGGCAAATGCCAGTAGATTGCATAGGAAACAGTTGAGAAGCTCACGAAAATCAATAAAGCTAAAGTTTTGAGTTGAGTTTATCAGCTTATATCAAGATTACAGTAATTTTCTTTTTCCAGAGGTTTATTAGAACCTCTGGAGGTTCATTAGAACCAAATTTTGTTTCTTAGGTCTTTTTTAAGCGTAACAACTTTTGAAAATGAATGTACTCGTTGAAAAACACTTAACTGAAGCTGATTCTATGTCATAAAGTAAGCAGATTGAATAAAAAGATATGATTACGATAGTTTTGGATACTTTTTAGGGAAAAGCTTTTAAAGAATTCACTTCAGAAGCTTTTTTTGGATTGTTTAAGAACTAACCTTCAATTAGAATTAGCACCGGTTCACCCAATGGAAAACACGCAATTGTACCCAATGCGAAAGCACAACAGAAACACTAAACTTAGATAGATACCGTAAATACTGTAATAGTACCCCACCGCGCTCGTACAGTCGCGTAGTCGCAAAAGTTTTTTAGTATTTTGCAAAGCGCCCGTACTTTCAAAGAATGCGTCTTTGATATCAAAAAATAGCTCTGAATTTCAGCTATTTTTTTGATACCTAAACGCGCATTGTAGCATAAACCAGTGTCGAGAAAAACTCGTTCAAAGCTAGACTACGCAACACTCCGCACCGTCATTATGGGGGGGGGGGCTGGGGTACTATTACAGTATTTACGGTAGCTACTTTTTAAACCTAAACTTCTTAGAAATAAGTTAGCAGAGCGCTGTCAATGAAAAGTAAATCACGCTCAGTTAATTATCAGCCACTCTGTAGATAAATAGAGCTTACTTGTAAGTCAAAATGTTTGTGATGGGTGGGGTGGGGTACTATTACAGTATTTACGGTATTTTATTCAGGGGCTGAGATGCTCCTGAATGTGCGCTAGATTTAAGCTTAATACGCATGAATTTATACACATAACACGAAAAGGACCGATAGAAAGAAGCACGATACACAACGAGTACAAAATTTTTTGTCTTCAAATCAAAAATCTAAGCACTAACAATTCTTAAATGATGTCCAACTAAGAGAAAAAAATGCAAAAAGAATCGATTTCGACTTGTCAATTTTTTGTTGATAGGTCGAGAAATTTTGTCTTTTGACCTAATCAAAACATCAACGGTGCTGGCCATGGAGTTCACCAACTTTGATACGCCATATCTACAGATGTACTCGACGGAACCCATAAGTGTTAAATATTCTGAAAGCTCAGGTTGAGCTCTACAAGATGGTATCAGTTTTTCTATGTTTTCTATTTTATTCAGGGTTTTTGCCCTTCTGAACACCAACGATGAAACCTAGAAATTTTCAAAGTCACTTTTCCTCGCGATATCGTCGTCAAATCGTGCTGAAAGTGTGTTTTTTGGAATCTACGCAAAAAATTGGCCCAGGAGAGTCGAATTTGAACAATTGCAACTGGGATATCTTAGGAGAGTTGATTAGGTCAAAAGACAAAATGTCTCGACCTATCAACAAAAAATTGACAAGTCGAAATCGATTCTTTTTTGTATTTTTTCTCTTAGTTGGACATCATTTAAGAATTGTTAGTGCTTAGATTTTTGATTTGAAGACAAATGGCTTTTTTCAAACTACGTACTCGTTGTGCGATATGTAAACATATGTACATATGTACATATGTAACATATGCAAAATATGGGTAGCACAGAAAACGTCAAGGATCCACTAGAGCTTCAAGATCAAGATCTATAGATAATTTAAAGGTAAAGATTATTGGACTCTCTCAAAACTCTGGGGAATCGATTCCACATTTTGGCAGTTCTTATTGGAATTCTTATTGGAAAAGAGTTATAAGCAAACTTATTGGAGGTGACTGGAATTTCTACAACTCTAAAAAAAGAATTTCTAAAACGAAAGAACCTCTCCTTGAACCAACCGTGGAATTAACTTTGAATAAATCTCGAAAAAGAGGGATAGGTTGCCTGCCATTTACAATTTTGAAATAAACTTAATGAAAAAGTAAGTTAAGTTTACAATTCGGTTTATTTAATTCGCCTGTGACAACATTTAAATCTTAAAGTATACTCAAAGAATGTGTTTAGGAGAACTGAACTGAGCAAACTGATCTCCCCAAAATGCAGTTAATAAAGTAAAGAAGTGAATGGCAAAGAATTTGGAGGAGTTGAGCCCTCGATCTTCTGCTTATTTGGCAGATTCTCTGGCATGAGCGATTGACGCTTTCTTTCCCCAAGAAGAAAGAAAGGAAGAAAGGAAGAAGGGAGGGATTTTGGTGAAATAAGCAAACTGATCTCACCAAAATAGCAATATGTGCAATCATTAAACATCTCGATTGACAACACGCAGCAAACAATAAAATGATAGCACCTGTAAATGAACAAAGATTAAGAAAAGAAAGAAAAGAAGGAGAAGAAGGAGAAGAAGGAGAAGAAGGAGAAGAAGGAGAAGAAGGAGAAGAAGGAGAAGAAGGAGAAGAAGGAGAAGAAGGAGAAGAAGGAGAAGAAGGAGAAGAAGGAGAAGAAGGAGAAGAAGGAGAAGAAGGAGAAGAAGGAGAAGAAGGAGAAGAAGGAGAAGAAGGAGAAGAAGGAGAAGAAGGAGAAGAAAGAGAAGAAAGAAAAAGCTTACCGACATATTGAAATGTGACCACAGCTGCATTACATGAGAAAGTAAACCAATAAGCTAAAGTTTTCCACGAGTTTTCCGAGTCTTCCGAGTTCTCCGGCTTGTTTTTATCTGTTTCGTCAATGTATTTTTCTCTGAAAAATTGATTTTGATAAAAATTACTTCAACGTACACAATAAAGTAATCCGCGCTCGCGCCTAAAACCAACATAGTGACGATTAACGAGAAATGAAGCACCTGAAAGTGAAATTGGATTTCAGATTGTGGTTAGCAATGGATAAAGACTGCTTTATGGTAGTTTTTGAAAGTTTTTGACTAATTGAAAAATTTTAGAAAACGATGGAAACATTTTGACTTACAAGTAAGCTCTATTTATCTACAGAGTGGCTGATAATTAACTGAGCGTGATTTACTTTTCATTGACAGCGCTCTGCTAACTTATTTCTAAGAAGTTTAGGTTTAAAAAGTAGCTACCGTAAATACTGTAATAGTACCCCAGCCCCCATAATGACGGTGCGAAGTGTTGCGTAGTCTAGCTTTGAACGCGTTTTTCTCGACACTGGTTTATGCTACAATGTGCGCTTAGGTATCAAAAAATAGCTGAAATTCAGGGCTATTTTTTGATACCAAAGACGCATTTTTTGAAAGTACGGGTGCTTTGAAAAAAATGAAATACTAAAAAAACTTTTGCAACTACGCGACTGTACGAGGGAGCTGGGGTACTATTACAGTAGTTACAGTAAGTATTTGTAGCTTTTAAAATTCAAAACCGTTTTTCGAAAGATCTTTTAGTTTTTTAATGATGCTCATTCTCATAAATTTCAAAAAAGGCCATTGCGTCGCGGGTCAGTCCACGTTTATTTTGGAAATTTTTCCTTTTGAATAACTGGAGGATACAACCAAGTATCCTCCCGTAGCTTAGACTTAAATTAGGATTCATTCATGATTTCAAAAGACTTTTGCAAATGAAAAACATTTTTGACGAATTCTTTCCTTTCTTTCCCTCTCCTTTCTTCAGACACTCAAAAAACAAAGAAAAAGGGGGTGAGACAACCTTTTTTTTTTGCTGGAAAAGGCCGTAGATCTTCAAAAATGTTTTCATAGAAGGGGAATCGTATGCGTAGATTCCAAACGAGTCAGCGAGATCTGATTTATTGAAATTCGGAATCTACGCATACGATTCCCTTATATGGGAACATTTTTAAAGCTCTACGGCGCCTTTTCTAAGGCCTTTTCCAGCGAAAAAAAGGTGTGCAAATGTTGAGGTGCGCAAAAAAAAGGTATCATTTATCCCACGCCCAGAAAAAGTGCATAAAAGTCATAAAAGCCTTTAAGATTCTAAGAACTGTAAGATTTAGACTGTAAGAATACTAAAATCTAGACTTTGTAAGGTGTTCTGTTTCAATCGAAACACTTACACATCTCGTGAGTCGCTCGCTGGCCATAGAAGCAGCACAAAGCCAACTTTAGAATCTAAATATGACTAACCAGAGTTTTTGCAGTTTTCTACCTAGTTTTCCGTAGATTGCGTAAAAGCTTGGGTAATAAAATAGGATGACTAAACGAAAGTGTACTTGTTGAAGAACGATTTTTCGAGACGAGAACACGGCACGTCATGACCGCCAGTCTTCGACCCTTTCATTCTCTTATCTCTTTTTGCTTCACTTCCCCTGTTCAATGAGATCAAAATATTTATGAGAAGCTTTTGAAAAAGAATATTGATTTCACGGGTGAAACATCTTTGAAAATGTTTAGATGATTTCGTAACAAATAGTTGTCATTTCCGGATTGAAAGCTAGTTTTTCTTATTAACTTTTGGGTTGGTGAATTGAAAACTGCCGGCTACTGTCATATGTGACAGTTTGAGCACTTTCTTCAAAAGAAACCCATTTTGGTGTCAATGGAAAAGTTGTAGAGAATCAAAAATCAAGCTTATATCCAAATTTCCAAAAAGATTTTCCTTTTAAAGCTTAATTTTCGCGCAACGTCGCATTCCAATTGACGTCGCCGCCATTTGGAGGTAGTTGATGGGAGCGCCGCGTCGTCGTTTCTTTTTTGTTTTCAAATCATTTGCTTTGTCAGATTCGATTGAAAGTATCGTTTTACTTGTTTTTTTGTTGTTTTTTGTTTTATTGATAAATTTTGTATTAAAATGAGAAAGCAATCAATTTCTATTGGATTGGTGAATTGAAAAATGCCAGCTATTGTCATATGTCAAAATTTTGTCAAAACAAGCATTGCTGGGTTATCAAAAAATTGATAAAACTATTTACTTGTCTTATTTTATTTGAAGATTATGTTAAAGTTCGAGCTGATAAGCAATAATCTATGAATTAAAGAATCGGCTACGATCAACTATTGGGTTGGTGAATTGAAAACTGCGGGCTATTGTCATCTGTGACAGTTCTCACACTTTCTTCAAAAGAAACCCATTTTGGTGTCAATGGAAAAGTTGTAGAGAATCAAAAATCAAGCTTATATCCAAATTTTCAGAACGATTCAAAAACTGGTTTTCAAGAAATGCCAAATTTACGAATTTTCACAAAACTTGCATTTTAAGCGAAACTACTAAGTGAATCTTTTTGGAAATTTGGCTATAAGCCTGATTTTTGATTCTCTACAACTTTTCTATTGACACCAAAATGGGTTTCTTTTGAAGAAAGTGCTCAAACTGGGACATCTCCAGTCCTCGATTTTTGAGTCTCACACTTGTCTCACACACAAACCAAAATCCTACCACGAAAGAGGAATCCGCAAATTGCCTGTAGAATGGGCAGAAGTCGTCAATAATAATGGAAATTATTTGGAATGAATTCATGGTTTTATGTTGAATAAATTTTAGTTCGAAGTCTGAGGCCAAGCTGAGGGACGTTATACAGGCCGATCCATGCCAATCTGCTCGAAATCTTGCGAAAATATTCCATTGTGATCATGTCACCATTGAATGCCATCTTTTTTTTTAATTTACCGTCAAATCGGCAGTTTCTTTTGCACCACCCTAATAGTTCAAAGTCCCGCAGTTTTCAATTCGCCAACCCAATAAAAATCTTGCTTCAACCAAAAGCGAAGTTTTAAATAAATAGTGAAAGATTGCGAATTGTATAGTAACTGTTGACCATTCGAGTCCACATGTGACTAGATTTCATTTGTTTACGACAAAAGAGTCAAAAGTACAAATGAATAATGGCTGTAAATGAATGTGATTTGATATTGAGACAAATGAGTCTGTAAATGCCTAAAGAACTGATCCCATTCGAGCCCTAGTTAGCTGTAAGCCAGATTGGATCAAAGCAAGACAAGAGCCAGATTTAGACTGACTTTCTGTCATTCTGTCGAACACCAGGACTAAGCCTCTGGCAAGAAAAGATCGAACTTCCTGATCTTGGAAATTCATGGACAGGGATTGTCCATGAATTCAAAACTTTGAGTTACTGTTTTAAGGCAAAATTTCATCTGTACTGGGATTGATTGGTGTTTAAATGGATATTTGCGGACAACAAAAGGACATTTACGGACAAGGAAGAACATTTGCGGACAAGAAAGGACATTTGCGGACAAGGAAGGACATTTGCGTTTCGCCGAAACTTTCGTGTTTGAGCTTTCTGCTGAGTGTTCGGTTCGGTTGAGTGACACAATTGACGGTTGAGTGACACGGTGACGAAAATTGTTTGTCTTTCAAAACTCTTTTAAGAAAAATAAACCCTGAACTTGTTAAATTGTTGTTGAAAAAATTTCTCACATCTTTTAAGGTATTTTTGAAGGAAAAAAAAAGGCAAACAGTGTGACACATCGATGAAAAGAGGCAAAAGATACCTTTGAGAAGGGCGGAGAGAATTCGAAGCTTCAAAAACCTTATCAGAATCGCCCTAAAATCATTCCCTCCTTAACCTTTCGAATTTTCGCTTTCACTGCCCCGATTTCGAAAACGCTCTTCAAAAAAGTGCATTTGAAGAAAAAGAATGGCTGTCAACCATGCTTATGATTGTCCTGCAGATGATGAATATCCCGGGATGAAAGGTTTGAATCCTTTGATTTGAAAGGTTTAAATCCTTTGATTTGAAAGGTTTGAATCCTTTGATTTGAAAGGTTTGAATCCTTTGATTTGAAAGGTTTGAATCAGAACACTTTGTAAATCCTATAAAAACCCATTGTCGTAAATCCTATAAAATGTTGTAAATCCTATAAAAATCCTATAAAAACATTTTCAAAAACCGACACTCGACACTCGTATTTTGATAGTTTCAAAATTGGATATGAAAATCGAAAATGAGAAGTTTAGATTCTGAAAAGAAAAGAAATCTAACATGGAAAGCTTTGTCTAGTTTTAGCTTAATTCCAAAATCCAAATAGAAAGACAGCTTGAGATTCAAGAAAGCTAACAATAAGCAAAAAATTGACTGAGAAGTCTTGTCCGAGTTTAAACTAATACAAAGTTCGAGTTAGGCTCATCAAAATTCTAGAAAAAGAGCGTATAAAAGGCTAGTTTACAGGATACAGACGATTACTTAAAAAGGTTGTCGAAGATCTCATCTGCGCCCCGCTTTTCCCATTAGCAATTTAACTTTGAGCTCAAATATATTAGTCTGTTCTCATAGCAGGATCTGGTCACATAGCAGGATCTGGTCACATAGCAGGATCTGGACTCATAGCAGGCCTGGTCACATAGCAGGATCTGGACTCATAGTAGGATCTGGTCACATAGCAGGCCTGGTCACATAGCAGGATCTGGTCTCATAGCAGGTCGTATCGGACATTTGATACGCTCCATTGGCAATCTAATTGCCTCTAACCTAATCTAAGAAACTTGAGCTCAACGTTATCATTCGAGTTAGGCTCATCGAATTCCAATAACTGGGTTATTGGAATCATTGGGCTTATCAGAATTCTAGAAAAAGACCGTACAGCTACAGTTTACAGGATACAGACGAATACTTAAAAAGGTCGGACATTTCATCCGCGCCTTTCCATTACCAATCTAACTTTAAGCTCAAATTTCTTGGTGTAAAGCTGTTCAATCTAAATCTTCTTAATATCATTCGATTCGCCAAGTCTTTCTCTATCGATTGGTTTAAAAACTATTTATATTGAACAGCTGAACACCAAGAAATTTGAGCTTAAAGTTGGATTGCCAACGGGAAGGATTGCCTTTGAAAGGATTGCCTATCAAATGTTCCACAATCACTCTAAAAAGCCCTGCCGCGTTAAATATTTTATTTAACTTTCTTGGCAAAGCTTTACGGTATTTTGGTTACCTTTAGATGCTGATATTTTGAGCAAAACAAATTTTCGAGTCTCAACAAAGCTTTAGGACAACCGATGCAACAAATAGGATGGGCCGCTCCACCACCGCCCGTCTACATGAACGCTGGAGCAAACTATGGAGGACACAATTGTGTGAGTTGAGCAAAATCTAAAAAGAACAATAGTTGCTTTCAAAAGTAAAAGAACAATAGTAAATGGTTTTACTGTTGGAAAGACATTTCGCTTTCAATTGGTTCAATTTAGCCCCTAACCAATGAGGGTTGGTCCACGAGAAGACAAGGCGCCAAGGTGAGAGTTGCTTTTGAATTGAAAACAAGATTGTTTTGTGTTTGGTTGGCTTAAAAGTCCTGTAGGTTAAGATAAGATTTTCTCGGCGACTTTTCCTTTAGATTATTGGATCTATAAGTATGAAAAGTCGCTATTTTTCGATGCTTCTGTTTAAATCGATATTTGTCAATGCTTCTGTTTAAGTCGCTACTTTTCGATGCTTCTGTTTAAGTCGATATTTGTCGATGCTTCTGTTTAAGCCGATATTTGTCGATGCTTCTATTTAAATCACTATTTGTGGACGCTTCTGTTTAAAACGCTATTTGTCAATGCCTCTGTTTAAATCGCTACTTTTCGATGCTTCTGTTTAAAACGCCCTAATTCACCGATTGATTTACGGTTTGTTTTTATCAGAAATCTCTATTAATTCTCGACCAAAAAATGCTTTTTAAAGTTTCCGAAAATCTTTTGTTTTTGGGATTTTGCAGAAGCAAGGTATTGCCCTTTACTAAAATAGCTGTAAAAACTTTTAGAAAAGAGATATCTCAAAACGGTTTTTACCAATCGATCCGTCTTGAATTCGGCTTTAGGATGAGTTATAAAGCGTCAAAATTGGACAAATTTAAGGTACTCTCCCAAAAAATCGGAAAGGACTTTTCCATCAACCCAATAGTCAAAAATCGAATACAATTTTGACGCTTTCATCCATAGAAACCGATTTTGATGTGAATAGAAAAAAGATAGAGCATAAAAAGTTATGTATATAGTGTATATAGTGTATATAGTGTATATAGCCAAATTCTCAGATCAATCTTTTCAGCCGATTTTCTTCTACATCAATTTTACGAATTTTTCTTTAAGATTACTTCAAAATAGGCTGAAATCAGCTTAAAAATGATGATATATAAACGATATGTCGTGGCCGATTATGAATTTCAGCCGATGATGAATGAGTTGGGTCTAGGAGCGTCCAACCATCAAGTATTTAGTATCATTCAACGCAGAGTCATTGATAATTATGTTAAATTTTTGAAATTAGAAAGATTGGATAAAAAGAACACAAATTATGGGGCTTCAAAGTTTTCTGTTGAACAAACAGTTTTTTTGCTCTAATTTTTTTTTCTTTTCATCAAATCTTGCTAATTTTAAAAATTTAACATAATTATCAATGACTCTGCGTTGAATGATACTAAATATTGGGTTGGGGACTATGACTCGGCGCCGAAAATTAAAAAAATTTCTGAAACTTCTAGCAGACTTCGTCAAATGATACGCGCTTAATATCAGTAGAAAAGTGAACTAATTCTCTACAAAATGACATTTAAAAGAAAACTCAAACAGCGCCTCAGCTCAAGAAAAGGCCATTTTTTCACAAAAACTACAAAGTGTCATCTAGAAAAAACGGTTGAAGGGATCTTCCTGCAAATTTGGCAACTTATGTAATTGAATGTGCTCTATCTTTTTTACACAGACACCAAAGAAGGTTTATGTGCAAGAAACTGTTCAAACGATGAGTCGGACTCTTTGCCATTTTGATCAGCTATGTTTGGAAGTTCATAAAATCCACGAAAGAAAAGCTTTGTGGAATCTCTCAAAAGTCATTTTGTAGAGAAATAGTGGATCCTTTTGATGAAAGAAAACGTATATTTAAAGAAGGCTTTATGCGTGCAAAAAGTGTCTTTAAAGTTTGGCGCCGAGTCATAGTCCCCAACCCAATACTTGATGGTTGGACGCTCCTAGACCCACTCATTCATAATCGGCTGAAATTCATCATCGGCTACGGGGGTCCCGCCGATTTTGAATCAAACGTTGTAGCGCCGGCAATTTTTAACCTAAACTCACAAATTTGGTACCAATCGACGCAGAATTGAATTCGCTACAAGATGATATAATATTGTCCTCATACATTAAAGGGTTGCTCTACTAGAAAGATTTGCCAAAACAATTTCATTCATAAACGGCTACGACAGATAAACATTTCCAATAAAGCAAATTGTAAATCAATTGATGAATTCGAGAGTTTTTAAAAATGATCCTGACAAATAATGATATTTTATACTTCCAGATCCAATACAACTGTTGTTATTCCTATTTTGAAGCATTGATAAGAAAATTTAGACTCTAATGACCTGTTTGACAGTTCCACTCATCATTCTACCCATCGCAAACTTGGCTCTTTTAATATGGCTTCTAAGCGATGTGAACAAAAAGTTGGTTTATGAAAGCGTAAAATAAAGATTTCTGGACGTGAAAGACACTTTTGCCTAATTGGAATTATGATTTTTTTTTCTTTAATTTAGCGAAGGAACGAATAAATACAAGGACAATGCGAAAACATTGGTCTATGCTGCGATTGGAATTGCTGTCGTTATTCTAGCAGCAATGATTCTTGGTGGGTTAGATAAAAACGGGAAAGCTGGCTCGGTCGGCCTCGGCGTCGGCCGAAAATAATGCTTTTGGCCGTTAAATCTATTTTTGGATATAGAAATCAATTAGCTGTCTGCTTCGTGTTCGTCAGCATTCGTTTTGGAGCCGCTTAGAACAAATCTCAAAATAGAAAATGCCGAAAACACTCCTTACGAATCGCCTTTTGACATTTGCATAATATCGGAAAAGACGAATATAAGCAACTTTGTCTTTGCAAAGTGCTAAATACACGAGTCGCTAAATACACGAGTCGGGGGAGCAGTCGGGGGAGCTGTTTAAAACAGCGCCGGCCAAAATAATGCGTTTGCGATGAGGTTTATTTGTCTTTCTTATTTTCATTGGATGTAGAAAAAAATTAGCTATCTGCTGATTTTTTTGGAGCCGTTTAGAACAAATCTCAGAATAGAAAATGCCGAAAACATGAAAAAGGGCTCAAAAAAAGGTTTTTTTGAGCTTTTCTTGGCACTAATTCTGTTTTAAGTGTATACCAAAGTATACAAAATGTAGATAATTTGATTCTGCATTCAATAAGAATAGAAACCCATCGAAACTTAACGGCGGAGGGGCTATTTTTGCTGTGACGCTGTTTGTACACAGCGCTGTGGGTACACAGCGCTTTGGGTACACGGCGCTTTTGGTACACGGCGCTTTTGGTACACGGCGCTATTTTGACGAACTCCGAGAAAACGATTATCGAAAGTTGGCAGTAATTTGGCAGCAATTCTTGGCTGAATATCTTTTGTCCAAAGATACTAGAAAATGCTTTTTATCTCACAATACCAAAATGGAAGTACCCTGGTTTCAGGTTGAATTTCTCCATTGAAGAAAAGATCTTTCAGCTTTCGAATTTCGATCTTTCAGATTCAGAATTCGAATTTCGAACTTTAGTAAAGAAAGACTATAGTTTTAAACTCTAGTTTCTTTAGTTTACAGTAATTAATTCAGTCTTTGAGTATTTATTCAAGCTTTCGATTTCATTGTTGCGATTTCAGCTGTGGCCATGTGCTTGATGGGAATCTACAAGAAGAAGCCGACTTTCATGCAAATTTTCAGTTGTCTTGTGGTGAGTTACAAAAAGAAGGTTTTAAGAATTTTGATGTCCTCCATGGATTTTATAAATAATTCAGAAATTCCTATTGATTAGAATGATTATAGATTGGCTAAAGGTTATAGTGGTTAGGTTATAGTGCCAGGTTATAGTGCCAGGTTTTTTCTTGCGTCAAAATCCTTTTGCGCCAAATTCAGGCATGAAAATCACTATAACGAATCACTTTTTCCCAGCTTCTAACCAACTTTTTTCAACTTTCTGCTTCATAATTTTAATTCTCGTTGTTTTCAATTAGAAAACACGTTTAAATACAGCCATAGCCCCAAAAAAAACAGCCATTTTTGTGTCACCGATTGGACTTTTATATCGATTTTATGCCATTTTCAGACCCGGATCAAAGTAGTGAGCATCGTCGTGAAGAAAAAGTAGCAAAAAATCAAAATCAACAATCATAGTTGGTAGAAAAGTGTGTTGAAAAGCGCTAATTTTGCGCAAAAAAATCGCGCAAATGATACGGGCTTTTGGCCGCATCATTTGCGCTTTTGCTTCAGCGCTAGCACCTCAAAGATCTGCTAGCACCTCAAAGAGATCTGCTAGTACCTCAAACATCCACTTTTAGATTGCTTTTGCAATTCTCTATGTTCTTTCCGGAATCAGCTCGGCGGCTAGCGGAAGCTGGGCCGGTGTCGGGGTTGCAGGTGAGAATCTCGGGTTGTTGTAACGCCTAAATGCATTTAAACTATTGTAATTGTCATTTTATGATTACTATACTGTGCTGTAAGTATCTCTTTTCATTAATGCAACAATATTGTAAAAGCCATCTGTATTTCAGGATTGTAGACCATTTCCCATCCCCTTTCCCATTGACAATCCAACTTTAAGCTCAAATTTCTTCGTGTCCAGCTGTTCAATATAAATAGTTTTTAAACCAATCGATAGAGAAAGACTTGGCGAATCGAATGATATTAAGAAGATTTAGATTGAACAGCTTTACACCAAGAAATTTGAGCTTAAAGTTAGATTGGTAATGGAAAGGCGCGGATGAAATGTTCGACCTTTTAAAGTATTGGTCTGTATCCTGTAAACTGTAGCTGTACGGTCTTTTTCTAGAATTCTGATAAGCCCAATGATTCCAATAACCCAGTTATTGGAATCTGATGAGCCTAACTCGAATGATAACGTTGAGCTCAAATTTCTTAGATTAGGTTAGAGGCAATTAGATTGCCAATGGAGCGTATCAAATGTCCGATACGACCGCATATAATTAGCTAGATTGGTAATGGTAAAGTTAGATTGGTAATGGAAGAAGCGGCGGGGAAATGTCCGACCTTTAAATATTTATTCTTTAAATATTTAAATATTATTAAATATCTGTATAAATAATACAGAAGTATTCTTCTGTATTATTTAACAAAAGGCTACAGTTTACAGGATACAGAAGTATTCTTCTGTATTCTGTAAACTGTAGCCTTTTGTACGCTCTTTTTCGAGAATTCTGATAAGCCTAACTCGAATGATTCCAATAACCCAGTTAAATTGCTTAACAATTCGATCAACTCTTCAAGTTCAGAAGTTTTCATTTTTCTTATCTTTTGAAAGAAATTGTGGATCATAAATGCCACCTTGAGAGCGGCGCCAAAAAAGAAACCAAATAATTTTAGGTTTCAAAATTTAAGGGATTTGTCAGAGAATAAAATGATTTGAAAGTATCTAAAAATGAATTTTAATGAATTAAAATCAATTTTAATCAATTTTAATTAATTTTAATCCATTTTAATCAATTTAAATCAGTTTAAATCAATTTGAATCAATTTTAATCAATTTTAATCAATTTAAATCAGTTTAAATCAATTTGAATCAATTTAAATCAATTTCAATCAATTTAATCAATCAATCAATTTTCTAATCGCTTTCAGTTTTCATGGTTGGTTGGATGGTTCTCCTCTTCTTTTACAGTCGAACGGCGCATCTTCGAAGGATGCATATTTGCCCGACTTGTTATTAAAAAGTTGCTTGTTGATATGATTGTGATAAAAGTATTGTTTGCCACAGTTTTTCTCAATTAACTTTCAAAGTATTTTAACTGAACTACTCGTACATAAACATTTACTATTTTACTGCAGTTTTAAGTAAGCTTTAAATGGAAATTGCTAATCCTAAAGTCACCCTTGAGCCTTAAAAACTAATTGACAACTTTACAAGTTTAACTATATAGTTTTTTTGCAGTTTACATAATTTACATATGTTTTGCGATATTGGAATATTGTACAGAGTGCGCCATCATTGGAATGCTGTACAGAGTGCGCCATCGTTGGAATGCTGTACAGTGCGCCATCATTGGAATGCTGTACAGAGTGCGCCATCGTTGGAATGCTGTACAGAGTGCGCCATCATTGGAATGCTGTACAGAGTGCGCCATCGTTGGAATGCTGTACAGTGCGCCATCATTGGAATGCTGTACAGAGTGCGCCATCATTGGAATGCTGTACAGAGTGCGCCATCGTTGGAATGCTGTACAGTGCGCCATCATTGGAATGCTGTACAGAGTGCGCCATCATTGGAATATTGTACAGGCCTTAAAAACTAATTGACAAATAACATTTATTGCGACAATAAGATAAAATTCTAATTTTAAGGCAGACAAGAGCAAAAAAGACAAATTTTTAACTGAATAACATTTATTGTACATTAAAAATTATAAATGAACTATCAAATTCGAATCGGCCAGCATTAGCATTTGAGCAGGCTCGCAGGCGTTTCAGGAAGGCGTCAACGTTGACGTAGACTGGATTGAGCTCTTCCCACGCTTTTAACAGTGGTTTCTTCAAGCTTTTGATGTTTTGCAAGGCTTTGAACAAGCTTTGGCTTCCATTGGAATCGACCACACTGAATAATCCATTGGGTTGAGGTCCGGAGAGCTTGGTGGCCACTCAGAAAAAGAAATGAATTGGAATTGTTTGGCAGAACTCTTGGACTTTCTTGAATTTGGGCCATCTTGCTGATAAGTCCAAATGCGATTTCCAAAGCTTTACAAGTCCAGGACAAGAGTTCATTCTTGGGAAGGGCCAGCTAGTTATCGGAATTGACGCGCGTGATACCTTGTTGCAACAATTATGGCGCACTCTGTAGATAAACATAGGTCCGTCTACTCTCAAAAGATGTTTCTTCAGACAAAATCAAATAAAATAGAGACAAACGGACATCAAATTTAAAATCTTTAACTATTTTATCATAAGAATGTCATAAGAATGACCGGATAGGACTCTTGTCTCCTAGTCAAGGGCCAATGGGGCCAAAGGTTCGATCCCGGTGGCCAGAAAAAGGCCAGAAATTGGCTCTTTTTCCCATTAGTATGGGTTTTTTCTTAACAATATTTGAGGAATAGGGGTAATTAAGCGTAGAGATTTCCTTTGTTGTTTTGTAATTCATTATTCGTGTCGAATAAATACACTTTTTAAGGCAGCCGTAGCCGATGTGCCGAGTTTTTTTCAGTCAATGCAATAAGAAGTTATAAAGTTGTAAAGTCATCAAGTTTCACTCAATAAATCCTCTCAAAGCATTCCCTTTTCTTTGATAATTGACGAGTTGACTGGAATCCGCTTACTCGTATCAGTTCGCTTTGTTCAAACGTTTGAGACTTTGAAACGTCGCACAACTACTACTAAAATTCAATCTAATCAATCGATGGAAACACGTTTGTAATATTATTCTTTTACTTTTAAGTCTTCTAGATATAAAAGATTTCTTCCTCTTCTAGATATAAAAGATTTCTCAAAAGTTCTTATAATCTGTAAGAAGTAACTTTTTGACTTGAAAAACATGTAAATTTCGGAAAACTAAGACCGGATTCGAAAAATTCACGTACTTTTTTACCCCAATATACCGATTTTCATAAAAAGCTTTCGAATCTAAACAAGTTTTTTAAAAGCAGAGCCTCGGCAGGATGCCAAGCCACGCCCCCTCACGTCAAGCTCTATATAAGGAAATTTAATTTTATTTATGTCGAAATGTAAGAATTTTTCGTTTTCGAGTTTGAAATGTAAGTTTCGAGTTCGCAAGTTTTCGAATTTGAAAATTGTGGGGTAGCCTAATTTCCGCAACCGGGTCGTTTGCACAACTCATCATAACTTCCTTCTAAGTGGTCCAATCTTTATGATTTTGGTTTCATTTTGTAGATCTCAATAAGTGCAACAAAATGAAACTACAAATCATAAAGATTGGTCCACTTAGAAGAAAGTTATGGCGAGCGCGTAAAAAAAATTGCTAAAATTAGCCTACCCCAAAATTATCTAAGAATAAGGTGTTTTGTCGAGTCTTAAATACGAATTTAAAAGCAGAGCCTCGGCAGGATGCGAAGCCACGCCCCCTCACGTCAAGCTCTATATAATGAAATTTAATTTTCTTTATGTCCAACCATGGGTTAAGGAATTTCCACAAGATAGCGCTTCAATTCAAACAAGACTAAAATTTTTGCATCATAGCCGTCAGAGACAACCAGGGTAGGAGTCTTGTCTCCGAGTCGGGGGGTTAAGGGTTCGATCTCTGCTAGACGGCTAGAAAGATTGGTTCTTTTTCCCATTATTATGGGCTTTTTCTTAACAACATTTAGGCAATAGGGGTAATTAGGGGTAAAAATCTCCTCCGTTGTGTTGTAATTCATTATTCGTGTCGGAAAAATATACATCCGAGTCTGCTCGCTAAGAATTTTTACGAAAATTGACTTAAACTTTGCAGAATGAAATTTTTTCCAAAAACTACTATTACCATTTGATAGATCTAAGTTTTTTTTCTTGAAAACAAGCCAAAAATGAACTTTATATCTGAAAAACGAAAGATTTTCAAGTAATTTTACGAAGGTCACCCAAATCTAAAAAGCAAAAAAAGGCGCTGTGCCATCCTCATCATAAAGTTGTTTAGAGTTGCAAATTTTCTATAAAAAAGTATAGTAGAGCTAAAAAAACCTGAATTTTCATAATTCGGTTTTTGGTTTTCAAAAATAGAGTGTTTTCTGAGTCAAAATGTCCGTTTACAAAGATTATAAGAACTTTTGGGACGTGATCATCTCTCTTGTTATCTATTGGGCTGTCCAGTTATGAATGCGTGTTTTTACTATTTTGTAAATTTCTCAAGATATCGAACAGATGTATATGAGTGTTATATATCATTCGAAAGCTGAAGATCTCCTCTACATTTTGATACAAAAAAGTTTTTGACTTTGTTCAGCTTTTGGGCAAATTGACTGCACAGAAGAAGAGGTGGCCAAAAAATGGAAGGGTGCCTTTGGATCAAGTTTTGGCTCCGCTCAAATTGAGTTAACTGTTTGATGTTTGGCCAATAGAGATATCAATACAAGTTTTTTTTAAATATAGCAATTTCAGAGCATCTTTACTTTTCTTTTCTTTTCTGGGCGGTTATTTTACACCATTTAACTCGAGGAATAGCTAAGCTGAAATGGGTTTTTTTTTGAAAACGACCTCTCCCTTTGTGCAGTCAATTTGCCCAAAAGCTGAACAAAGTCAAAAACTTTTTATTCCAAAATGTCTTCAGAGATCTTCAGCTTTCGAATGATATATAAGACTCATATACATCTGTTCGATATCTTGAGAAATTTACAAAATAGTAAAAACGCGCATTCATAACTGGGCAACCCAATAAAAGAGTGCAAAATTTCTCAAAAATAGACAAAAAACGAGTGAGTTCCACGTTTTAGAAAGCAGCTCTTGTTTTCTAAAGAGGCTAAACTGTTTGCTAACTCGACTGACTGACTGGACTGACTCGTTCTCTACAAAAAGCCCATGTATATGTCGTAGCCGATTATGAATGAAATTGTTTTGGCAAATCCTTCTAGTAGAGCAACCCTTTAATGTATGAGGACAATATTATATCATCTTGTAGCGAATTCAATTCTGCGTCGATTGGTACCAAATTTGTGAGTTTAGGTTAAAAATTGCCGGCGCTACAACGTTTCATTCAAAATCGGCGGGACCCCCGTAGCCGATTATAAATGGGTGGGTCTAGGAGCGTTCAACCATCAAGTATTTAGTATCATTCAACGCAAAGTCATTGATAATTATGTTAAATTTTTAAAATTAGAAAGATTTGATAAAAAAGAAAAAAAATTAGAGCAAAAAAATGTTTGTTCAAGAGAAAACTTTGAAGCCCCATAATTTTTTTTCTTTTCATCCAATCTTCCTAATTTAAAAAATTTAACATAATTATCAATGATTCTGCGTTGAATGATACTAAATAATTGATGGTTGGACGCTCCTAGACCCACTCATTCATCATCGGCTGAAATTCATAATCGGCTACGACATATACAAAGCTCAAAATAATCGCTCAACTTTTTTGAGAACTAGAAATGCATTTGAAAGAGTACCTACAGTTAAATGCGTCAGAAAATTTGACTAGAATGAGCTTTAGATTCTTCGCATTCCATTGCTCCACCTCCATATTCGATTTCGTGCAATGTTGAAGAAATTCACAAAGAAATACGTTCAAATTGTTATAGAGGACCGTTGCAGATCTTGTCAGAGCCACAAATTTCTGCACAAATCGGTAAATTTTTCAAGATCTCAGATTGATCTCTCATTTTCATATCTATTTTCATATCTACTTTACGATGAGCTCTAGATCTAAATGATCTCGAGGCTCCTCCTCCATATTGTCTTCCATATCGTCTTCCACATCGATGTGTGCGTTTCTTTTAGATCTCTTCTGGATTAGTGAAAAGATTACGATAGATTTAGGCTCTTTAGAGCACACAATGAATTCAAATTTCTCCCAAAGAAAATTTCAATTAGTGATTTAGGAGTTGGGGGTTAAATGGAAGAGACAAAGCAGTTGGAATAAGGTACTTATTTTCACTTTATTAGTTTTTGGATTGTTTTTAGAGAGTGTACGCTTGCGTTTTAATTGGAAGTTCACTTCCAATTCTTCTTGAAACAATCTATTTTATCGTGATGCTCAAGTAAGTTCTTTTAGCTAAAAAAAATACAAATTCTATCTTGCTCAATAGAGCTCAATAGAGTTGCTTATTGATATTATTGGGTTGGTGAATTGAAAACTGCCAGCAATTGTCATATGTGACAGTTTGAGCACTTTCTTCAAAAGAAACCCATTTTGGTGTCAATGGAAAAGTTGTAGAGAATCAAAAATCAAGCTTATATCCAAATTTTCAGAACGATTCAAAAACTGGTTTTCAAGAAATGCCAAATTTGCGAATTTTCACAAAACTTGCCTTTTAAGCAAAACTACTAAGTGTATTTTTTTGGAAATTTGGCTATAGGCCTAATTTTTGATTCTCTACAACTTTTCTATTGACACCAAAATGGGTTTCTTTTGAAGAAAGTGCTCAAACTGAGACATCTCCAGTCCACCACTTTTGAGTCTCACACTTGTCTCAAACACAAACCAAAATCCTACTACGAAAGAGGAATCCGCAAATTGCCTGTAAAATGGGCAGAAGTCCTCAATAATAATGGCAATTATTTGGAATGAATTGATCGTTTTATGTTGAATAAATTTTAGTTCAAAGTCCCGCAAGTTTTAGTTCAAAGTCCCGCAAGTTCAAAGTTTTCAATTCACCAACTCAATATCAATACAAATGGCAACCTCCTGTTTAACCGTTCAGATCTCGCTTTCTAGAAAAGCTATCAATCTGCAAATTGTTTCATTGGAAAGTCAAGAATGTCAGTTTTTGATTGCCCAGATTGATAGCTGTTCTAGAAACTGGGATCTGAATGGTTAAACATGAGCATTGTATCGATAATATCGATAAGCAAGTCTGATACTCAAGTAAATTCTTTTAGCTGACATTTACAAAAGCTAAAGATTAGATTTTGTTTAGATTTTGTTTCAATTTATAGTTCTTTGCAGCTTTTTTCTTATCTTCAATATCAATTCTTATTTAAACTGGTAAACTTTTAATTCAGATTTCCAAACGATAAAGATGACAACAATGATTGTTCGTTCTTTAAAGCTTTCATTATCATTAATGCGCTTTTTTCGATGGCAACGCTTTTGTGTAAGTTTGTAAATGATTGTAAAACGGTTTAGGAGCACAGGTTAAACACAGGTTAAGCATTTAGGAGCACATGTTTAGGAGCACAGGTTAAGTATTTAGGAGCACAGGTTTAGGAGTACAAGTTAAGCATTTAGGAGCACAGGTTTAGGAGTACAGGTTAAGCACAGGTTAAGCATTTTGGAGCACAGGCTTAGGAGCACAGGTTAAGCATTTAGGAGCACAGGTTTAGGCGCACAGGTAAGCATTTAGGAGCACAGGTTTAGGAGTACAGGCTAAGCCTTTTGGAGCACAGGTTAAGCACAGGTTAAGCATTTAGGAGCACAGGTTTAGGAGTACAGGCTAAGCCTTTTGACAGGTTAAGCACAGGTTAAGCATTTAGGAGCACAGGTTTAGGAGTACAGGCTAAGCATTTTGGAGCACAGGCTTAGGAGCACAGGTTAAGCACAGGTTAAGCACAGGTTAAGCATTTTGGAGCACAGGCTTAGGAGCACAGGTTAAGCATTTAGGAGCACAGGTTTAGGCGCACAGGTTAAGCATTTAGGAGCACAGGTTTAGGAGCACAGGTTAAACACAGGTTCAGCTGCCAAAATCTTGTACAAGTTTTATGTTTTTGTGATTTCACAATAAGCTTACACAAAATAAGCACAACAAGAAAGTATTGCAATTGTTGTTTTTTAAATCTGGTACTGATTAAAACCGATTAAAGCTTTTTGATTGAGGTTGAAGAAGTCATCAAATCAAATTTGCCACAAATGTGACATCAATTTGTCTATTTGATCTTTTCCTTATGATTTTGAAATCCTATTTTATTTTCTAGGCATTCCTCTCGGATTCTTTGCTCTTTTCCAACGAAAATCGAGTTTACTTGATTACTTGGCATTTTATTTGGTGAATTCTAAACCCTTGAAAATCAAAGTAAAATTTTTTTAGGCATTTCTGATAATACTGATTGGACCGATCGATTTTATTGTAAGAAAATTTTGCATAAACTTCTTATAAAGTTTCAGGGAGCTTGGATAATAATTGACAAGGCTAAAACTTTTGGTATCATTGCTTTTGTGGTTTCTGGTATGTGAAAATAAGTCTTCTTATTAAAAAAAACAAAATTTTAGTTTTAATGCCGCTTTGGTTGCTTCTTCTTCGATTTCTAACAAAGAAACATTATCAAAAAATGATTATTTGTTCGAAATGTTATTGAATATTTATAGTAAAGAGTTCTTTCAGGCAAAACACAGCATTACTAATCACTAAAAATTCTTGTCGTAAGAACCTGATCTGTCGTGACGATCTCGTGATCGAGATCGCCACTTATGGAAATGGCCAGCTAGGCACCCATGTGGACGAACGCCTATTGTGCGAGATTTAATATGCGTCGCTATCCGTTCAACTCCATTGTGTGCAAGACGAGACCAACGCCTGAGTTCCGTATAAAAGCAATGTGAACGAGCTGCCGAGGTGTGCCGTGACGTGTCTCTACTCTCCCAATCTCAAACCATTGAACCAACTATTATCGCTGTAATAAAGATTATATCTAAACCAACAATAATCACTACACCATCCGAATCATGAAATTTGCAGAAAAGTAAAGAAAGATCCCGTTCAAAGCTCAGTCAAAGTCAAACAAAACTGGTTAAAATATAAAAATGCATCAAAGTTATATAAGTTTTTATCTTTTTATACTTTTATCGGCCTTATTTTAATTGCAAAATTTAGAGAATTGCATCTTTTTATTTTAAAATAAACAAAACTTTGAAGATAAATGATGCTGGTGATATATCGTAGTTTCTCTAATAGTAGTGCACCCCAGCCGCCTTGGTGACTATTTTACGGTTTCCAAGCTTTTGCAGAAGCTCAACACTCTAATCCCTCACCAGATCTCATCGTCAGCTACATTTTCCGACCCCACATCGATAGGTTCTGGTAAGCGGTTCTCGAGATTTCGAGGAATTTAGGCGACGCTCAGGGTGCACTACTATTAGAGAAAACTATATAGAACACTATTATATAGAACATTTTTGTATTCAATTTGTCTAGAATAGACTTGAAACTAAAATCCAGTCATCCAGTCGGTGATCCAATCATTTGGCTGGAGATTTCTGGCCGTAAATCTATAAGCAACAATTTTTGGTTCTCTAGAACAATTTTCGTTTAGTCGTGGCCTTTTTGAAACAAGATTAAACCCATCTTATAGAATTGGGCACGCTAAGTTCGAATCTGTTTTCAGTTTTTTTCCTTTGAGGCCTTGAACACAACAGATTTGATCTCTATTTGAGGCGATAGAAAGGCAGATAGTTTATGAGGAATCTAAAAATCTGAAGGTTTCAATCTGACAGTTTCAGTTGCTCTGTTGAGAACCTTTATTGTTATTTTCTTGTAGATAAATGATAATTCTTAGCGAAAATCAAAGGTAATCAAATCAAGTTTTAAAGCAACAAATTCAAAAAGAAACCTTTTGGGCACACCTTTGCTCCGTGTTCAGCTGTTTCTAGATGTTCAATCTCTAGTTTTCCATCTCTCACTGTTGCAGTTTTTTCGAGTATTCATCATTTACTCCTAGCAAACTTCAAATTGTATACATAATTTTCATTCAAATGCTTACAAGAGAGGATTTATGAAAGAAACCGGAGCTAAAACGTTGCCAGCTTTCCCCCAGCCTCCCCTCAATCCTTATCAGAGCGTTACAATTCAAAAGTTTTCTCAAACAAACTCTTTTTCTTCAAAGAAGACGAATATTTATTGATTAATGACAGATGACGGAAAATAACGAGGAGAGACGTTGGTTAAAGCTTTTTAAACCATTTTAGGTACAATTTTTAGCTGTCAGCTATTTCCTGGAGATCACGAAAGATGAAACGGCAACGAGAACGGGTAAATTGTTTTTGAATTGCTTTTGAATTGCTTTTGAATTGCTTTTGAATTGCTTTTGAATTGCTTTTGAATTGCTTTTGAATTGCTTTTGAATTGCTTTTCAATGTACAAAATCTTTTGAACTAGTTTATTCACTGTTTAACTGTTTATTCAACGTAACCCCACTTGTCTGAATATAATTTTCTCATCCTCAATACCTTTTCATCTATTGAGTACATTCATTGATTTCTAGGACCCATTGTTCCATCGTACGATAATGTAGTCTCTGGTGTGACCAGTGGAGAGCCTCCGGTTTACACACTTTCCGGTAAGCTTTGAAATTTCTGACAAGGAAATGATCTGCTCGAGATCTCAACCTGAAAATCAAAATAAAACGCCAATCGCCAATCGACTACGCTGAACAGTGAAATCCTTTTTTACCAATGAGCAATAGTTTTTTTTTGTTGCAAACCTTTCGATCTCTTTCGATTTTCATTTCGGCAATTCTTTAACAAGTAACGCAACAATGATTTGGATCTAAAAATAAAGCTAAAAGAGAACTAAAGCTCATTCGCAAAAACGGATTTCACCATCGTAGTCGATAGACTTTTCTTGATTCTTGTCTTGATTTTCAAGATCCCAGGCAGGCGTTGACAACGGAAAGCTGCCCCAGGTCTTGTCATTCTCTTGTAAGTCTTAAATTCATTTCAACTTTAAACAATTTGTTAGCTACAGTACTGGACAATGAAATATGATATTTGAAAAACGATCGTCACTTTCGCGCGTCTCTAACTCCCTCGCCTTTGAGTTTAAACTATTAGTGTTATACATTTTCTGAAAGCTCTTTTCAAGGGCTACAAAATGGTAATATTAATATTTAGAAATACGGTAAAGACAAGGGAGTTACAGATACGCGAAAGTGACGATCGTTTTTCAAATATCATATTTCATTGTCCAACAGTGTATTTGTCAGATCAATCCGTTCCCTACAATGTCGATCTACCGCCTTCCTATGAGATGGAGCATCGATGTGTGAGTTTTAGAAAAGAAAGTTGCTTTACTTGAAGCTAATGTTTTAGTCTATTCACTAGCAAACCCTTCATTAGTACAATTTAAAGATTTTGCAGGCGTTGACAACGGAAAGCTGGCCGATTGTGGGGAAACGAAAGAAAGTGAGTGTAAAGAAATATTGTTCGCGTGCTTGGTACTCTTCACTCAAGACACGTTATTTCTTGTTTCGAGATATCTGATCTCACTTGAACTAAAAACACTTTATTCAATAGCCGACTGACTCGGAATCTTTGGGCTCTCACTTGAGCAATTTTGGGCTCACTTGAGCAACTTTCACACAAGATCGACAATTGAATTAAAAGCGACGATTAAAAAACAGAAACAATTTCGTCCTAATTAGGACACAACTTTCACACAAATGAGAGGAAAGCAGAAAGAAAATGAAAGATAACCAAACCAAATGAACAACAGTTAAGGCAACTGTTAAGGGGGGGGGTAGTCAAAACAGCGCCATAATAGAAAACGTTCAAAACAGCGCCGTCAAATTTCTCAAAATCCAAAAAACCAAGCCGGCTCAAGTTTTATATCAAAAAATTCCTTGCGTTCTTGGCTACATGATGGGTGAAACAGTTTTTTTAAAAAGTTAATATTTCATAGATAAAAAGAGCACTCAAAATGGGTCTCTAAAGATATTCAGTTAACCAACTGAGTATCACTCGACACACGTTTTGAGTGCTCTTTTTATCTATGAAATATTAACTTTTTAAAAAAATCATTTCACCCATCATGTAGCCAAGAACGCAAGGAATTTTTTGGTATAAAACTTGAACCGGCTTGGTTTTTTGGATTTTGAGAAATTTGACGGCGCTGTTTTGAACGTTTTCTATTATGGCGCTGTTTTGACTACCCCCCGTTAAGGCAGCATATAGGCTTTAACCCAAGATACTCAGCTAACAAGCTAAAAAACAATCAATGATTTGGGGCGCGAAATAGAATGAAGGCGCACCTCAATATTTCTCCAATTTTTAGGCTGCCATAGTTAGGTAACTTTTTAGTGGCTATTCGCCACAGTGAGTGTTTTTGAAGTGACACAATCTAAAAACAGTGCTACTAACTACCAAAACTTCAAATATTCCTTCGTAAAACTTATCCGCTAGAGGGTTATTGAGATTAGACGTTTTTACGGTAAGCACTGTATATAAGATTTTGTATCCTAGTGCAACAATCCAGTAATATTTTACTTGAAAGGTTATCTACACATGTGCCTTGATCGGTCTGCCCCTTCCTCCACTCATCAACATTGCCGGTCTTTGTATTATTCTTTCTGACATTCATTCAAAGTTCGTTTTGAGGAAATTGAGGAAATTGAAAAACTTAAACTTTAGCCCTGTTCAATACGAATCAAATGCTGAAAGTCTTGTACGAGTTGGTATTGGAGTCGATGTGTTTCTTGGTTGCATGATGTTATTATGTAAGTTGGGAAGACTTTTTCATCAATGATGATCAATTTTTCATCAATTTCATCAATGCTCAGGTGTCGTTCTTGGATTGATTGGAATTTTTAAAAAGAAACCAATCGCTCTTCAAGTCATGACGTATATTTTGGTGAGAAGTTTGTTTTTTTCATGGTACATACAAGTAACAGAGTACACTGCATACTAACAAACAGTTTAATAACCAATCTTCTACATAAGACTCTTAGTAGAGTGGTTGTGAAATCTTTTTGTTTCTTGTAAATCTTGTAAATCTGTACTTTATAGTTTGCGTCTTTATATTGGGTTGGTGAATTGAAAACTGCGGGACTTTGAACTAAAATTTATTCAACATAAAACCATGAATTCATTCCAAATAATTTCCATTATTATTGTCGACTTCTGCTCATTTTACAGGCAATTTGCGGATTCCTCTTTCGTAGTAGGATTTTGGTTTGTGTGTGAGACAAGTGTGAGACTCAAAAATCGAGGACTGGAGATGTCCTAGTTTGAGCACTTTCTTCAAAAGAAACCCATTTTGGTGTCAATAGAAAAGTTGTAGAGAATCAAAAATTAGGCCTATAGCCAAATTTCCAAAAAGATACACTTAGTAGTTTCGCTTAAAATGCAAGTTTTGTAAAAATTCGTAAATTTCGCATTTCTTGCAAAACCAGTTTTTGAATCGTTCTGAAAATTTGGATATAAGCTTAATTTTTGATTCTCTACAACTTTTCCATTGACACCAAAATGGGTTTCTTTGGAAGAAAGTCTGAGAACTGTCACATATGACAGTAGCTGGCAGTTTTCAATTCACCAACCCAATAGAAATTGATTGCTTTCTCATTTTAATACAAAATTTATCAATAAAACAAAAAACAACAAAAAAAACAAGTAAAACAATACTTTCAATCGAATCTGACAAAGCAAATGATTTGAAAACAAAAAAGAAACGACGACGCGGCGCTCCCATCAACTACCTCCAAATGGCGGCGACGTCAATTGGAATGCGACGTTGCGCGAAAATTAAGCTTTAAAAGGAAAATCTTTTTGGAAATTTGGATATAAGCTTGATTTTTGATTCTCTACAACTTTTCCATTGACACCAAAATGGGTTTCTTTTGAAGAAAGTGCTCAAACTGTCACAGATGACAATAGCCCGCAGTTTTCAATTCACCAACCCAATAGTTGATCGTAGCCGATTCTTTAATTCATAGATTATTGCTTATCAGCTCGAACTTGAGCATAATCTTCAAATAAAATAAGACAAGTACCCTAAAGTCGCGAGTATAAGTTCATCCGAGTATAAGTTCTGAATTTACATTTAAAGGGATGGAAAATTTTCTTCTTTCTTTAATTTTCATTGTTTTTTTTTTTTTTTTATTTTTTATTGTTTTTTGTTTTTTTTTTATTTTTTTATTGTTTTTTTTGTTTTTTTTTAATTTTTTATTTTACTAACGTTTTTTCATTTTAGATACGATGAGGAGAAAGTCGTACACCCCCGAAACGAAGCTCGAAGCGGTCAAATATGCGAGGAAATTTGGAACGAACGCGGCTGCGATCGAATTTGAAGTCGCCGAACAGATGATTAACCGCTGGAAACAAGCTGAGCCGGCACTGATGACTTCACCAAAAAATAATCGAGCTTAGCGAGGATTGAGGGCAAAATGGCCGGATGCGGAGAAAGATCGATATTGTTTCCAACCGAACAGTCGAAGTAAAAGGAAATGGTGATATTTCAATTGCTTCAACGGGAAATGAGAAGACGAATTTCACAGTTGTGCTCGAAATTCTAGCCGATGGTTCGAAACTCCCACCGATGCTCATTTTCAAGCGCAAGACTCTTCCTAAAGGAATTTTTCCCGGTGTGATCATCAGTTTCGAAGCTAAGCACAGAATTCTTTTTTATGTCGCTTTAATTGCTTTGAATTTCTTTTTGTTGGGTTTTTATACATTTTTATTGTTATATAGACTTTTATTATTGTTCTTGGAGCGCGGGATACTACAGGGTGACAGCCATTGCTATTTGTTATGTGCATGGATACATCCAGACGATAGTGTTGAAGAAGACGCTGGAAAGCATCTCTTTCGACCGTCAACGTGGACTTTGGCCGGATGAAGAGGCCAGGGAGGGATCCATAAGACTGAGCACCGGAGAGGAGCAGGGCGGACGCGCTGAGCCACGCCCGGAGCAACAAATAACAGCATAAAATTGCTATAACCCTCAATAAATTTACTTCTATTGTTCTTAAAAAGCAAAAAAGTTATGCTGCAGCGGGGTTCGAACCCTCGACATACCGTCAATTTGCATGACAGCCTTCAATTTGCATGCGAAAACCAGACAGAACTTATACTCGCGACTTTAGGGTAAATAGTTTTATCAATTTTTTGATAACTGGCAATGCTTGTTTTGACAAAATTTTGCCAAATAGGTTAAAGTGGTAAACAAGGGAGAGATTAGACAGGGAAATTCGAATGGAACAAGTTGAAAAGTGTACTAAAACGCTTAGTATTTCACATTTAAGTTTAAAATAGTGTTTTAATACACTGGCTAGTTAATGAATCAGACATTTGCGGTATTAGAGTAAAAAAAATGAATGGCAAAGAATTTGGAACGCAGGGGGGAATTGAACCTTCGACCCTCTGCTTACCAGGCCGATGCTCTGCCAGCGATTAGCGCTTTGTTGAGCGGAGGAGAAATAAGAAAGACAAGGAATAAATAGAGGGAAATGTTTGGGTCAACTCAAAATGAGTATTCAGGTGTTTCTCGCTGGTCTCTACGCTTACACAGGAGTTTATTCGATGTTCGTTTTAGATGTATTGGGCATAGTTATTGCGAGTAAGTGATTCATTTAATTTTAAGTGAAAAATCGATAAGCTTACGCAGAAATTCATTTTTTTAAAATATCGTATTTACTCGAATAGAAGATCGGCCTCGATTATAAGACCGTCTCGAATAGAAGACGGCGTCTAGAGGGTGATTGAAAAAAATAGAAGACCGGCCTGGCCTAGGACCTGGCCTAGGACCTGGCCTGGCTCCTGGGCTTGCCAGAAGTCAGTCCCTAGCTTCTAGCCTGTTCCCTAGTAAATACGGTACATTCATTTTAGTCGGCATGGTAATTTGGCTCTCAGCTCTCGTTTTTCTCACCCGACTTCACCAAAGGAGAATGTTTTTGTGTATGAAGTGCTATTAAACAAGTTTATTGATTTCATCTTTTCAAAACAACGCCATTTTCTTGCACATTGAATGCGTATAGGTTTTTGAGCAGATATTGTCGTTCCAGCGAGCTAAATAAGGCTCTGGTGGATATAAATGATAGGCATAGTCCATCGAGAATGTGAACATCTAAATCGATTTCGAATTTTTAGGAAACCTCTCACTCAGCTTCTTAGATTGCGTTTTTTTGCTCAAAAATTGTAAACATATCCTTCCTGGCGCATTAAAATCTTCATTTTCTCAGAGCAATGCTTGGTGTCACGAGAGAAAATGAAGTCTTAAGCAAGCCAGGACCGATGTGTTTAAAACTTTTGAGTCTAAAGGCACTTTGAACGATTCAAAAGCCTACAGCTAAGCAATTCTCGTTATCATAGCCAAGTTTGTAGTTATTCGGTTCTCCTTGAGCCCATGTTTGGAAATTGAATGGAGTTCCGTCGATCCAAGTGAACGTTTCGTTGAGCTAAAAAATTGGAGGCTAAACTTTGAAAGAAAGGGTTTTATACCTTCAAACCGCCAAGCAATAGTGATTGATGATCACTGTACCATTTTGTTTCATTCGTGTGGATCAGATCTGAAAATATTGTTGAAATAAGCTTCGGATAAAGCTATTAATTACTAATACAAGCTTTGGAGATAAAGATACTAATTGCCTAAGATCTTAAGGCCTGTAAGCCAGGTCAAAACAGAGTCCAGAACCTGGCCTGGCCTAGGACCTGGCCTGGCCTAGGACCTGACCTGGCCTAGGACCTGACCTGGCCTAGGACCTGGCCTGGCCTGCCTGGGCTTGCCAGAAGTCAGTCCCTAGCTTCTAGCCTGTTCCCTAGCTCTTGGAAATCTAGCCTTTGCAAAAATTCTGATTTCAATCATAGCTAAAATTTACTCTACCATAGATAAATTGATTCTCTTCTGCTGAATGAATCGAGATGAGTTGACTGTCGAATTTTAGGCAGATTTCCTTCGCTTCATTGAAACTCACATCATGAATTTCCTGAAATCGAAACAGTAATATGAACTTTAATCTGTAAAGTCTCAAAAATCTCTATCCTTTGCTTACCTTATAACAAGCGTTAAACTCTTTCTTGTAGATCCATTTCTCATCGTCTTTTCCGCACGGAGAAAATCTCTTCTTTGCCTCATCGGTTAGCTTTGGTTTGCCGAGAAGTGAGAAATCGAGGACCTGCTCGGGATTTCCCTTACCCAGATCAAGATCATATTTGGGGCCAAGGCTTGGAGCTGAAAGGATTTTGAATTGATTCAAAGATGTTATTGGTATTGGTACGATTGGTATGTTAAAAGGTAGGCTTATCAAGTCAAAACTTGCTAAAACACCAAACACACCAGTCAAACACGATCCAAGACAAAGCGCTATAATTAGAAGAGTATCCATTTCGACAAAAACTCATTCACTTCCCGAGATTCTTCATTTTATACGAATTCCACAACGACTGGATCATTTTTTCCTTATTTTTAATAGTTTACACGCAAGAATGTTCCCCAAATGAGCCAGGGAAAAGAGAAAAGAACTCGTTTCTTTCCCTTTTTTGTTTTTCTTTACTTTTTACGCCTCTCATTCGATGAGTCAGATCAATTTCTCACAAATAACGTTCAATTAAAGAAGATCATTTCCTGGTTTAACTTTAGAGAGCTTTGATCACCGGAATGGCCTTATGTCGATCCGTAAAAATCACTCTAAGTATATCAATATGCCAGAAAAGTATGTTTACAGTCTTGAGTCTAGAGTACGCCTTTTTTATCTGCTTTAATATATTTAAAAGTAAGGAAATTTTAAAAATACAATATACAGTGTTGAGCAAAATTATCTGGACAACTTTTTTGGAACGCTTCATTTGTTTCAAAGTTTGCACGCTTCATTTATTTCAAAGTGCCAAGTGTTATTATATAGAGAATTGTAGGCCTTAATATTGGCTACATTTCTCTACTAAAAACTTCCTGATTGGACTTATAGAGCTCATTTAACAAGCACTTGAATGAGTTCTAGGCTCTCCGGCAATCTGCCGATTCTCTTTATTAAAAAATCGCATTCGAAAAGCTTTTTCCAGTTAAATTTTACTAAATTTGATATTTCAAAAACGATTCATTGGAATTCGATGATCAAATTTCACCTAAAGAAGTCAAGAAGTTGTGAAGAAGTTGTCAAGAAGTGTTTCCGCAGGCTGACGAATCATAGCAACAACTTTTTAAAATACTAGCTGAGAAATGTCTAATTTATTTCAAAGTTTCAAGTGTTAGATAGAGAATTGTAGCCCTTAATCTTGGCTACATTTATCTATCAAAAACTTTCTGATTGGACTGATACAATTCATTTAAGAAGTCCTTGAATAGTCGATGAATAGCACTCGTCGACTCCTATCCGGCGCGCTGCCATTTTTGACGATTTTCTACATAAAAAATTGTTCGACAAAGTTTCTGTCAATATTTATTTTATGTAGAAATGCCATTTAACATTATTAATAACATTAAAGATGACTTTAAACTGTTTTTGGCGAACGAAAATCAATCTGCTGACTAGCTTCTTTGAAAATGCAGGGAAAAAGGTGAAATTTGATCATTTTTCGATTTTTATTTCACATGAGTATCTCGTTATATTAGCTGTTATAGCTATGAAATTGTTCGAAATAATCTTTTAAACAAAATGCACAAGTTTCACTGAAGCAAGTCCTTTTTAGATAAAAGAAATTGTATGTAGCAAATCGTTAAAAATGGCATCGACTGGTGTTCATTCAAGGGCTTGTTAAATGAGCTGTATACATTCGACTGGAAAGATTTTAGTAGATAAATGTAGCCAAGATTAAGGCCTACAATTCTCTACATAACACTTGGCACTTTGAAATAAATTAGACATTTCCCAGCTATTTTTCAAAAAGTTGTCCCTATAAAAGTATAGCGACAATTTTTTAAAAAAGCATCTATCAAATCTCTACCTCATTTTAGAAGTATCAAGTGTTAAATAGAGCATTGTAGCCCTTAATCTTGGCTACATTTATCCACCAAAAACTTTACGATTCGACTTATACAACTCATTTGACAAGCGCTTGAATGAGCGCTAGTCGAGATCTGCAGTCCAGGAAATCTCGACTAGCGCTCATTCAAGCGCTTGTTAAATGAATTGTATAAGTCCAATCAGAAAGTTTTTAATAGATAAATGTAACCAAGATTAATGCCTATAATTCTCTATATAATAACACTTGGCACTTTGAAATAAATTAAGCGTGCGAACTTTTTCAAAAAGTTGTCCAGATAATTTTGCTCAACTCTGTACTTTTAATGCCTTAATTAAATTTAATTCATTCAAAAATCTGCTTTAGTTTTGTTGTTTGGATTGTGAATTGTAGGCATTAATCTTGGCTACATTTATCTACTTATCTACTAAAAACCTTCCAATCAGATGTATACAGCTCATTTAACAAGCACTTGAATGAGCGCTAGCCGACATCGCGAATCTGTCGTTTTGCCGCTTTTCTCTATTAAAAAATTGTTTGGATTTGTAAGTAGTTTTTCAAGTTTTTTTTTTTTTACTAATATTTAAACTTTTGAAGAGTTATTTATTAACAGAAAGTTACAGTCTTTTGTAATAATTAAACTAGTTCACACAATTTTAGTTCCTTATCGTTTTTTTTGAGGCTCAAAGATTCGCTGACTCATAAGGAGCATTCGAACAAAAAGGTTCCCGAAAACAAAAATGTTGTTTCCAAAATTTCCAAATCTTTCTTCAACAACTTATGGTCAATTTATCACTTAAAAAGTTCGATTTTAGAAAAAAAAAATAAGGAGAAATAAAGAGAAAAAGAGAAAGCGATCCACCGATCCATCATGTGGTGATGACGGGGTCACTTTTACATATAAAACTCAAGAGATCCGAACGTTTGAATCAATTGCAAAATGATTTATTTATTATTTGTGATTTTTGGGCTAACTTCTGCAGGTAGAATTGATTATGGTAAAAGAAATGAGACAATTTAGCACCGAGAGTGATACTTGAGGTCAACGATTTGCCGGAGTACCCGAATCGAGACGACTCTTTTGAACTAAGTAAGTCCATTTTTATTCCACTGAGATTTAAATTGACTGATTGATGGACTGACTGGATCGACTGATTGGTTGATTGATTGATTGACTGGTCGATCGACTGGCCGATCGACTGATCGATTGGTCGATTGATTGACTGGATGGACTGATCGATTGATCGATCGATCGGTCGATTGATCGTGATTCGCGATTGATTGATTGATCGGTTGATTGATTGACTGGTCGATTGATTGATTGACTGATTGATTGATTGGTTGATTGATTGATTGGTTGATTGGTTGATTGATTGATTGATTGATTGATTTTATTCGTATTTCCTAGCACAAGCAATTGTAGCGTATGTTCTTTGGATTTAAAGGATAAAATCTTACAGTAAATTACAGTAGCTTTTCTGAATTTTTACCATTCTAAATTTTAGAAAACAATTGACAGAGTGTTCAATATTTATGCTTTAATATTATATTCAATATTGAGCTCGTAGCTTTCGAGAGCTTGGTTTATCAAAAAAATTATCAAGAAAACCCTGGATAGAAGTTGGAGTTTCTAGATTATTTTTACAGTTTACTAAATTTGATATTTCAAAAACGATTCATCGGAATTCGATGATCAAATTTCACTTAAAGAAGTTAAAACTCAGTTGTTCTTGTTTAACAATGAGAAAGCCCACTATAATAATAATACTTTATTCAAACGATAAAGTGAAAGAAATCATAGAGAAATGCACAGTGATACTTAATCATACAATACATACTGAAATCAATAAGCCAATTACTTACGGCAAAGAGCCACTAGATCTAAAGCATCGATACGTTTCTTGAATATGAAAAGCGACTGAATTTCTCGTATGTCGTTTGGGAGCAAGTTCCATAATCTAGCGGCTCTAACGGGAAATGAATTTGATAAAGAGGCATTGGAAGCAAAGGGAATTTGCAAAAGGAATGAGCCACTTCTGGGCCCTGACCGCGGTTTAAATTTGAAAAAGTATTTAACACTTTTCCAATCTACGAGACATTAAAAATGTTTGAATCACATTTTAGCTTTGATTTTTTTCAAGAAAACTTAACGAAAGCTTGTGAAAAACTCAATTTACCCATAGTGCCAGTGGTGTTTCCGCAGGCTGACGAATTAAAGCAACAACTTTTTTAAAAAACTAGCTGGGAAATGTCTAATTTATTTCAAAGTGCTAAGTGTTATATAGAGAATTGTAGGCCTTAATCCTGGCTACATTTATCTACTAAAAACCTTCCAATCGGATGTATACAGCTCATTTAACAAGCACTTGAATGAGCTCTAGTCGACATCGCGAATCTGTCGTTTTGCCGCTTTTCTCTATTAAAAAATTGTTAGGAAAAGCTTTTCAATATTTCTTTATTGGAAAAATAGCGTCGATGATCACTTCATAACATTAAGAATCAAATCTAACTATTTTGGCTTAACTGGTATAATTAAAATTTAAGTTGATGTCAAGCTTCTTTTGAAGGAGCAGGGAAAAGGTGAAAATTGATTACTTTTGAGATTCAGTTCATATCAGCTCGTTGTATCAGCTGTTCTGACGCTATGCATTCATTGAAAACAATTCTTTGAACAAAATTACCACAAATTTAACTGGAAAAAGCTTTTTCGAATGGGATTTTTTAATATAGAAAATCGGCACATCGCCGGAGAGCCTAGAACTCATTCAAAGACTTGTTAAATGAATTTTATAAGTCCAATCGGGAAGTTTTTAATAGATAAATGTAGCCAAGATTAAGGGCTACAATTCATTTTATAAAGCTTGCCACTTTTGAAATAAATCAGACATTTCCCAGCTACTTTTTTAAAAAGTCGTCGCTATACTTCGTGGTCGCCTGTAGGCAAGCGACAAAAGGCAATAATTTTGAAAAAAGTAAGTTAAAGTTGTTAACTTTTGACGTATTTATAAGTGTATTTCTTTTTAGCATTAAACTTGTACAAAATGAGCTCTAAACTAGTAATCTATCTATAAATATTGAATATCTTGTAGTTTCAGTTCAACAGTGTTGGTTGAGTTTCAGTTTAGTAAACTTTTGCACTTTTACAACTATTTGTAACTTGTAAAATTTCATTTTCCACTGGCTAAATGAATATTTAGGAGAGTAATTGAAATTGAGCTGTTACTTCAGGCATTGAGCATGAAAAGCTCGAAAAAACCGACGACTACGCGCTAGAGGAAACTCCGATGTGTCCAAAGGATTGGATTTACGCAAAAGAACTCAAGAATTGCTATTTTGTACGATTTTTGCTTGAGAGTTCTACCGACATTCAAGAATAACTTCAATTCAAAATCCTTTCAGATTTTGCATAATGTAGACTTTGATTTGGCGAAAAGCGGCTGTGAAATTTGGAAGAGTTCCCTTCTCTCAATTCATTCGAAAGCTGAAAACGATTTTATTTTTGGTAAGCTAGTTCATTGCTGTAGCATTGCTGTAATAATCTTAAATTTTCAGATTTACTTCACAGCAACGAGACTCACTATTCCGATATGAATGCATTGATTTTGGGAGCTAAACGAGTGGGTTTTATTTGAAATTTGACAATAACTTTGTAAACTTAATGTTTAAAGGAATATTAGCCTATAAATATATAATATTATTACCAATATTATTGCCTTTAAATTATTCACTTTCTTTTAGGTAAATGAAACATTTGCTTGGTTAGATGGAACTCCATTTGATTATAGTATTTGGGCAGGATCAGAGCCAAACAATTGGAAACCACCAACTTATGGTGATGCATTGCCGAGAAGTGAAAATGAGGATTGTGTTGCGGTCAGTTCTGAAAGAGTTTTGTAGAGCTCTGTCAAGATTTTTACCTAAACTATGATATTAGATAGTTAGACTAAGATTTAGAAGCACTTTATTATTATTCTTTTCACAAAGAGTCGATAATCTAGAGTTAATGTTGAAACTTTTTCAAAGCCATTACAATTAGGCTTTAAAAGATAACTAAATAAACCAAAGGAGCTAGATAAACCAAAGTAACTAGATAAATCACAATAGCTTTTAACAGAGATCAATTTTAGATGTACACCGAGGAGATTAGTTGGGGAAATGAGTTAACCCCACCAAAACCCTATCTGGGACGATGGAATGACAATATTTGCTCGGGAATCTACTCTTATACTGTTTGCAAGAAAGCAGCTATTCTCTAGCAATAGACAATATTTCCATTGTTTAATAAACTTTGTTTTGAAATGATCCATCATGATTGTGTACTTTTGTTCAGACTTTTGCGCGCTTCAAATCTCCCAGTGTTGGCAATTTTTCATTTTCCTTGTTTTTTGCTTTGTAGTACTCTGTCAGAAGTTATAAATGTGCCAAATTTTTTTATGGGATTTCAAAAATCATATCAGAATTTATAAGCAGATTTCCCAGAGCTTTAAGAAAGATTTTTGAAATTATAGCTCGCTTGGTTGAGAAATGAATGTTTTTGGGATCTTTATAGTGTAGATCTACGACCTTTCCTAAGGCCTTTTCCAGCAAAAAAAGGTAGCATTTGTCCCACCCCCCTAACTGCAGAGCAGTGGCAATTCGCCACACCACGAAAGAGAAATCCGCAAATTGCCTGTAAAATGGGCAGAAGTTGTGGAAATAATGGAAATGGAATGGATAATAATGGAAATTATTTCGACTGAATTGATGGTTTTATGTTGAATAAATCTTAGTTCAAAGTCCCACAGTTTTCAATTCACCAACCCAATAGCTTCTCTATCTCTCTGATTTTCACACAACGACTAGTTAACCATGCTTTGCGAAGAATTTCCTTAGATTCTTAGATCCATTTCCTATTCCTTAGATTCTTAGATCCATTTCCTATTCCTTAGATCCTTAGATCCTTTTCCTATTCCTTAGATTCTTAGATCCATTTCCTATTCCTTAGATCCTTTTCCTATTCCTTAGATTCTTAGATCCTTTTCCTATTCCTTAGATCCTTAGATCCTTTTCCTATTCCTTAGATTCTTAGATCCATTTCCTATTCCTTAGATTCTTAGATCCTTTTCCTATTCCTTAGATTCTTAGATCCATTTCCTATTCCTTAGATTCTTAGATCCTTTTCCTATTCCTTAGATTTTCGTTTCTCTGTAATTTTCTTGCGATTTGCTGCATTTTTCTTTTCAAAACACGAGAATAAGGGCAAATTTTTATTCAAATTTAGCGGTAAATTTTTAGCCCATTGAATATTTACAAAAAGAAAATTTGTACAAAATGAGAAAAAGCTTGCTTAATTTTGAGAAAAGCGAACAATTTATTAGGCGCCAGCAAATTTACAGTCAAATTTTCTTTAAAAAAAAACGCTCAAGTTTAGCCTTAAACGCAAAAAAGAAAAGTACTTCAGAAATGATATTTACAAAAATCTTGCTTAAATTTCCTTAAATATTGCTTAAAAATTGTTTTCAGAGACTTAAAAAGTATGAAATTTGCATAGAATTGAATAGAATAGAATAGAATTGAAATGGGATTTTAAAAATTCAAAATTTCAACGATTTCAACGATTTTTTGCGAATTTTTCTCAATAAGTCAACATAAAATATGTAAAAATTAGAATTTAAAACTGTTTTTTAACTTAAAAATAACAATATTTCAACAGCAAATTAACAAAATTAACAAATTTTCAAAAGTTTTTGTTTTAGATTTTTTTAAGGCTTAGATTTAGCTTAGTTTTAGCTTAGATTTAGCTTAGACTTAGCTTAGATTTAGCTTAGTTTTAGCTTAGATTTAGATTTCCCTAAAAGCTCAATCGTTAAATTATTCTGTTTCTGAGATTTTTTTGAAAAATTACAAAAGAAAACACCATTTTTGGGGCTAACTTTTCGAAAGATAAAGTAGTTTTTTTGAAGAATTTTATAACGTTTTCATTTTTTTTGGCGGCAAAAAGCGCTTTTTAGGTTGATAGAGAGCCGAGAAGTCGCACGCAAATTTGTTTCGTTCGTATGCGCATTTCGTTTCATCCATTTGTCCCTCGTTTTTCGCCATTTTTCCACATTTTCTTACTGTAAACTTTCAATGTTATCAATTCGAGAGACTTCGCAAAAAGAGAAATTCACTTTTTCAACTTCAAAAGTGGGAATTCGAAAGAATTTCCAATGAAAATACAGTACTGGACAATGAAATATGATATTTGAAAAACGATCGTCACTCGAAAAACGATCGTCACTTTCGCGCGTCTTTAACTCCCTTGTCTTTGAGTTTAAACTATTAGTGTTATACATTTTCTGAAAGCTCTTTTCAAGGGCTACAAAATGGTAATATTAATATTTAGAAATACGGTAAAGACAACGGAGTTACAGACGCTCGAAAGTGACGATCGTTTTTCAAATATGACACTTCATTGTTCAGTAGTGTAGCTTGATTTTCTCTTTTTTGACTTCTAAAGGTATTATAAAGTTCGAGATTTCCAGTCTTTTCGCTAAAGTAACCCGAAAAAGTCAGCTAAAAGACTGAATATTTTGATTTGTAGATAATAAAAGAGATTCCGTTTATCAACCACCTTTTCATATCCATCTATTCGTCTTATCAACCACTTTTTCAAGGCTACTATAACTCTACAGTAATCCAAGGAAGAATATTCAGTAGGCTGAAGCTTTTGACCTTGAAAGCTATTCAACTTACTGAATATTTCCACTCAGAAATACTGTAAGCAGCCGAAATCCCGTCACTTTACCGTACCTTCACCCACTTAACTGTACCCAATCCCTTCATAGAAGCGAACTAAATGATTAAGTGCTTCAAAGATATGAAAACCCACTTCAGGACCACCCTAGCATCCTAAGCTGTCCATTTGAATTGAGTGGAATACGGTGGAATGTCGATTGTTGTCCGTTTCGGGTGACGGTAGTCCATCCACTGTACTTGCTAGTCACATTTCCCCCCATTTTCTTCTTTCGCACCAACACTATTTCTACCTAAAATCGCTTGTTGATCATTTTTATTTCGAAAATGCTCGTTTACCAATTTGTAGATAGATCTGAAATTCTTTTTTTTACTTTTCATCAGCTTAAAACATGCTAAAAGATTGAAAATTTTGAAAAATCCCCAAATTTTGCTAAAATTTTCATCAAAATCCACATTTTCCCACGCAAAAACATCCAAATTTCAATAAAAATCGCTGTTTTTAAAAATTTAAAATATTTCCTAAGCATTAAAATCAAAAAAAAAAACAGAAAACAGATAAAATTACAATTTTGTTCCCAAATCGTAGCTCTTGTAGGACGCTAAAAAAACCGAATTTTGAAATTTAAATTTAAGAAGAAAGCAAGCAGCTTCAAGAAGAAAAGCAAGGAAATCCGCGAAAATGAAAATCGTTGAAAATTTGGTCTTTCGATGGAGAAGAGGTGATTTTTTTGAAGGAGAAGAGGTGATTCGATCCAATTTCCATTGAAAATCATTGTAGAATCAGTAGAATATTTTTGAAAACAACGAAATCTGTCAAAATTTGAACCGTTTTTGTTCCGTGAATCGAAATGCGATGAATGAGCCGGACAAAAACACCGAAATTTCTCCTCGGTTTTTCCTTTTCGTCCATTGAAACTCAAACAACTTCTTCTTCTTCAGGAAAAGTCAAAAAAAAGTAAATAGTTTAAATTTTGACAATTTAACATAAAAAGTGGATAATTTGTAAAGTTATTTGGAATCTGTAAAGATTTGAAAAGCTAACAGCAAGTGAATCATTGGGAAATTGAAGTAAAGTGTTTGTTGATGAAGCAAATCTTTTATCAAAGTGTACTTTGTGCCAAATTTGTAAGCAAATCCTTCCTAGTGCACTGAATTCTTCCTTTTCCAAGCAACTGAAGAGAAGAATTCACTGCGTTAGAAACGATGCTTTTGAGCACAAAGTGCCCAAAGTTGAGCACAAAGTACACCTTAAAGCTGTTCTGTGAGGAGGAGACTTTGATGGAGACTTTCGAAAGCTTTTGAATTTGAATTTGATTTTGAAGGCTATGAAAGCTTAGCGAGCTATGGAAAGCAAGCAATTGAAGGAAAATTTTCACCGTTTCCAAATAGGTTTCTCTTGAATTGTTTCAAATGAATGAACCGGACAAAAACACCGAAATTTCTCCTCGGTTTTTCCTTTTCGTCCATTTCAAGCTCAAACAAAATCATCGATTCGAGAGAAACGAAGAGGAAAAACGGTCAAAATTCAGCTAAAATTGGGATAAATTGGGATAAAAGTACAGTAGAAAACGTAGATTAAATCGTAAAAATCGTAAAAACCATATAAAACCTTTTGAAATGCGATTTCCAAACCAAATCGCCTACCACATGAATGGGATGGCTTTAGAAGAATTTGTGGTCAATTTTATTTGCTTTTGGAAAAAGGGAAATCTGGATGGGGTTGAATGGGGTGAAAAGGGACTATAAGGTACGCTTTTGAATCAAAAATCGAATTAAATTTCAAGTTTTGGGAGAAATCCATAGCAAAAACCCCAAAGAAAACGAAAATTTTCAGAAAAAAGACAAGTTTTGTTCTTTTTTTCAACTTTTGACAAAATTAATAGATAAATTTTTAAAAACAACGCAGTTTTGACTCTATATTTTGGCCGTTTCCAAGAGAATTTCTCCAAAAATTGTTTCAAATGAATGAACCGGACAAAAGCACCGAAATTTCTCCTCGGCTTTTCCTTTTCGCCCATTTTTTAGCTCAAACATTTTCGATTTTAGAGAAACAAAGAGAAAACGGTCAAAATAAAGCTAATTTGGACATAGAAAATGGAGATTGGAGTACGGTAGGTAAATAATACAGTAATCTAGATACAGTAGAGTTTTTTTTGACTGAAATCAAGAGGAGATAAAGTCAAGAAAGAGTGAAAATTGTGTAGACACTTGAGTTGCGTGCGAGTTTTTGTTATGGCAGGACTTAAACATCAGATATCAGGTTATGGTAGGACTTAAACATTGAAAGATATCATAGAATTGGTCATAAAAGAATCTAAAAAGCAATAATCCAAATAAGATTAGTACAACTTATTTACCCTAGCTCTTTTTCGATCTGTTCTTTTCGAATTCTTATCGTTCTTTGTTAGTTTTGTTAGATGTTAGTCTGTAAAAAGGTGGGCAATGAGAAGAGATTAGCATTTAAAAGATTCTGAAAGATTTGAAAGGATTGAATTGAAAGAATTGAATGAATTGAAAGAATTAAAAGAATTAAAAGAATCTCAAGAATCTCAAGAACTAAAAGAATTAAAAGAATTAAAAGAATTGAAACCGTTACAGAAACGAAAGCAAAGCAGTTTAGATCTCAAATTTACAGTAACCAGACATTGAAAAGCTTTTAACTCAATTTGCATAAAAACCCAGACATAACCCAGACATTTACAAGAATAAAACCAATTTGCATACCAGAATCGACCATCTTACAGTAATCTGACGAGAATAAAACCAATTTAAATATGAAATCCAATCATATTACAGTAATCCGACATCAAATTAACATAATAATAAATATCACAACCTACATTAACCCAGCAAAACTCAGTACAGTACAGTACATTTTCACTACAGTAACCCAGACGCTGTCGGAGTGACGATACAGTACTTTTAAAGTGAAATACCCACCAGATAGCTTGTAGAAGCAAAGACAGCAAATAGAGAAGTGGAAATATTGTAGTTGGGAAACAGATTGTCCTTGTGATTGTCTTGACGATCTGATGATCCAATGTCTGCCATTTCCATCGCCATTGGGACACTAAAACTCTCGATAGACAAGTCAACAGGGGATACCGTTTTCAATCCATGCTTTAGGAGGGGATTCGTGTAGTTGTTCTTGGAGTTGACGGGGATTTGGGGTCAGATACAATACTTTTCTTTTTGTTTTTTTCAAATTTTAGACTATAGGGAAGTACAAAAGCTACGACACAGCTGGTGAAAACCCACGTCTCTGCAATGCATTCAGCAATTGTTCAGCAATTCAGCTATTGTTCAGCAATTCAGCAATTGTCCAACATTGAGAGCATTGAAGATGGTTCACTGAATGAAGAGATTAGTAAACTGATCAAGACGTTGAATCTTTTCATTTGAAAAGACTAGTAGTAAGACATTTAGATAACTTACAGTCACTTCTTGTCGATGTTGAATTAAAAATTGGGTGTTGATCAGATTGTCGTCCTTGTCCAGCTCGTCCAGCTCGTCCAACTCGTCCAGTTCACCTAAATTTCAAAAAAAACTTATTAGAATCGTTAATTTTAAGATAGAAACCTCTAAAAAAACCTAAAAACCATCATTTTTCAAAAATTTAACTAAAATTTACCCTCTTTACTCACCATTTTAAAAGTACTTGTGATCTTTGGTTCCATTGTGGTTCCATGCGATCCCTCGTTAATTCAAGATGTTCACTAAATGATAAAACAGTATTTTGGGTTAATATTTGCATAATATTAAGTCAGTTTTCTTCGGTTTTCTGGAAATTTTTACCTCTTGTCGATTTCTTGAGCCGATCCGCATCGAATCTCGTTGTCTCATTGCTTCGGTGCCTAAATTTAACCAAAATTTAGCTGAATCTAAGAGAAATTGACTAAAAACCTTTACCAGAACCTGGGAAAAACTGAAATTTTGTCAAAAATTGTACAAAAATTGCAATTTTGTTTGCTTCAAACTCACGTTTTCGACTATTTCACCCGTTTTCAAGCGTTCAGCCCTGCCTTGCCCATTCAGCCGACGTTGAAATGGTTCACTAAAAGATGAGATTAATAAAAGTTCAATAAAATATTAATATAGTAAAATAAAACGAAAATAAATAAATATAAGAAATGAATTGATTGTTAAATTAAAGAATTTAGAGAGATTTTTAGAAAACTATCAATTAACATTATCATATCATCAGGGCTTTAAAGCCCGCCAATAAACCAACCGTCAATTGCGCCTTTGCCCAAACACAAAATACCTTCTGTCTCTCGCAGGTAGGCGCCACCGCCTGAACTAAATAGGGACTACAAAGGAGCTTTTAAGGAGCTTTTAAGGAGCTTTAAAGGAGCTTTATAGGAACTGAATAGGGACTATAAAAAAGCTTTAAAGGAGCTGAAAGGAGCTTCATAGGAACTAAAAAGGAATTATAAAGGAGCTTTAAAGGAGCTTTATAGGAACTAAATAGGGACTATAAAGGAGCTTTAAATGAGCTTTGAAGGAGCTTTAAAGGAACTTTAAAGGAGCTTTAGAGAAGCTTTAAAAGAGCAAAAGGCGCAATGAAATGAAGACTTTTAGGCAAAAACACAAAATTGATTTTTTTTATGGAAGTGACAGCTCAACATAAACAGTAATCAACATTTTCAATAGTTTCTTTGTGCGGAAAATGAATCATCTTTGTTATTTTACCTAAACGATAGAGAAAATGTAGAGGCGTTTGGTATAAAACAGCAATCGTTTTAGTGAAAATCAACAACGATCTATTTAAAGTATTCAAGCAAAAGGTAAGCTTCAGTGACTTTTTAGAGAGATTTTTAGAAAACTATCAATTCAAATTTGTTGGGCAAATGTTGACAGTACCTCATTTCGAAAATTTCGCTCCCAAATCGCTTCTTTTCATCCATTTTCATCGAATCCAATCTAAATTTGAAGTTTTTATTTATTTGAAGAGGTTTTTATTTATCTGAGGAAGTTTTTATTTATCTGAAGAAGTTTTTATTCATTTTTCTCTAATAAACCTGTATTTTCATTAGGTGAAAAGTCGATTTTAAACCTTTTCTTTCAAATATCCCCCCTCACCTTTGAAGATATCCGAATTCTCCCGTATCTTGTATACCCATGTGCAATCCAATCGTATCTAAAAATTCGCATTTAAAAAAGATAATCCAAATTTACATAAAAACCTGACATTCAGTTAAGTGAGTTTTGATCAAAATTCGAATTTATATGCAAATTTCACTCACCTGATCGCTTCTGATCGAAAGTTCTTCCATTTTTCATGTTTTTCTTTTCCTTTTTTTTTTGGTTTTCCATATTATGATGAGTCTGAAAAATTGAATAAGTTTAGAAATTGAAACAATTTTTTTTAAAAGTTACCTATAAAATTTCTTTAGGGATCCGGCGGAGAATGGGCGGAATAAAGCAAGGCTCGATCGTCGATCCATATCGTGTGAAAATGTTGGCCTAAACTCTGGGATAAGCAAAAGTTCTGTTCCTTTGCAATTTGCATTTAAAAACTGTACATATTAGATAGTTATTTTATCTATTTTAAGCTTAAACTTTTTCTCTGACTCACCGAAAGTTTTTGGTCGAAAAAACGCGCCGTTTTCGTTGTCATTGTCGTGTAGTTTTGGCGTCGTTCGAGTATGGTTTTCTAAAAGTTAAGATTAGTGACAAAATAAGAGATACACTCAAAAAATATTTCGAGTTTATAGAATTAAACTTTATCTAAAATGCTTTGAAGTCTTGAATCTTGGCACTGACCTCTCATTTCCAATCCAGAGCCGTTCATCGCTCGGTTGTTCGACTATTGGACACTAAAGAGCTGTGTGAGTATTATAGCAATAGTTAACAAGATTAGTAGATCAAATAGTTACAAATTTAGATATTTGATGTTTTGAGATTCTTAAACCCGTTATAACTAGAACTGAAAGGGTTTACCTGTTGATGGTTGTCGGAAGAGTCGACGAGTTGACCAATGCAGACTGGGACCTGAATTCTGGTTTTAATACTTGAACATTGTATTGAAAATTGCGTTCTACAGTAACTTAAGAGGTATCAGGCTTCAATCTATCTTGGAGTACTGGCACTGAATGGGTTTACCTGTTGATGGTTGTTAGAAGAGTCGACGAGTTGATCGGTGAAGACTATGGGACCTGAATTGCAGGTTTTAGTACTTGAATTTCTATATTTACATTAATTCTATTGTTTTTAAATATCCAAAGCTTTTAAATTGACTAAAGTTAGCTAAAGCTACAGCTTATAAAGACATTGAATGGGTTTACTTGTTGCTGGTTGTCGGAAGGGTCGACGAAGAGACCAATGTAGATCGATGAAGACTATGGGACCTGAATTTTCACCTGTCGTACTTGTTTTTTCCTAAGTACTTAAGATTTAAGTACTTTAAACTGAAGCATTTGAAACTTAAGTCTACAGTAATCATTATCAAACAGCTCAAAGTCTACCTATAGTTGATCGTCGAAGAGTTCTCCAAGAACGAAGTGATTCGGTTCAATCCCTTTTTGGGTAATTGGTGGGTACCTGAAGTGGGGTTTTAGTATGGATAACAAATCGTACAAGATATAGAAAGTCTTTACAACAGTAAGATTGACACTGAAAATTGTCTACCTGTAGTCGAGTGGCTGGGGAGAAGTCCGAAGTCGACTCGATCCAGCGATCCCCGAGGTAGATGATCGGTGTCTAGAAAGGAATTCGATGAATTGATAAAACATATCTAGTACCGTAGTACTGTAGTACTGTAGTACTGTAGTTATACTATCCAATTGAAAATCTCAAATACACAAAACCCACCTGTTGACGAGTTCCTCCAACAAAAAACGAAGAGCAGCTCGATCCACAGCCCGTGCCCGAATCCTACAGAAAAATAAAAGCAAAAAGAAAAGAGAAAGAAAAGAAAATATTTTAAATACAGTACCTAGTAGGGGGGAAGGGGTCCTGATGGAAGTCAGCCCGAAGAGGGTAAGGAGGAGTCGGCTTTTATAGAGTCAGGTCCAACCCCACCCCTCTCCACCCACCTCTAGAATTCTCCTCCCCATTCTCGTGTCTATTTTCTTGCCCTTTCCCTTTCTCCTCTTTTCTATGTCCTTTCCCATTTCGCAAATATCTATGAAATCTATTTATCTCGTTTTTCTGGATCTTTCTCTGTTTCTCAATGCTCTTTTCCCAGCTCTTTAACTGAATCTCTCTTGTTTTTCCTGTCCAAATTTCTCTTGATCTATCCTTCAGCTGAATATCTTTTCATATCATTATTCTTTTGACTTTCTTCTTGAATATCTTTGAATACTTTTCTTTTGAATCTCTTCATTCAGTTCAATATCTCTTGTTTTTCACCAAAAACCCTTCGAAATCCTCCTACAGCTGAAGATCTTTACCTCTTCAGCTGTAGCTCTTCTCTCTCCTTTACCTGAATATCTTCATATTTACAATAGCATTCCATTTTTAGCCTGTCAGCTGAATATCTTTTTCCCCGATCTTATCTTTTCCATCTCTTCATTCATCCTGTCTCATCGGTCTTTACCCTGTTTTTGAGAGCTCTTCCTGTTTTTATTCCATTCCATTTTTAGCCTTCACCAGAATTCCTTTTTTTCATAAATTAATTTCCCTTTTCTTTTCCCTCTCTTCATTTCCCCATTCACTACTTGTTTTCCCCAAAAATTCCCTTTCTCTGAACTTTGTTTCCCCTTTTCCCTTCTTCAATTCTCTCACTTTCCCCAATCTCTTTTGTTATTCATTTTCTTCCACAGTATTCCATGTGACTTATTTTTAGGGCTTGTAGTCCCGGTCTCATCGGTCTTTACCCTGTTTTTGAGAGCTCAAAAAGTTTTCCCCTCCCCAATCTTTTTCTGATATTTTTAGATACTACTTGTTTCCCCTTTTCATGAGCTCTTGTTGTCGATTTGCTCATTTCTTTTCTTCTTTTCCCTCTCTCCCATTCAATTTCTCTCATGTTTTCCATTTTCCCCTTGTGACCGATCCCCTTTCCCTTAACCGAAAACAATTTTGCAGGATTTCAGAATATTCTCGAATCGGTTTGTTTTTCGTTTTCTCCGCCGTGTGTTCTATGAAATAAAATGACAAGAACTACAACAAGAGCTCTATTTTTGAGCAAATCTAAAAACTGGAAGGGATCTTGTAAGAGAAACAGATATTTGAAAAAGAAAAAGTTATTTTAGAAAATTAATATATTAATATTAATAGGTTCCTAAAAGAATCTATTTTAGGAAAACTATCGTAATCAGATTGTCAGTTTACATTCAATTAGGCTGTTGGTATCATTCAATAAACTCGTCAATGATATCAAAATTGAGTTAATCGAATGAAAATCGGTATTTGTCTACGGTTTCTAGAAAAGGTGTTTTTCAGAAGACACTTAGAAGCAAATTCTGGCACTAGGTATTAGGTTAAGTACTAAATCTTTCACGCAAATTCATTTTCTAATTGAATAAGCCTCAAGCTAACAAATGAAATATGGTTTTTTTTTCATTAGCAAGAAGCCGAGCGTTCAAAACAAGATTTGTTGATGCGATTTGAACCGTTTCTTTTAATGAAACCTATTTTAATGGCCAAATAAAAAGATAGCGCATAAAAAGTTACGTCTACAATCAAAAATTTGAGAATAATCCGTTTAGCGGTTTTCTTTATGTGCTCATTTTTCAATATTTCAATAAAAATACCAATTTTCGTTCTCGTAGATTCTTCTAAAATACAAAAAATTGTGCAAAAATGGCAAAAATGGCAAAAAAGTAAACGATAAACATTTATAATGAAAGAAATTGTTGAGTATTTGAGAGTTTAAGAGACATTCATTTAGATAATGAAATCAAGAGTGCAAGACATTAATTGTTTTCATGTTTACGTATCGGTGTAAAAGTCAATTCTTCTTTTTTAAGTCAATTCTTCGATGATACTAGACAAGACATAAACATACTGGGTTTACTGGGTTTTTTCATTACTTTGCTGGTTTTTAACATTACTGGCTTTTTTCAAGATTCAAACTTGAAGTATCAGATTAAATTTGCACTTTTATTCACACGACTCAGCGACGTCTGTTGATGTCTTTTGGGCATTGAATTGGTGAAACAGCGCTTAAATGGAAATGAATTTAGGTTTTGCAATAGTTAATGAAATTTACTTACAAATTGTCTCCATAAAAAGCATCGTTTGCCGAATATTTATCGAAAGTCGCGTTGATGTTCAAAATATTTCTTTCAGTTCTCGACGAAATGTCCTCAACGGCGATGCAGCGAGTGAAATCCTGAAATATGAATGCTGAAAGTCGCTGAAATACCCGTGTAAAAGCGAGTTTTTCTGACTGGCTTTTGTGGTCGTTATGACGGGCTTGTCTACGGTCGGAGAGCGCTTCTCTACGGCCCACACGATCCGGGTTCTACTCCCCGTAGTGCCACTCAATTTTCACTTTTTAAATCTTTAATTTTAAATCACACAACTATCTTATATTTTAAGACTTTTAGAAAAAATTTCAGTTTTTTTTGGCCCAAAGAAGGTCGAGAAAAAGCCCATACAGACGGACGGACAGACACTCCTCTTTTATATATATAGTTGATGGTTTTTAAATTTTGAAATTTGTTCTAGAAATTTTGAGAACCATTTGCACACAACTGCCAGTGAATTTGAAAGCAAACTCCAAGTTTGGAGAAAAATCCGAGTTGTCGTCAGTGGAAAGAGTGCATCCATCTGAAATATAAACGCTTAAAAGCTCTTCTGAATGCGTTGAGATGAGAAACCAAAGTTTCATACTTCTTCAAGTTTCAAAATTTATCTTTTTTTGTATAAAAAATAAAACACAAGAACCATCTCTAATAAACCTTTGCACTCGTCAACGGTGAAGAGTTTATCGTCAGCAGTGAACGTGTCCCTTTCATAGAGAATCACTTTGAGACGATCCTATGAATTTGTACTTGTACTGTACTGTGCAAGTACAAGTACTGTATTGTACAAGTACTGTACAAGTACTGTATTGTACAAGTACTGTACTGTACAAGTTTATGTATCGCAAATATGTATTAGATCAAAAGAATTCTTTAAAAAGTGCATTAGAGAAAAGCTATGGTAAATTAGTTGCATTTTAGTAAACTAGCGAGAAAAAGTTCGTATTAGAGATTGTAGGACATTACGAAGCTGCAAGAAGTGCAGCAAAGCCGTAATCGGACATTTGATAAGCGCCTCGCCTCTTTGCCAGTGGCAATCTAACTTTGAGCTCAAATTTCTTGGTGTTCGGCTGTTCAGTTTAACTAGTTTTTGTACCAATTGATAGAAGACTTGGCGCATCGAATAATATCAAGAAGATCTAAAATTGGACAGCTCAAAACCAAGATAATTGAGCTTAAAGTTAGATTACCAATGGCAGAAGGGGCGGGGCGCGTATAAAAGGTCCCACAATGGTCCCGCTCCCCTTGCCATTGGCAATCTAACTTTGAGCTTAAATTTCTTGGTGTTGGGCTGTTCAATTTAAATAGTTTTTGTACCAATCGATAGAGAAAGACTTGGCGCATCGATATTAAGAAGATTTAGATTGAACAGCTCAACACCAAGAAATTTGAGCTGAACGTTATGCCAATGGCAAAGAGGCGTGTATCAAACGTTCGATAACCGATAGATGATTTGTCGTATGCTTTCCAATCCGAAAGTACTGCTAAAGTCTCATTTTCTCACCGGTTTTCCTCCTTTCGAGCATCTTGCCACAATCGAAGCCTTAAAATCGTAACTTTAATTTGCAATAAACTTTTTGTTTACCTTGAAGAACTGGCAATAGACAAGAAGGGGAAAAATTAAAGCAAAAACTGTCTGATTCAACATTTTTCACAAAAGTGCTCAAAAAATATTTTTAGCGATAGATTTGTGATTAATTTTGTGAAGCAATCCATCAATAGCGTGACAAAAATAATTTGTCGCGTTAGAATTGATTTCTGATGGTTATTTCATAAACCAATGCTTCAAAGCATCACATTTCTATGATACTTCAAATAAAAAGATTGTAGAGTACAGGATTTTCTTATAGGGATTCAATTAGTCATACATTTTACAAGAATTTAAAGAAAAATATTAGGATTCCATGCAGCTTATAGATGATGGTTAAAGAGCAAAGGTTATTATATTACTAATGGACTTGGATTTAGAGGGAATAGATTCAATAATTCGATATTGATATAAAAGATCATAAGATCACAAAATAAAGAGCTTGAGAGTAGGCCTGTTTATCGAAACACTCAATAATTTCGATGAATTCTTGCCAGTAGAAGAATAAAATGAGCTGTTTGACTGAATATCTCGAAGTTTGTCAGCAAATCTTTGTCGAAGCCCGACAAGAGTTCAACATCGATAAGCAAGTCTATTTCAAAGCGCATTTTAAAAATTGAAATAAAAATCTATTACATCTAGATCTACCAGACTAGGGTTTACACTTTTATTACAAAATTATCTGTTATTAGGTCTATTATTAGATTGAAACGATTAAAGTGCGAATTTTTTTGCACTGTATTTTTCTAAAAAAATCAAACCACCATTTATCCAAGGTAATGGCCACTATTATCTATTATTCGTTGCCATTTATTGGGTAGAGCACGGATCCCCTTCTCCCAGAAGTCAAAATTTGATGGAGATTTTTATTTATAGCAAATCCTCTTTCTTCTTATTTTTCTTTCTGTTTCTTATAAATCTTGTAGATCTGTACTTTATAGTTTGCGTGTTTATAGAAATGAAAAAAATTAACAGAGATTCTCATTTATTAGGTTGATGCAAAAGTCTTTTTCATTTTTTTCGTATTTCCGTTAAAAAGTAACAAATGCACCAATTGAACAACGGTTTATTGCATTTGAAAGGCCAATTATTTTTCTGCAAAATGACATTAAAACGAGTTTAAAATGTCTTATGTCTAGATTTTTTTGAGAGCCTGAAGTCGGGTAGTCAAAAAAGGCGACGGCTCGATGATGCATTTTAGACGCTTTAGCTAAGGAAACCAATCTTGATGTTAATAAATAAAAGATAGAGCACAAAAAGTTAGATATTTTTTCAGATTTTCAGAGAAATTGATTCAGCCAATTTCTTTATAGAGGTTTTTATAGATTTTTATGAAAAACCCGTTTTCACTCTCGAATTTGCTTGAAAGTGAACCCAAATTGACTTAAAAAGATGGGAAATTCAACAATAAACACTTTTCATTTAGAGCAAACCATAGGTTAATTGATGACTTTGTTATTTTTCAAAAGAAGTACGAAAAAAATGAAAAAGACTTTTGCATCAACCTAATATAATACAAAACTTAAACATCACCTATAAGCTGAATGGAATCCTAATATTTTTCTTTAAATTCTTGTAAAATCTATGAATAATTGAATCCCTATAAGAAAATTCAAGTGCACTCTACAATCTTTTTATTTGAAGTATCATAGAAATGTGATGCTTTGAAGTATTGGTTTATGAAATAATCATCAGAAATCAATTCTAACAAGAACAGTTATTTTTGTCACGCTATTGATGGATTACTTCATTTGAAGTATCATATCATTCGATCCAATCCGTTTCGATACCACGTAGCCATTTTCACGTGGTGCACGCCTAACCCTTATAAAGAGAGGCCAAAAAGTTGTTTGCCAAATTCCTTGCGATTCCGACCTATTTAGCAAAAACGGACAACAGATTCGAAATCAGCGTAAAATTCTGCATCGGATGCTCTAGGTTTCATTTCGATTGGCCACCTTGATTTCGTGATCTTCCCTTTCCTATCTCGTTTTTTGCCCGAGGTTACTGTTCTCATTCGAGCTTTTCTCGGCACCAATTCTGTTTTCAGTGATCCCAAAGTATGCAAAATGTAGATAATTTTATTCTGCATCCATTGTAAACGGCGCTGCTTGTAAACGGCGCTGCTTGTAAACGGCGCTGCTTGTAAACGGCGCTGCTTGTAAACGGCGCCGCTTGTAAACGGCGCTCCTTGTAAACGGCACTCCTTGTAAACGGCACTCCTTGTAAACGGCGCTGTTTTGATCAGCTCACCAATTTTCGGACTCTTCCCCACTCGTCGCCTCCATAAACCCTCTTACGCGCAACTCCACACGATTTTTATGGTAAAACTTTTTTTTGAATAATCTTTTACGGCCATGTTTTTCTGCATTCTAATTCATTTCAGATCTTCGTATTGTTGATCTACACGGTGATCGATATCGTTCTCGTTTTCACTCTCGCAAACTTCTTTTGGTAACTTCTATATACAAAACTTAAAAAAACTTGAAAATGACCAGAAATATAAAGTATATAAACATTAATTTAGCACTTACCGTGATAAACAGGGACCACCATACCTCTATGAGGTACCTCTAAATTCAAACGACCACTCCTTCATATAAAAAGCAACTATTCCAACATTGGTTCGTCGTAGCCATTGGTTAACCTCTTTATAGAAGAAAATTTAGTCAGAAAAAGATTTATTGGCACATTTTAATGTATTTTATTTATGGTTCGGGTCCCCAATCGGCGTATTTCTCAAAGATGGATCCATTCTCGCAATCGTTGCACATATTACTGTAGGCTCCATCATCTCGGAACTCCCACTGGGTGGCTCCGTTCTCTTCGTCGTCGTCGTTGTGATCGGCCGGGGCTCCATCACAGCCGTTACTGAGAAATATTATATTATATGAGTGCAATAAATGTAATAATAAGATCTGGATGTATTTCAATCTTATCTATCTCTTTCACATGGAGATCGTACTTCAATCTCATCATACGGCCTAGCAACGCTGAAACACGGTATCCCGTGAGATCTGTCGAGTTAAGCAACGTCGGGCTCGGTTAGTAGTTGGTACGGGGAAGGGCTAGCGAATCCTGAGTTGCTGTAGGCTCCCGCGCCCAGATGGTCGCCTGACCTCCATGACCGGATTCCCTGTCCCTTCCCTCAAGCAACAAAGAAGGTGTCCATGATAATATGCGTGTGAATAAATAATACCGGTGACTCCGGTCTACATTTAATTCCTTCTCAACTCACCTTCCCACTCCCCAAACATTCTGATGAATGTACCAATTGCCCGAATCACGAGCCGCTTGATCGTTACTGTTGGCGTAACACCAGAAGCACGTCGTTTCCCAATTGTTCTGACCGAATCCCCATGACAGTGACTGAAAAAGATCGATTTCAAATGAATTGGTTTGGCTTACCATAATTACATGTCATGTTCCGTTCTTGTAATGGACGATTGACTACCACCACTACTGCTCTATGAAATAACTACAGTTACATACAACAGTGAGAGTATTACTATTTTTTTATTTTTATTAGTGATACACGGTTTAAATGTCTACAGTATATCTTATCCCCTTCCCATCCCACTCACCGCTCCGGGCTCCAATGTCCACCAATCACCATCATCAGATCCTTCTCCAACAATCGCATCATCGGCTGATGCACATTTGAGATAAATAGAAGCTGATGAGAGTTTATTGGTGACAACCACCGAATAGTCTTGATTGATTTGATCGACGATATCTTGGACTGCTTGTCCGAAATCCAATCGACCACCCCCACATTCGATTAAGCCGATTGATAGGGAAAGAAGGGTAAAAAGAGAAAGAAACGACATTTTTGTAGAAGAAATCGTTATTCAATCTGAGATTAGATGAAGAATGACTTGATTGAAGTGAATATTCGATGGGTTTATATAATGGATTTGGGACAAAATATTTTTGTTTTTTAGTCTATGGATATAGCTGTTATTGTTGAGGCAATAATCAAAATAAAATCTAAAATTCCATTCATCTTTTGTACATTCACATGATTTATTGAGTTTTTTCGTACTCCTGCACTTATTTGAATAAGCATATACTGGAAACGATCATTACAAAACAAACAGCAAAAAAATTGGAATGAAAAATTATTCTCTACTAGACTGAAGCGTCAAATGTTCTATCACCTATTAGGTTGATGCATAAGTCTTTTCGTTTTTTTTCGTGCTTCCGTTAAAACGTAACACATTCACCAATTAACCTATGGTTTTCCTTATAAAAAAGTGTTTATTATTCAATTTCAATCAACTCCTTGGATCGCGTTATGGTGTCAACTTTCGGTGGAATTATGCACTATTGCGAGAGTGACAAACGCGTTTTTCGTAAAATTCTATAAGGAACCTGGACTCTACGAAACTTATGAGTGACATGAAAATTCGAAGAAAAGATTAAAGAGTCTCTCTTTTTTTCTTTTTTTACATGTAATTTTCTCGGCGAATTTTACTCAGATTTACATGTTTTTAGTGTCGTTGGACGCAGAAGGATCTCCTATTTCTAAGTATTAATGCAAATTTTCAAGAATGTGAAGCTTGAAGGGAATTATGCGCTTATTTTGGCGTTGAGCCCCTGAGGAACCATGAATTCTTTGAGGAACCGTGGACCGGGAGATATTCACGGTTGAAGTCTCTTTCAAAGTGATATGGTTTTATGATTTCCTTTGGGCGAAGGGCATCCCGCATCCACCTTCGTTCTTGGGGTCTCCTGGAGGAACCGTGGACTCTACTTATGAGTGACACGAATATTCACGGATTGAACGAACTCTTTTTCACTTCATCTCCAGCACTGAAAGTGATATGAATTGTATCATTCCCTTCCCCGGCATCAACTCCTTCCGACGATCGCTCGGTTCAATGTGAATCTCAAAAATTTGAGTAATTTTTATATTATTTTTCTAGCTTCATCTGCCCAAGGATCCACAAACGAATGACATTTCACCAAAGTTTTTAGAAATGAAAAAATTAACAGATTATCATTTATAATTTATGAAAGCGTTAACTGGATCAAAATCACTTTAAATTTCAATCCCAACTCTGTCTTGAAAGTGATTTTTGTAGTGTATTTGGAAAGCACAAACGACAGTAGCCAAAGTACTCGAAAGCAAAGATTTCGTAGAAAAATAGTTACTTTGCTATAACAAAAAACTATTGAGGCAGTATTTATTTAGCAACTTCTTTAATGATTTCCATTTCTTCACTGGCACAAATCCTCTCCCGTTACCTCGGCTATCCAATCACATAAAGGAGCGAGCTTTGGACCGGAGGCTAAAGTTTTTTCTTATTTGTAGTCTTTTGTAAAAGAATTGAATTGAGTTTGTAATGTTAACGTTTTATTTTAACGAAATTGGAAATAATATCTGCTAGTTTATCTATCAGGAGACTGGTAATGAGCTCACGTCACTAACAAGTTTTTCCTGATTATTTTCATTGCTTTTTCTACGTATATTTTCGTTGTTTTATAAAAGAAAATAGTGTACAAACTCACAAAGAGTCGAAGGAGGCGCGGAAATGTTTGTGAGGAAGCCAACTTGATACCAGCGACCGTTGAATTTCGTCAAATAGGGACTTCCATCATCACCCTATCGGAAAAAATAACTCATTTTTTAAGGCTCTAGTCTTGTCAATGAGGTTTAAGGCTCTAGTCTTGTCAATCGAATCAGATATTTGCGGATTGGATCGGATATTATAGTATTCGATCCGATGGACTTGGATGATATCCGACGCGATTCGATCCAATGGATTATCGGATAATGCGGATTCATTTGAAAATTCATTACTCAGCATATTTATGCCTCAGTTTGTTTATGAAATCCACTGATCAGGATATGGTTGTCTTAATTCTCTAATAATTTGGGGAATTTTTTAGTAAGTAAACCGCAAAATTAGCACATAGATAGAGTCGGATCTCATTCGATCCAGTCCGTTCCGATGGACCGACCCATCAGATATTATCCGATCCGATTCAAGAAAAAAGGATTCCTCCCATTTCGCCAAAAATTTTGATTTGACTGTTCAATACACTCAATGTCAATGTTGCTCAATGGTTTGGTTGAGCTCTGAATATTATGTTACAAAAGTTACAATTATGTTTAGACGAACAACGAAGAAATAACCGCTTGAAAGGCACAAACAATAGCCTCAGAAAGCATTTCAACAGGGATCATCCAGATCTGTGGACATTCATTAAAGGACTTGGAGATTTCAAGAGAAGATTGACAACAAGATGATTGAATACAATCAACAAGACACTACTAGAAAAAATGGATACACAAAAGGTTTTGTGCGAGCGTTGGGATGAATTTGTTGAAAGTCTAGAATATTTGACTGAGATTGCAAAAACTCTTTGAAAGTTTGCATTTATTAATTAGGTTAATTTTTGATAAAGTTCATTTTTTGGTCTTTTTGGTCGATTTATACTTGATTTGATTTGATTTGCTATGTTATCAAGATTTGTCAAGATGGCTGTCAAGATGGCTGTCAAGATCAAGATGGCTATCAAGATTTGTGAAAACATTGATAAACTTTTTACTCAAGCTGCAATGTGCTGCAATGTTTCCAATACAATCAACACTGCACCAGTGTTGATTGTATTGGAAGACCAACATTGACATTGAGTGTTTTGGACAGTCAAATCAAACTTTGACAGTCAAATCAAAATTTTCGGCAAAATGGGGAAAACTCATCAAAAAGCTATCCTCTGAAAAATCTAATCGACTTTTCGATCGTTCAGTCCAGATTATCAAATTATTATACATTTTATAACGAGCACATCGTTAGATCTTACATTTTTAACATATCCGATGGTGCTGTTTGCGTAGATCAAAGTGTCGTTAGGACCGCCCAAGAACACATTGGTTGCGAAAACTTTTTGAACAATTGTCGGGATTTGGTCGTTTTCGTCTGAAAAGGTCTGTTTTTTCTTTCTACTTAACTTGTAGTTTTCATAAACTTTCTACGACTCTTTCTTCTAATAAACCGAAATGACTGACTCAATCCCAATCCATAAAGTACAATCGGAGCGCCATCAGTCAGAAAACTTGTATTTCTCGTCAAGCAAACCGGTCTCACATAACGTCCAGTGAAATCAAAAGTCGCGTTGAGCTAATTGTAAGATAATATTGTGGAATGTGGAAAATATTGATTAACGAAAGTTAGATGAAAAGAAAGAAAAAAATAACCGTAAAAGCTCTAATAGAAGCATCCGCTATAGGAGCGTCTCGTAGTCTAAGTTTACACTCAAAAAACCGCTCATATCTTGGCGCCCAGACATTTGTTTCTGCGCGCTTGGGCATCAAATTAAAGTAGAGAGGATGGGCGATTTTTTTGAAATATAACACAGTTTCTAGGGGATTTTTTACGAGCTTTTACGGTAAGTCAGAAATTCAGAAATTTTTGAATAGGTAATATTCAATTCGATACTAGATAGAACTACAGTCGAACTTAGATACAACGAATTTGAAATTCTAAAACGTGCCCAAAATTTCTGCGTAGCTGGCCCAGCCAAATGCAATCAGTGACCTTCCAGGGCAGCTACGCAGAAAATTTGGGGCACGTTTTAGGTTCGTTATATCGAAGTTTTCGGTCCCGAGCGATTCGTTATATCGAAGTTCGACTGTAGTTATTTTATAGAACCAATCCGGTCCATTTATGAATCGAATTATAAGGTTTAATAATAAAGAAGTAAGAAAAACGCTTCCTCCCTATCCACAATTCGTTTTCTAGAATGAATATAATCTCTAGTTAAATAAAATTTAGACTTGATTCAGAACAGAACGAACACAACTCACTTTGCCAAGTGCGGCATCCATTGTCGGGTGTGTGACAATTGATTCGGTCATTAGTTCGCTTTGCTGAATGGAAAAGAATAGCGCTAAACTCGGTTTCATAAAACAAACCTCAACATTGGACCACCATACACGGATACCCGCTGATATTTGAAAGTTTTGATCGGTACTGGAATAGGAAACTAATTCATATTCGACTGATTTAACAACATTACGGATGATTTTTGCAAAAAAAAAACTAACCCAACACAATGTTTGGCCGTGAGAATCCATTGTTCCGATATAATTGAACAACCACATCCATTTCTGAAATCATCTTTTCCCAGTGCATAGCTTCAGAATGATTCTCATTAAACAGAAATTAATTTCAACAAAATTTTGGTAAACTTCGAGATGTTTCTAATCTCAAAAAGAAGTTGTTTTCAGATATCCAAATGTTTTGTTTGCAGTTATAGCGATTCAAGCACAAATGTCTAGTTATCACATTTATTAGTTATCTGTAATAGTATTTTAGCCTCTGTTAATTGAACTTACAAGGGAAGATAACGAAAACAAGGTGGCCAATCGAAATGAGACCTAGACTATCCGATGCAGATTTCCGAAATGGTTCCGAATCTGTTGTCCTTTTTTGCTAAATAGGTCGGAATCGCAAGGAATTTGGAAATTCAAGGCCTCTCTTTATAAGGCTTTTTGACCTCTCTTTATAAGGCTTACGCGTGCACCAGGTGAAATGAATAGCGGATCACGCGTCGGAATACAAAGCTGTAGGTCGAGAGTTCGACTCCCTTTAAGTTCTTTTTTGAACAGTTATTTTATAGTGTTCCCTAATATCCCCCTTCTCTTCGTAATTGCCAAATATTCGAAAATTTGGTTAAAACTTTCTATTAGGTTGGCAAAAAAGAAATGAGCGTCGTGTTTGTTGATTTGTATTTTATTCACAGTAAAAGATTTTTTAAAATAGTTTATTCTATTGGAAAGAGCGTGTTCTTGCGCATCGTTTGATATATAATTTGTCTATGGTTACTTTGTTTTTTTGCAAGAAAGAGTGTTTAGAAAATGTCGGACCAAAAATTTCGTTTGCTGGCCTGCTTGTGGCATGAATTTAAGCAAGGCAAATCGGCTGCTGAAGCTCATGGCGCTCTATCTCAAGTGTTTGACGAAGATGCTCTATCCGAAAGTCAGTGTAAACGATGGTTCCAGCGCTTCCGAGACGGCGACGAAAGCTTGGAAGACCAAAAACACGGACGTCGACCTCAAATCATCGACAACGACGCATTGAAGGAAGCCATTGAGTCGGATCCACGCCAAACCACTCGCGACCTGGCAGAACAGTTCGACTGCACTCATGTCACCATTGAGAACCATCTGCATGGCATGGGCAAGACGAATAGATGCGGAAAATGGGTACCGCATAAGCTATCCGACGCAAACAAGGCGACACGCATCGCAATCGCCGGAATTCTCACTCACCGCGCCAAGAACAGTGGGTTTTTCGACTCCATTGTTATGTCGGATGAGAAGTGGATCCAATACGGCAACACAGCAAGAAAGCGGCAGTGGTTGGACCCCGGTGAAGCCCCAAAACCGGACATCCACGGAAAAAAGGTGATGCTTTGTGTTTGGTGGAACAGTAAAGGCCTGGTATACTTTGAGGTTCTGGATGCGGGTCAAACAGTTACGGCGAACCTCTACCAAGGCCAATTGGACCGCGTGGACCAGGCGCTACGACGTCAAGGCGTGGATACGGCGTCGACAAAATTCCTCCGCGACAACGCTCGGCCGCATGTCGCAAAAATCACCCAGCAGAAAATTGAAGAAATGGGCTGGGAAGTCCTGCCTCATCCGCCATACAGCCCAGACTTGGCGCCTTCCGACTACCATCTGTTCCGATCAATGCACCACTCCTTGGCCGAGAAAAAGTTCAAGAACCGTGACGAGGTCCAAATTTGGGTGTCCAACTTCTTCGAGTCGCAGCCGGTCGAGTTCTTCAAGAAGGGCATCCATTCTCTGCGTGAACGTTGGCGACAAGTCATTGATGCAGATGGCGAATACCTTTTGGATTAATGTATTGTTATCTTGTTTTTATAATAAAATAAACTTTTAACGAAAACGCGCATTTCTTTTTTGCCAACCTAATATTTAAGTGTTCAACAACAAATAATATAAATATCATACCAAACATGACAACAATCGATGAAATGAGTAAAACATAGTTCAATACTACATTTAGCACAAGACATAAATGAGCTGCAATTCGTAGCTTCGCACATTCGATTGTCCACTTTGAAGCAAATGTCAACGAGTTTTTCAAATGGAATAAAGGGGGTATCAACAAATGTTTTACTATGTTTTGCTTAATTCAGCGATTGTTGCCATGTTTGTTCGAACACTATAAAACAGCGGTTCAAAAAAGAAAAACTTAAAGGGAGTCGAACCCTCGACCTACAGCTTTCGACGCGTTATCCTCTATTGCAGCCATTTCACTTGGTGCCCGCGTAAGCCTTATAAAGAGAGGTCAAAAACTTGTTTGCCAAATTTCCTGCGATTCCCACCTATTTATCAAAAACGGACAACAGATTCGGAATCAGCGTAAAATTCTGCATCGGATGGTCTAAGTCTCATTTCGATTGGCCACCTTGATTTCGTGACCTTCCTTTGTTAGTATCCAGTCCAACTCACGCGACTCTCCCAAAATACGGATGTACATCATCTTCAGCATCATTCCCATTTGCGATGCGCTTAACGCGATGAGAAACAACGGGTTCAACTCCAATTGCTTCTCGCTTCTTCTTTCCGTTCAGAGCGGAATAAACAAAGACATTGATACATTAACTTTATTTTCTATGGATTCCATTTACGTCCATTTACAAAACATTTCTATATAGTAAAATATTAGAATAAGACTAAAGAGATACGATAGATATACACAGGACAAGCTTACGAAGATGGTTTAGAAGATGGAAATAAAAAAAAACAAATAGCAACAAACCCATCCAGCTGGATCTTCTAGTTGATTTCCGCAAATGTCCCTCAAACAGCCGTGCACTGCGAAAATGCAAAGAAACGCCATCAAAAGAGTGGCTAAAACACTTTTACTTAACCTGCCTATAGACGCACTACCGTTATTAACTGACAAACCTCGAAGAAGTTCCATCTTTGACAATGTTGACTACGGATTCAAATGATGGATCAAATCCCTTTTCAAGTTTCTCTTTTTATACATTTTTTGTCGTTTTTGGCATCAAATTTCAAAGCTTCCAGAGCAATTTCCATGTTCCCCAAAAATGAACCCCTCCTCCGCTATTATTCTTGAATGGAGATAGATCTTTGGACCGAAACTGAAAAAAATCCTAACGATTTTTACCAAAAAACACTTGGATCAAAACGTGAACTTATCTGTTTCAAGATCGATTTTCTCTATAATAGAACCTGATGTAAGTTTCCTTTTTCATCAATTGCAAAAACCAAAACTCATTTACTATTTCTAGTATTGATTTAACCTTTTGTGAACAAAACCAAAGTCGATTTGACAACAATTGAGAACAACCTCATGGCGCTCAAGGCTACTCATCTCATTCAAAAAAATTCAAAAAGTATCGCCTCTGATAACTACAATACTGCTTTTCTCATTTGTTACTATTATAGAAAATGTTATCTATTAAGAAACTATTTCACAACAATAGATATGGGAAAATTGGAACTCATATTAGTAGCTTTAAAAAGTTTGACATTGATTTAGGAAAAGAAATAAAGGTTGTCATGGCGATAAAAAGCAATAAAAGACAAATTTATCAAAAGGAAAAGAAAAGAAATGCAAAATCAAATAAAAAGGGATATGTATTAGGTTAGTGTATAGGTCTTTTCATATTTTTGTGGTCGATTCGAACCTATTAAACTTGCAACTTTTCCGACTCATACATTATATAACGAATATTGTGGCCCTTGATGAGTACTACAAGATGGTTAGAACAGTTTCTGATCAAAAGAATTATGAAAGATTTTTAGAGGTATCTAACCTATATCTAATTGAGAACGGTCTGTCCGTGTGTCTGTCACGCTTTTCAATCTCAGCTCCTCGTGGGCCGATTTTAAAACGGATTTTTTTTATTTGAAAAGGGAGAGAAAAAAATTAGGATATTGACTATTACTTTTTTGAAATAATGAAGTTTTGATACTCAAAGTTAGAACTAAAAAGGGTTTCCATGTTCTGCAGGCGCGGGGAAAAGAGATATGGAGCTGAAAGTATCACACGTAATACCCAAAATTCAATGAGGAATCTTTATCTAAAGTCAAACCAAAAAAATATTGAACGAGCGCCGAGATATTCATTTTTTTGGCAAAACGCCCCTTTATGGGGTGCGTGCCTTGGTCGAGTGTTTAGCGCGTCTGTCGCCTAATCGGACGGCCCTCAGAGGGCTGAGTTCGATTCTCACTCGAGGTAAATCAAACGCTTTTTCGAAAAACGTTAAATAATGGGTGAATGTAGAGATTTTAAGTATGATGTTGATATGTTTTCTTCAAGTAGTTGCCTTCAAAAAATTGAACGCAAAATCAAATTAAAGAAATTAAAGAAAGAATGTTTACTTAATGGGAGGGGAATCTACTATATATAAAGCAGAAGGGACGTCCGTTCGTCCGTACGCAGCCATTGGCACAAAGGGGCGGGGCTTAGATTGCGTGAAAAACGCGAACGTTAGTGAGCGTCTCTTAATAATTTAGCGCCACAACTGTTCAGATATTATGGAGTGGAGTGAAGGAGAAAATCTGATTTGTGATTCTGGGATTAGGTTAAAACAATGCTGATCCCACAACCATGCGTTAGGGAGAAAATGCCCAGCAATCGGCCCGGCGGAGCCGGAGCTGCACAGCTAGTGTATTATACATGATGAGCATGTCTACTGCAATACTTATAATTAATGAGAGCTCATTCTAGATGACCGTAAATGTTTACGTTTTTAGTATGCCAAGGCACGTGAAAGAAAAAAGATTTATTCACACTAATAATATGGTACAAACAATACCCAAGCATAACCGCTAAGCCCTAAATGTAGGGAAGAAAAAACCCATATATATATCTGGAAAAAAAGAATGAATAATCTAGCCCTTGACGTCCCGTCTAAGATACAGGGCTCCTAGCCAATCGGCCATGACGGCCATGATGGTGATGACGGTATGTATTCTTCTATAAAGTTTATAGAAGTGGTTTACAAAGTGGTTCATATTATAAAGCATTTTGTAAAATGATATTTTGTTTGATCTTTTGTGGTTTTCTCGATTTTTTTTCTATACTTCTTAGTCGCAGTCATCAAGATTGCCTAACGAAAAGAAAGAAAATGTTTATTAACAGCGTGTTGATGATTATCAATCTTGACACAAATTCTCTCCCGTCGTTTCGGCTATCCAATCACATAAAGGAGCGATCCTTGGACCGTAGGCTAAAGTCTTCTGTTTATATATGTGTGCACTCTTTTTATCTGAATTTAACCAACTTTAGCTAGTTTTTCAGCTCATTTTCAGGATTTACAAAAACTCACAAATAGTTGAAGGTGGTGTGTAGACATTTGTGATAAAGCCAACTTGATACCAGCGACCGTTGAATTTCGTCAGATAGGGACTTCCCGAATCTCCCTTTAAAGAAAAAGTGACAGAATTATAAGTCGGAACATATGATAATATGAGTTTTTTTGAAACTAACAGAGAAATGATATACCGTAAATGCTGCATTAGAATGGCATTGCATTTTTCAACCTCTTAAAATCGACCGATCCAAAAAGTAGTTAAGGGGGGACCAGATAAATCAAAAATTAAGAATTTGTTAAAACCTATTTTAAACGATGGCCCAAAGTCCAAAACGTACAAAAAACTATTCTTCTTTTTTCAAAAATAGCGTTAAATCTCACTGCCGATAAAATATTAGTAGGTTTTAGGTCTAGATCTATCCATAGAACCTCCACAAGGGAAGTCTAAAGTCAAGATTTCGAGGGATCAGAGGGTGTCACTCTAATAAAGCATTTACGGGAGCTATTGGTTGCCCATTTATTAACATTTTTCAGCTTACAAGCAAACTGAAAGCTCTTACAACTTTCGCGGTTCCAACGCTACTGTTTGCGAAGACCAAAGTGGAAAGTGATCCGCCCAATAGCAAGTTAGTTGCGAAAACTTTTTGAACGATGGTCGGGATTTGTTGGTTTTCGTCTAAAAGTTAACTGAATTATAAGTTCCCGCAAAATTTGCATAAAGCTTACGATGGGCAAGCGACTCACCCAATCCCAATCCATAAAGTACCATTGGAGCGCCTTCGGCCAGAAAGCTTGTATTTCTCGTCAAGCATATCGGTTTCACAAAGTTTCCAGTGAAATTAAAAGTAGCATTAAGCTAAAATATATTATTTATTATATAAGATAATAACAGTGATTTAGACATGAAATTTTAGATATTTTAGAATTCGATTCGATTTTTTTTAAAGCAATTAAACGTGCCCCAAATTTTCTGCATCGCTGCCCTGGACGGTCACTGATCGCCGATTTTTCATGATTTTTCAATCATTTTGTTCTAAGCGCTGGTTAATGCTAAAAATAAGTGTTATATCTCAAAAAAATCACCCATCCTCTCTACTTTAATTTGATGCTCAAGCGCGCAAAAACAAATGTCTGGGCGCCGAGATATGAGCAGATTTTTGAGTGTAAACTTAGACTACGAGACGCTCCTATAGCGGGTGCTTCTATTAGAGCTTTTACGGTGGTTATAATTATTTTTATGGGTTTTTCTAAACTGGAGATCACTTTAAAGCTGGATGAAACTCAATTGGAGGAATGAATTGAGGAAACTGAATGAAATTTATGTACCTATTAGATTGGCAACTTGAAATTTGGTACACTTTTTTTGTATTTTCAATCAAACATATTTAATAAGCCAATTGAATTAAACTTCTCCGATAAAAGTTATATATTATCTAATTTAAGAAATGCTTAATCAAATTTGGCTAACTTTTGAAACAAATTTGAGCAGAAATTCGAGTTTTTCTGAAAATTCTTCAAGTGGAACTATAACAAAAACGATTGATTAGATCTAGCTGAGAATTTGGCTAATTATCTAACTTGTTATTGTCTCTCTTTTTCTATTCACATCAAAATAGGTTTATTTGGAAGAAAGTACTCAAATCGCTTCATCGAGTGTTCATCATTTTTGGTTCCTCAACTTCTTGCCCACTAGAAAACAATAAAACCGAAGCTTTTCTAAATCTGTCAAAAGCCTGTTTTAGAGAATAAATGAGCTCTTTTATTGGTAAAAACTGCGGATTAATTGGTGCACTAGTTATTTCTAAAAAGTGCAATGAATAAGTGTACAAACGTTCAAGTTGTCAATCTAATAGAAGGGCCCATCTACTGGGAACTTTTGGATAGCAAGACAACACTTAACTAAATCAAATACTCCGAGCAAATTAGCAAGTCAGCCAAATCTTTGCCAGTGCAATGAATAAGTGTACCAACTTTCACGTTGCCAATCTGCCAATATGTGTGTAGTTTAGAGTAAAGATGAAACTCACTTTGCCAAGAGCAGCATCCATTGTTGGATGGGTGAAAAAAACTTCGGTCACTAGTTCACTTTGCTGAATTTATGAAAATTGAAAAATTTAGAAAAATATGTTGATACAAACCTCAACATTGGACCACCATTCGTGAATACCCGCTGATATTTGATAGTTTTGGCCGGTGCTGAAAAGAGAACTACCGTAAATGCTGTATTAGAATGACACCCCTAATACAGGGTGTCTCAAAAAAAAGCCCCTTTTAAAACCGAATTTTAGAAAAACTTTAAGTGGCTATTGGTGGCAATAGAATGGCACTATTGGTGGCAATAGAATGGCACTATTGGTGGCAATAGAATGACATGTCATTCTAATACAGAATTTACGGTAATTTATTAGGTTGGTGCAGATGAAACTTCCGTTGGAACCATAAACAAAATTTATTATAAAAATCCTAATACAGAACCTCAATCGAAAAGATATTCGCCATCATTATCAATGACTCTTTGCCATCTTCCACGCAGAGAATGGATGCCCTTTTCGAAGAACTCGGGCAACTGCGACTCGAAGAAGTTGGACACCCAGATTTCAACTTCTTCGCGGTTTTTGAATTTTTTTTTCTGCTAGAGAGTGCTGCATCGACCGAAACAAGTGGTAGTCGGATGGGGCCAAATCCGGGCTATATGGCGGATGAGGCAGAACTTCCCAGCCCAATTCCTCGATTTTCTGCTGGGTGCTCTTTGCGGTGTGGGGTCGAGCGTTATCGTGGAGGAATTTTGTAGTCGCCGTGTTATTGCCTTGACGACGCAATGCCTGGTCCACGCGGCTCAATTGGGCTTTGTAGAGATCCGCCGTGACTCTTTGGCCCGAATCCAGCACCTCAAAATACACGAGACCTTTACTATTCCACCAAATACAAAGCATCACCTTTTTTCCGTGGACATTCGGTTTGGGAGTCGGTTTTGGCGGTTCACCGGCGTCCAACCACTGCCGTTTTCTTGTTGTGTTGTCGTAACATATCCACTTTTCATCTGCCGTAACAATGGAGTCGAGAAAACCGGCGGTCTTTGCGCGGCGGACGAGAATTCCAGCCATTGTAGCTCGAGTCGCTTTGTTTGCGTCGCTGAGCTGATGTGGCACCCATTTTCCACACCGATTCGTCTTACCAATTGCGTGCAAATGGCGGAGAATGGTTGTATGGTCGCAGTCAAACAGCTCTGCAAGCTCCCGAGTTGTTTGGCATGGATCCGATTCGATAGCGTTCTTCAACTCATCGTTGTCGACAATTTGAGGTGGATTCCCGCGTTTTTCGTCTTCCAAACTCTCATCACCGTCTCGGAAGCGCTGAAACCAAGTCCGGCATTGACTTTCGGACAACACGTCATCGCCGAATGCTTTGCACAGAGCACGATGAGATTCCAAAGGCGTTCTGCCTTGTTTAAAATCATACAACAAGCAAACCCGCACTCGAAATTTTTCGTCAACCATTTTCTAGAAGCTAAAAATTACTTCAAATTAAGTAAAACGCATAAGTCTTAGATATCAAAAGGCCGCGCAAAGAGACGCTCTTTCAGATAGACAAATATCTTCAATAAAAACTTTTATTAGGTTCAAAATGTAAACAAACAAGTGTGACGGAAGTTTCATCTGCACCAACCTAATATATTAGTCAAGATTAGATGTTAGTCAAAACTTATTCACCAAATTTCAAACTTTTGCACAAGTTTTGCAAAAACAGACCCAATACAATGTTTGGCCGTGAGAATCCATTTTTCCGATAAAATCGAACAACCACATCCATTTCTGAAACACTTTTTCATTAAATACCTTGATGATAGTTTAAATTTTGTTGACAATAATGCATTTTGTTGACAATAAAATGGTTTCATTTCCGAAAAAAACTCGTTGTTAGTATCTAATTCATGTGGGGAATGGGGAGATGAGAAGCTGACTATTTTACTTACAAAATCCATACAAAAGATCTATATATCGTAGCCGATTATGAATGAAACTTTTTGGCAAATCTTTCTAGTAGAGCAACCCTTTAATGTATGAGAACAATATTATATCATCTTGTAGCGAATTCAATTCTGCGTCGATTGGTACCAAAATTTGTGAGTTTAGGTTAAAAATTGCCGGCGCTACAACGTTTGATTCAAAATCGGCGGGACCCCCGTAGCCGATTATGAATGAGTGGGTCTAGAATCGTCCAACCATCAAGTATTTGGTATCATTCAACGCAGAATCATTAATAATTATGTTAAATTTTTAAAATTAGCAAGATTTAATAAAAAAAAAAATTAGAGCAAAAAAATGTTTGTTCAAGAGAAAAGCCTTTGAAGCCCCATAATTTTTTTTCTTTTTATCCAATCTTTCTAATTTTAAAAATTTAACATAATTATTAATGATTCTGCGTTGAATGATACCAAATACTTGATGGTTGGACGCTCCTAGACCCACTCATTCATAATCGGCTACGGGGGTCCCGCCGATTTTGAATCAAACGTTGTAGCGCCGGCAATTTTTAACCTAAACTCACAAATTTGGTACCAATCGACGCAGAATTGAATTCGCTACAAGATGATATAATATTGTCCTCATACATTAAAGGGTTGCTCTACTAGAAAGATTTACCAAAAAATTTCATTCATAATCGGCTACGACATATACACTATTATACACACCGTATTTACCGTATTTACTCGAATAGAACACCTGCCTCGCTTATAAGACCGTCTCGAATAGAAGGCGGGGTCTAGGGGATGATCGAAAAAATAGAAGACCGTCTCGAATATAAGACCGATCTTATATTCGAGCGTCTAGGAGCGTCCAACCATCAAGTATTTAGTATCATTCAACGCAGAGTCATTGATAATTATGTTAAATTTTTGAAATTAGAAAGATTGGATAAAAAGAACACAAATTATGGGGCTTCAAAGTTTTCTCTTGAACAAACAGTTTTTTTGCTCTAATTTTTTTTTCTTTTCATCAAATCTTGCTAATTTTAAAAATTTAACATAATTATCAATGACTCTGCGTTGAATGATACCAAATACTTGATGTTTGGACGTGTCCAGACCCACTCTTTCATAATCGGCTGAAATTCATAATCGGCTACGACATATATAAATCTGTTTCTTTAGATGAAAAAGTTTAAAATCAAAAAAATTTAGCATGCATACATAAGGTTTAAATTTAAGCTACTATCCAGTATCGGGATTTTTCTCTGGATAGTAATTGTCCGGTATCCGATATCCGGAAATTTTCTGGTCCACTTATGCTTTGGATCCGGTATCCGGTTTTGATATCCGCACATCTCTGATGTTGAGAATGACTTTCAAACTGACGGTTGCTATTAGGTTGGCAACTTTCAAACTTCCATTTTAACTAACAACTTGTTTACTACACAAAACGCAAAATAGAAAACTTTAATCCAAGAGATATTTGCCATTTTTATCGATGACTTCTTCCCATCTTTGGCACAAGTCCCGGATTCCATTCTCGAAAAGCTAAGGAGTTTTGGAGCTGAAGTATGTGTTGAGTGCTTTTATGACCTGAGCGTGATCATCGAACATTTCTCCCTCTAAAAAGCGTTTCAATGACCGAAACAAAAAATAATCTGATGGTGCTAGGTCAGGCGAGTAAGATGCGTGGGGCAACAATTTCCAGCCAAGCTCAAGGCTTTTACCGTGTATGGTTTTGCGTTGTCGTGGAGGAATCGAATCCTTGAAGGTTTGAGCCCCAATTTCTTCAAAGCCTCGTTAACTTGAACCAATTTTTTTGAATAAAGGTCGGCATCAACTTTTGTCCAGGTTTTAACACTTCGTAATGCACCAAAACTTTTGCATTCCACCAACAAAAGAATCTTCTTTCCATGAATATCTGGTTTGGGAGTGGTTTTCGGCTCCTGATTTGAGGACAGCCACTGGTTTTTTCGTTTATGACCCTCGTAATAAATCCACGCTTCATCAGAAGTTAAGATTCTATTAAAGAAATCCTTAGCCTTACACTTTTAGAGTAAGAATGAGCTCACACTTACACGAGCCGTTTTGTTGCTTTGCGACAGTTCATGTGGAACCCATTTTCCCGTTCGATTTTTCTTTCCAAGTTGATGCAAATGGTTTTCAATTGCAGTATGGTAAAGATTAAATAATTCTCTCGGATAGTGAGTGTTGGATCATTCTCGATTTCCACCAACAAATCCGTGTTTGACACTTCTTGAGGATGCCTTCCGCGTGGTTCATTCTGGAGACATTCATTGCCGATTTGGAAACGTCGAAATTATGTGCGGCATTGTCTATCGCTAATATTTCCTTCTCTAAAAACAGAAATAATTGTACGAGTTTGGAGTTATGGAGTTTGGAAAAGATTGAAAAGAAGAGATTGTCTACGTAAAAATATTGTAGTTTATTTTTATGCAAAAAGCGGAAAGAAAGCTCTATTGAAATTAAAAAATTATAAAAAAGTGAGCAGAAGTTTGAAAGTTGCTAACATAATATTTGAAAAAATATTAACTCACGCGACTCTCCCAAAATACGGATGTACATCATCTTCAGCATTTTCTCCATTTGCGATGCGCTTGACGCGACGAGAAACAACGGGCTCAACTTCAATTGCTTCTCGTTTTTTGTTTCTGATCTGAGTGGAATAAATAAAGACTTAAGTTTTGGATTTCATTTTTTTTCAAAGGTTTATTTAATTTCTGCCGCTAACTTCCGTTGTTTTGAGAAAGCAAAAACTCACGGAATATTCCACGCACACCCACTCTCCATTGACCAAGGTTTTCCCGTGACAGCAGGTTGGACGGGGAAATTCACAAAGCATATTGTTACAAAGCGCAAAAATAGTTGTGTTCTCTCCGCTGAAATACGAAAAAAAATAACGATAAGTTAATAGCTTCACTAAGAATAAGCAATTATTGGAATGTATTTCTAGAAGATCGGCGGCTAATGATTATAACTTTACGGTTTGATACTTTGTCTTCGGGGTTAGAAAAACTCAAAAACAGGATACTTTTCAATTTCAAACTTATGGCTAAACTCTTTGTCGGAAATATCCTATTAGTTTATAGCAAAGTTAGAAATCTGGTTTTGGAACCTGTCCTAGACCAGGGTTCGTTTTTGATTTGTTTCTCCCGGTTCCTCAAATTTAAAGCGAATGGATGGCTTTTCTGTGACACATAACATATAAGTTCCAAAGCTTCCCATCTTATTTACATTTTCGAAAAACTCACGGGCATGGACATGATGCGCCTGAAAGACAAGTGCGTGTGGCCAGCAAGGTCCCGCAAGAACCGCATGTATCCGAGCAGGCGGTGTTCCCTGTGGTCCATTCAGTCCATTGGGGTCCATTCACGAAACATTCCTGTAGAGTGGACATGGGAGTCGGTCCGGTTCACTTTGGACCGAATCGGACCGAAAGATTTTTGAGTTCTCTAGTACTGGACCGAACCGTCTGAATGCTCTCACAAGGGAATGGGCCGAACTGGCTGGACGATCTTGCTACGCCGCTGAAATGCAAACACCTATCGAGCATGGGGAACACGGTGCGCTATTTATTTTTTTCCCATTCTCAATGGTTCATGAGAAAAACGTAAACGAGGTAAACGAACGAATGTAGAGGTAAACGCATGCGCTCCTCGCCACACTTTTGCTTTTCTGGACCCTGGTTCGGATCCAGTTGCGAAAATTACTTTGCTTTTGTTTTGCTAAACCTTTAAAAACACTTCTTATTTATTTTAAAATGCCCAATAATAATTTTTAAGAAGAGCTACCACTTAAAAACTCGGGAAATGAACAAAAAGTGAGAACCTAGTTCTGAACTTCTTCCCGTTATTTCGGAGACAATATCTGGATCCAAACAATACTATTTAGATTGCAAAGAGAGAAAAAAATGGAATCAACGAAAAATTTTACCCATCCGGCTGGATCTTCGAGTTGATTTCCGCAAATATCCCCCAAACAACTGTCCACTGCAGAAATGTAAAGGAACGCCATCAAAAAAACAGCTATAATAAAAAAGTTATGAATGTCTTTTGTGAACTTTAACAATTGAATCTTAAAATTGAATGAAAATGAAAAATCAATTGAATTGAAACAATTGAATCACTTCCACATAGGTGGCATTTCAATTTTCATACCTCGGAAAATTTTCATTTTCGATGTTAACGATGTTCCTCTAATACTTTGCTCAAAAATGAAATATGCTTCAAAAGATAATACAAGCATAAAGCTCTCTTTTCTTATTTATACACTTTTTTAATAATTTTTTGGCATCAAACTTCGAATGTTTCAAAGAAATTTCCACGCTCTTCTAAAATCCGAAATAAGGCAAAAAATTGTTTTCTATAGGATTTTTACGTTTGAATAGCCATTTGACGCAGAAAAATGTGCTGAATTCAATGGTGAAAAAATTATCAAAATCCGTCTTGTAGATTTTTTAAAAATCGCATTTTATCAAAAAAATTGGTCATTTTACACAGAAACCGCCAAACTCACCTGCATTTGGGCCTTCACTACTCGATGATAACAAAAAATTAGGAAATGCCAGGGAATAGACTTTGTCAAAATGTTGTCTGCGGTCATTTTGAGAGCAAAATCGTATTAATTGGTCAACTCACAAAAAAGTTATAACATTTTGAAAACAAAAATGACGTTTGACGACTTTCTGCGCGCTAAAACGTGGATAATACCGTAACCCTTCCCATGGCGAAAAACAAAATTACTTAAAGAGCGGTTGCAAAGAATTTTTCCCATTTCGTTGCTCTTCTTTTTTTCGAGCTTACTTTATCATTTTCATGTCATAATAATTCTTTCTTTTTGTCAGACACCCAAAAATGAGTCGACCAAAGAAACGCAGCAAAATAGGAAAGCAAACGATCGAAAACAAAAGAGAGAAGCAGCGGATGAAGTTTTCGAGCCAACTTAAGATGGAAAGGATTAGAGTAAGCAAAAAGGAGATTAGTAGAACCTCTAAAAATTTGTTAAACCATCAAATCACTCTAGCCGGATGATTTTTATTCTTTTTATAATAAAATTAGCAATATTAAAATATAAAAACAGGTGGTTGGCTTAAAAAAATTTTTATGATCACCTGGCCGCGATTACCCTCCCTTTAAAGACCAATTGTTTATGATGAAGCAAAGGATTTTTTTAAAACTTCGTAGATTTATTGGGGTTTATTGGTTTCTTTATGCAAAATTTATGTATTTGTATGTGCATGCATTTTAATGTATTTTATGTATTTGATATGTATTTTATATTAAACTTTGAAATGAGATTCATTTAAAATAAAAAAGGGCAAGATTTCGATTAGGATAAAGCTTTTAAATTTACCTCACTTTAACAAAACTTTTGAGAAAACGAGTTTAAATTTATCGTACTATGCGTTTTTCTAAAAGTTTTTATAATAGTTTATGATAGTTTTCATAAACTTTTCTTTAACTCAAACCAAATCCTCTTTGACAACAATTTTTAACTCTTTTTTTGCCCGAGGTTGCTCGTTGTCGTAGCCATTGGTTAACTTTTTTATAGAAGAAAATTTAATCAGAAAAAGATTTATTCGCATATTTGTATGTGTTTTGTTTATGGTTCGGGTCCCCAATCGGCGTATTTCTCAAAGATGGATCCATTCTCGCAATCGTTGCACATATTACTGTAGGCTCCATCATCTCGGAACTCCCACTGGGTGGCTCCGTTCTCTTCGTCGTCGTCGTTGTGATCGGCCGGGGCTCCATCACAGCCGTTGCTGAGAAATATTATATTATATGAGTGTAGTCTGGATATATTTCAATCTTATCTATCTCTTTCACATCGAGATCATACTTCAATCACATCATACAGCTCAGCAACGTTGAAACACGGTATCCCGTAAAGAACACCGGTAGCCCCGGTATACATTTAATTGCTTCTCAACTCACCTTCCCACTCCCCAAACATTCTGATGAATGTACCAATTGCCCGAATCACGAGCCGCTTGATCGTTACTGTTGGCGTAACACCAGAAGCACGTCGTTTCCCAATTGTTCTGACCGAATCCCCATGAAAGTGACTGAAAAAGATCGATTTCAAATGAATTGGTTTGGCTTACCATAATTACATGTCATGTTCCGTTCTTGTAATGGACGATTGACTACCACCACTACTGCTCTATGAAATAACTACAGTTACATACAACAGTGAGAGTATTACTATTTTTTTATTTTTATTAGTGATACACGGTTTAAATGTCTACAGTATATCTTATCCCCTTCCCATCCCACTCACCGCTCCGGGCTCCAATGTCCACCAATCACCATCATCAGATCCTTCTCCAACAATCGCATCATCGGCTGATGCACATTTGAGATAAATAGAAGCTGATGAGAGTTTATTGGTGACAACCACCGAATAGTCTTGATTGATTTGATCGACGATATCTTGGACTGCTTGTCCGAAATCCAATCGACCACCCCCACATTCGATTAAGCCGATTGATAGGGAAAGAAGGGTAAAAAGAGAAAGAAACGACATTTTTGTAGAAGAAATCGTTATTCAATCTGAGATTAGATGAAGAATGACTTGATTGAAGTGAATATTCGATGGGTTTATATAATGGATTTGGGACAAAATATTTTTGTTTTTTAGTCTATGGATATAGCTGTTATTGTTGAGGCAATAATCAAAATAAAATCTAAAATTCCATTCATCTTTTGTACATTCACATGATTTATTGAGTTTTTTCGTACTCCTGCACTTATTTGAATAAGCATATACTGGAAAAGATTATTACAAAAAAAACAACAAAACAAGTGGAATGAAAAATGATTCCCTCCTAGACTGAAGCGTCAAATGTTCTATTAAATATTAGGTTGATGCATAAGTCTTTTCGTTTCTTTTCGTACTTCCGTTTAAAACCAACAAATGCACCAATTGAACTACGGTTTAGTTCATTAGAAAGGCCAATTATTTTTCTGCAAAATAACATTAAAACCGTTTTATGCCTGGATTTTTTTTGGGTGCATGAAAGGGCTGACTCGATGATTCGGTTTAGACACTTAAAAGGTAAAGGACACCTATATTCATGTGAATAGATCAAAGATAGAGCAAAAAAGTTTGATATAAAGCCAAATTTTCAGAGAAATTCATTCAGCCCATTTCTTCGTAGAGCCTTTTAAAGACTTTTTTGATAGAGAAAACCATAGGTTAATTCGTGAATTTGTTACTTTTTAACGGAAGCACGAAAAAAAAGGAAAGACTTATGCATTAACCTAATATGTGCTAGAAAATTTGAAACTTCAGTCTAGTGGGGATTCATTTTTCATTCCACTTGTTTTGTTGTTTGTTTTGTAATAATCTTTTCCAGTATATGCTTATTCAAAAAAGTGCAGGAGTTCAACGAAAAAACTCAATAAATCATGTGAATGTACAAAATATGAATGGAATTTTAGATTTCATTTTGATTATTGCCTCAACAATAACAGCTATATCCATAGACTAAAAAACAAAAAATATTTTGTCTCAAATTCATTATATAAACCCGTCGAATATTCCCATCAATCAACTCATTCTTCATCTAATCTCAGATTGAATAACGATTTCTACTTCAAAAATGTCGTTTCTTTCTCTTTTTACCCTTCTTTCCCTATCAATCGGCTTAATCGAATGTGGGGGTGGTCGATTGGATTTCGGACAAGCAGTCCAAGATATCGTCGATCAAATCAATCAAGACTATTCGGTGGTTGTCACCAATAAACTCTCATCAGCTTCTATTTATCTCAAATGTGCATCAGCCGATGATGCTATTGTTGGAGAAGGATCTGATGATGGTGATTGGTGGACATTGGAGCCCGGAGCGGTGAGTGGGATGGGAAGGGGATAAGATATACAGTAGACATGTAAACCGTGTATCACTAATAAACATAAAAAAATAGTAATACTCTCACTGTTGTATGTAATTGTAGTTATTTCATCGAGCAGTAGTAGTGGTAGTCAATCGTCCATTTCAAGAACAAGAATAGACGTGTAAGCGAAACCAATTCACTTGAAAACTTTAAATTGGATTGATAAAATTTTGAAAAGATAAAAACCATATTGCTATCTTTTTCAGTCACTGTCATGGGGATTCGGTCAGAACAATTGGGAAACGACGTGCTTCTGGTGTTACGCCAACAGTAACGATCAAGCGGCTCGTGATTCGGGCAATTGGTACATTCATCAGAATGTTTGGGGAGTGGGAAGGTGAGTTGAGAAGGAATTAAATGTATACCGGGGCTACCGGTGTTCTTTACGGGATACCGTGTTTCAATGTTGCTAGGCGGTATTGCTGAGATCGAAGTATGATCTCGACGTGAAAGAGATAGATAAGATTTAAATACATCCAGATCATATCTATTACACTTA